GTTCATCTAGATGTGACGTTAGACAGAATATCGTCATCGACACCGAGCTGCTCGGAACTGCCACATGATCGGAAAGTCCAGGAGCGGTACGGAGTGTAAACATGCTTCCCAGGTTGATAACACCTGACAGTATACACTATAAATGATTGACACACAACTGGAGGCAAGTCTTGCGTGGGCAGGCAACTGATTTGATCAAGTTGAAAGCTTGTTCTATGGAGCGACCGGGGGCAGGGCTCATAGGTGTACAGGCACGGTCAGCGTCCGATACCTGAACCGCAATTTTGAGTTCGCAGAGGGGTGTCATGTAAGGACATGTCACTCTCGAGATGTGTCATGTGGTCCTTGTAAGATGGCTGCGAATACCTACCATGACCCTACCTGCCACCCTGCATACGTCAATCAGGATATGGCTACTTTGTTGACACACGTGGAAGCACGGGTGAGCAACAGCCGCCCACACCTTCTCCATCAGCATGTCACGGAATAGATACCCTGTGGGGGTCGATCCCGGGAATCTTACCGCCCGGTCCACACTCAGCCACTGGCAAATCGTATCTTTAGGCATTACCAGAAGCGTCCCACGATGCCTTTTTGACGCCATTGTCATTGTCGGGCGGAACCTTTCAATGGGACGAAACAAATCCGTCCGGTCTTGGGCCCCAGAAAAATAGACCAAAAACCCGACAAGTACCATATCCGTCTCGGATCATATCACAATTAGGGTAACTCGCCAACGAGCTGAACCCCGAAAGAGGAAAGGCAACCTTTGTCAGCAATATGTACATGAAACATGATGCTACGCTTCTAGAAGATTGCCATATTGGGAGATGGCCTGCAAACCGAGTCAGACCCGGGTGCTCTGCGGTACGACTCGCTGGCAAATACCCAGTATCCCCTTGCGATGGGCGTACTCGGTGCTGCTTCAGTAATGACCTAATGGGGCATTTCCCAGTCGCTGATTCGGAGGGAAGTCCACCAGCAGGTCATAGGCTTCCGCTTCCCGGTTTGCTCTCAGGGGTGGAATTGCTCTGACGCGTAACCAATGGCGGGTCCGTTACGCTGAGCTGGTAGGTTGTCAGGTTGGTAATCTGTTAGTTATATAGCCCATGCCAACGTACAACATGCTTGACTCAAGCACAACGCTCACTGCTCCATTACCGTATCCTCTCTCGAGGTCCGGACAAAGCTAGTGATCAGGCTAGCCAAAGGTAGCTAGCAAATGTCCTAGAGCGGCTAGTCAGGATCTACATCGCTAAGCTCAATATAGAGGGCGGTCAATATATTCACCTCCTACCTGCCTACCGTTTTTGCTGCTCTTTGCCCCTTGACTATCTGCTTACGTACATGACTGACCCCTGCTTTCTGCCGGAACACTATACCTCTGACAGCAGCCGCGATACCTCTTGCCGTTAGTCTGGCTTACTAGCTTTGTCCGGACCTCGCGAGAGGATACGGTACCTGTGTTTGCCGTCTTACCATCACCAAGCGGGGCATTTTCTTGTTTAGGGGGTTCCTATCACAACGTCCGCCACTTTCAGTCTTGTAGGAGCCACCATCCGGCCGGCAAACTTGTATTGTAGCCATGTGGACTCACGGACCGGGAACAGCGGGGAGGTTGTGCACATTTCCTGCAAGTACACTACATAAATAGGATCGAATACAATGCACGATCCCCGCCACCAAGTCTGGTGGATCAACCAGTGAATGTTGCACATATTGAACGGACGAAAGAAAAGGTAAGGCATGCATTATGGAAATGAATCGCAAGGCGTGCGTGAATGGGTTTTTGATGACTTGGCACCAATGCATTGCTCGTCAGGACTGAGATATTAGAGTCCCTGGGCTCGGTGATGCCGATAAGGCTTTCGGACATAATGGTAGACGTGAAGGAGGAGGGTTCGAACAGGTTCGAGAAAAAGTCTATCGAGGATTCACTTCCCGCGGTAGCCGCGAAGCACGTACGAAAACCGCAGAAGTGGTGATGATGCTTCACGTATACAAACCGTCCGAACCATTCAGCATTTGTGCCTGTGTCATCCGTTGCCAGCATTCAGCAATCTGCGAGTCACTCACCTGGGGCCGCCCACAAAAAGTGTATGGTAGACGCATGCTCTTGTAAAACGCACGCCCACCACCTTCAACTGATCAGCCAGATCTACGTTCACCCCCTCCACCCACCACAGATACGACCACTGGGGTATTTGTACCCGATCCGAGCTGGCGCCAACCAAACTATCTGCAGCGGGGTGGTATTGCATCAGGGACCCATAGGTCCAGAGCCGAAAACCGCGACACGGACCTAATGTGTACTAACGCGGTTTAGAGGGGGAACGCTATAGATAAGCTAAGAAAACAATTAGGCATAGCCTTACAGTAGGTATAGTGCTAGTTTATCGCTATTAGCTAGAATCAAGATAGCTTTTGTATAATCGACATCTCTTTTAAGATAGTTATATATATATATTTAAAAGTGTCTCAAAACTTGAATTTAGTAGTTAATGAGAAATCTAAAATTCTTTCTTTAGTTCTTTAATAATTTGATTTAGTAATTAAGCTGGTGGTAACAATATAATCCATTACTTATACTTAATAATAGTAGTAGCAGTAGTTTTAAATCTTTTATGAACTATTAGTAATGAAGTAAAACTTGGAATTATAATATATTAATTATATAAAGTATATAACATGATAACATTTACTTACAATAGTATCTAGCTAAAGTAAAATATCCCTGTGAGACATTTAATATTTACCCTTACTACAGAACTTCACTTTTAGTCAATATTTACTCTCCATCATGATGTCAGTTATAGGGGGTAACATCATAGGGGTATTTTACTGACCCCTGCCACCCCGTATTTCTCAAAATGCAAAAGAGGCCTAGGAAACCAACCTGTGAGTAATATAGAATCACGACCCCAGAAGAACACCCTAACCTTTCAGCCCCGATGGGTCATGGTGAGGTTTTGAGTTTTGCATCCCTGGCTGCAAGCACTCGTACTTTTAGCACAAACCTTGTCCTCGTAAATCCCTTTTTCCTTGCCCGCCGGTCCTTGTACCACCGTCCCTTGGCCCGGAACGAAGGGGTCCTTGGAAAGGTTTGCGCTATTGTTATCCTCCAGTTAACCGACCCCTCGAAGGAGAGATTAACGTGATCATCTGCCAGCTGCAAAGTTTCGCCTACTTGTAGCGGTCAACAAGGCTGAAGTGAAACGCAAACGACGAATGTTTGATGCTTTGACCCAGATCAGAGTTTGTTATAGTGATATTAAGGCACTGCTCAAAACCAATACGCTTGGCTTTGTGGACTTGAATTGTCCGTTTTTTTTTCTTATCCATGATTTGAGGGCTTTCGGAGACGGAAGCGCGGTCGGGTAGTGGAATCACATCATGGCTGCAGCTTGGATTGCACTTGAACACAAGACGCCTGTTTATACTCAAGCCCCGTGATTATGCCGGTGCGAGATTGGCAACGCCAATGAGACTTGGCCCATTTACCCATGAATGTACCACGGCATGAATGCATGTTTTCTAAATTTCCATGGATTCCTTCCGGTCCTGTTGTTTGCCAGAGAATCCCGCAGATCGCGCCCCAGAGTTTCGTGCGAAACCTGAAAGCTGGCAGCACTTGATCACGGAGTTTGGACATAGTTTATGCGTGGCTGTCCGAAGCTTGTATGCTCAAAGTATCTGTCACCTTCAACCATGAATGAGATCATCAAGCACAGTACTGCTACCATCTTTGAGGTAAGATTGATGATATGCAGTAGTTACTTTATCACAGGAGAGTTAATGGTTTCCGAGAAGCTTCGGACGGAGGGCGGCGCAACCGACTTATTGATACTCAAAGGCGTCACAGACCTTGAGCCATTAGGAAGCTTGTAATATGGGAGCCCCTGTTCACACACCCCGGGCCATTTCATCACAACTCTCGATCCGGAGTAGATACTGGGGCGGGTGCCGGAGAGATCTCGAGGACCACAATGGCCCTCAGATACTTTGGAATTAATCAGCCAGGCCTGGTGAATCCTAATGTGAGACTTTCGCGCTTCGATACAAACGAGTGCGGACAACAAAGCGCGGCGCCAGCGCCAGGATTCAATAAATAGAATTGCAAATACTCAACTCTAAAGAATGATTTACGTTTGGCCGTCGGTGACTTTCGGGGGAGGACGGACTCATCTGTGCGGAACAATTACCTAGTGTACTGCGGTAAAGCTGACTGGTGTTGCACCACGCGGTACTGAGTTGGTGGGCGGATTGTAGTGAGGTAGTTACTCAGTAGGTAGGCAGGTAGTGAGAGTAAGGTTTCTGCCTTCCTGTGCAGCGTGTGGACGTGCACCAGGTGATGGGACGGAGTCGGAGACCGGTGCTAGCATTTTCCGTGTGTCAACACGTGATCGATCGACAAGTCACTCGCGGCATGCTCCGCCTAGCGTGCCGCCTCTGCCAGGTACCCACGATTACAGTTGGGCAGTTCATCGGAAGAGCTCCATTATCGTCAGATTTTTCCCTTCGAAAGCCAAGCCAAGGATCAAAGTAGCAAAGGCAATCCATCTGCCACAGCGCGCGCCACAAAGCTTCGTCTGCACTGGTCGACGCGACTTGGCCTTTCTGCGAGCCCTTGGACTACGTGTGTTTGCGCTTCGACGGAGTTTTGGCTGCAGCGGCGTATTGGAGCCGGACGCGCATTTTGTCGTCATCCACGCGCAATTCTCGGCGATACGGTCTCCAAGCTCTCAGCAACCTCCTAACACCGAGGCTTACCACCCAACGAAAGGCTATCGGATTCGCCGCGCTTCCATCCAAAACCTTACCTCGATCACATCCATCATCGACCCGACTTCATATATACACACTTTGGAAACAACACACTTGACTTTGGAAGTAGGTGGCGTGACCTTCTGAGCAATCAACATGATGCGACCCGCTTTCCAGATGGTGGCTATCCCGCGGCGGGCGGTACCGACAGTAAGACAGAATGCCTGGGAAGCAGCATGGAAGAATCAATTCAGTGCCCCAGGGAGGTCCCTCATGACACCCACCCAACGATCACTGAGTCAACGAGCTACCTCAGCGCAGTCGGCGTCTCGATGGTCCCAAAAGTACCGGTCGAGCTGGATTACATCTCGTCTGGGAACTATGCTTCGCTCGCCGCATCGAACCTTCCGATTCTCGGCCCGACAGAGGAATGTCAAAGATGGCGCTGCACAGGAATCGCTTTCGCTAAGCCAAAGGTTGAAGAAACTCTCGAGGGAGTACGGCTGGTCGGCTGTAGGTGTATACCTCGCTTTGAGTGTTCTCGACTTCCCTTTTTGCTTCCTGCTTGTTAGGATAGTCGGCACAGACCGAATCGGTAAGCGATGCAAGCATCTGATCATGGTGAGTTCACACTGACAAATACGCTGCAGGGCAACTTGAGCATTGGGTCGTCTCCAACGTTAAGAAGATAATCCCTTATTCAGTACAGAACTGGTGGTCCGAATCCAGGGCCGCGCTTAGCCATGCTGAAACCGAACAGCTGGGCAGCGATGATATCAGCGAGGCCGTCGAAATGGCAGGTTGGGGAGTGGAGGAGGCGGAGCGGCGCAATAAGGCGGAAGCTAGTAAGTCCATGCAACTCTCTCTCTACTTGAGGCCTCCCAACAGCCACGAGACCAATACAGTTCACGAACTGACTTTTGTCGCAGGCCTAGGAACTCAGCTGGCGTTGGCCTACGCAATCCACAAAAGTTTCATCTTCCTCAGAGTACCTCTGACCGCCGCGGTAACGCCAAAGGTTGTCAAGGTGCTCAGATCATGGGGATGGCAGATCGGCAAGCGGCGGAGCAAATAAACCGCGCGCCGGTGCCCAGCCCCCACCGCATGGTTGACGGGTCGGAAGTTCCTAGGTGCCGGGCGCCTGCTAAATCATGTATCATCAACGAACGACGCACTCGCCTTGCTTTTCGGCAAATCGTGCCTGTATACTGTATTCTTGTTTTCGTTACTATTGACGGCTTATAGACGCTTATAGACGCTTATAGACACTCCCACCACCCATAGATCTGCATCGCTATTTAGCACTAAATGAGGCAGTCAAACTCTGCTGGACTGCACATGATACAGTCGGGCTTGGCCCGATAGAATTTGCTTCAGTACAAATGTTACCGGAATTCCGCGCAAAGAGGATGGTCGGATTTGCATTTTCGCATTGCATAGTTTGGCTAGGTCCACCCGTCATGGTGCCGTGGTTTCCGAGAGTGCGGGATTATCTAAACCCTTTTCTCTGGCACCCATCGTCATACATTGTACTTGTACAGGTGATGTCCACAGAAGTCAATAGTCTGAAGAGGGATACTTTGGCATGGGAGCCGTCCGGATGAAGGGTGATGCCTGCTGTTGTACGCCGTACGATGCAGGACACGCGGGCAGCAAAGCGTCGCCACCCAAACGCATGTAGCAGAGGAAGTTGCGTCGAGAGAAGAAGAGAAGGAATGTTCTATTGGGCTTCGAGAACCATACTTGATTCAGGATGGTTGGTAAGATTATGATGGCTTGGTGGGGCCCCAAGTCAGTGCATTCCATCATCAGACGTCCGAAGCGTGTTCGGGGTCGAGTCACATCCAAAGCTGAATGATACTGGCGAGGGTATTCCCGGCCGGCTAATGGTGCCACATGGACGTTGGCGAAGCAGCTTTCTGGCGTGCCTCAGCATGACAGTGGCGCGCCAGACCAAATACGGCAAGGCGGCAGTGGTGGTTGGAGTGGGTGACGGGACATGGCCGATAAGAGGGGAGTGAGAGCAGCTCAGGATGCGATGCTCGACGAGCCTGGCCACGCGTCGATGAAGCATCGGTATGGGGACACCGATGTGTTTCCCGTACCAGCTGACCCGCTCACAATCTCTTGAAGCGTGTGCACATACCTGTATTATGGCAGGTAGCGGCGGCCACCCTTGAAGCCCAAAGTGCGAAACGATGCCATGCCGCGGCATCCTCTTCGCTCCGCGACTCGTTACGCCCTTCGCCCTCCCCACCAAAGGCCTCGTGGATACAAACGAAGGCGAAGACTATGAGGTTGAGTGTGTAAACTATGTACCTGTAGTTTATGGAAAAGAACAGACGCTCCACAGCTGGGGGGTTGAACCCTTGAAGTAGGGGGAGAGGGGAGGGGGGGCAAGAAAAGAAAAAAGAAAAAAAATCCATCTTCCAGGCCGCCACTTCGAGGCCCATCTATTAGAGGGGAGCTTCTTGGAAATACGCTCTCCGGTTCACCGCCAGCGAGCCTGACCGGGCCCCGAACTTCTACCTCAAACGGGAGACACCAACTGGATCCTTAGCATCTGCCGTGTCGCCCCGTTGGCTCTTCCGTGGACGGGCTTGTCAGGCATCTGCATGATCACCCAGTCTGGCCCCACCATTCCCCATAATTTAAAGTTCTCTATCTTCTAGCATGGGCCGCCAAAGGGCAGGGAAGGGGGGGCAGCTGGTGGGAACATGTGGGAACCGGTGGGCCGTCAAAGTCCTGTTCTCGCCCCGGCTTTTTGTACGGAGCAGAAACCCTCCTCTCCGAAGTTTGTCCTTTTCTTTCCCTTTCCCTCGCCGTTCGTTGGTTGTCAGCAGCCCATAAGAGAAGGGGGTTTCCAAAAAGGACGACCATGCGAAAGCCCTGAACCCCTGTCTGGGTTTGGGACCCAAACTCTGTTTACTTCTTCGAGCCTGGGGATGCCCTAGCAACTTCGGGATCTGAACTTTTGATCGCACCCCCTTTCCCCTTCGGCACCTGAGATCATCGAGCTGTGTAGGTATGTGCATTCTTACCGAACATGGCGTCTACGGATACTGTTACCCCTTCGGCCCAGCCATATGATGCAGCTGGCCCACCCAGCGTCGGGTCGGGTAGTACACCTGTCTCCATCAGCCGGGTTGTTGTAGGGTACGAATGCCTCTATATGACCGTATATAGTACCTTGTTGGCTGACGAACCCAACCCTCCCAAGCCTGCCTGCCTATGCCGTTCCGCACCTACACAGCAGTAGTGTATGCAAATCCGGAGCTCGACCGCCAGGCGGTCCAGAATAGGTCGTGATTGATCCACATCCTATCCGGAAACCCTGTTGTTCAGAAACAAACTCTGAACGAGGTGGCAGTCGATCCGTACGAGGAAGCAAGGAATGCGTACAACAGACACATGTACAACTCCTCTAGGGTTCTAAATGCTAGCATACCACAAATCCTAGATACACATACAGTGTAAACAGGCACACTCTATTACTGTCTGAATATCTAGTAAGAGTGAGTACTTTGACATTTGAATCGCGTCAGTCTGGAGATATATGCCTTGGAGGTTAAGTAAACCTGTAGAGGTGTCCTTCCTCTGATCTCCAAGCGAAAGCAACCTTTTTTTTGTTTTTGAGAGTTTCTGGGTTAATTCAATTTGGTACGCCAACACCTAGAACCCTAGTGGATGTGCCAGGACTCAGTGTCATGATTGCCTCTGTCTCGTTGTTGCAACCGCGATGTTGTTTTGCCATTCGGTGGACCAGCATTTCCCATTCGGGACATATCTCCGTGCTGAGCGATCGCCGCTTCCTCTTCGAGTCTGTTTCACGCGACAATACTCCGTATCGACCGTAGCTGTCCACCCCCCTGTGCCGTTGTTGTTGCCGTAAATCCGGTGCTAAATCCGGCATTTAGCCGATGGGAATTTCATCTACTGTCAACAGCCGTCGCAGGGGCCGTTTTCTCTCGGGGGAAGAAGGATCACCATCTCATCCGCCACCGGCATCGTCAACAGAGATATCAAGGCTTCTGTCCAATGTCCTCCGCCCCTCCATCCTCCAGCCGTCTCTTAACGCCGTTCCGCGGGGCCGGGCCTGACAACGCCAGAAGCCCCCGCCGGGGGGTGCTTGAGTTATGTAGGCATAATGTGGGACTGCGTAGGCATCTTGAACTTGTGTGTCGTCACTTGATCGCCTTTTTAATTCCCCAAACCTTGTGCAGTGTCGTGTATGCAGGGGGTTTTCCGAACGGCCTGTGGCACAGGTGCGGGGCCCGAGACGTTGGCCAGATCAGAGATCGAGAGCCGCCCCGGGAAGGGAAGGGAAGGGGGGTTTAGGTAGGCTGACTGAGTTACGTACTGGAGTGAGTACGTACATCACTCATGCTGACCGGGCTAGTGCACAACGGCTCAGGCACGGTGGCACCATTTGTTGCTATCCTGGGTTGATGAACGGAGATATCGACTAAGTGTGGCAATCGTTTCGAGGTTTCGTGGGGGAAAGCCAAGAGTTCATTATGATTACTTCTCCGCTGCCGACGATGAGAGAAAGGGAGTGTGAGAATGAGGAGGGTCCACAGTCGTTACGGGGGAGGGGTGATGGTTGTTTACGTACCTTGCACTACCTAGGTACCTATACCTAGTTTGGGTACGTTGGCTTGTAATTTTGAGAGGCACTCTAAACCGGGGGGCCCCAACGGTCATTTACAACAGTTTTGTCGATCTTACAAGTCCGGGTTATGAGCGAGACTGTCACTACGTAAATGCCAGAGTCAGGCTCGCGCCTGAGACGCGCCATGGCAAAGGAATTACGTACCTAGCCCGTCACAAAGTCTTCAGGGTCCACGCGAGGGGAGGATTTGGGACATGGGCAAATGCCAACGAGGGTCACGAATTTGGGAAATCCCATTGCTCCGGGCGTCCAATGACACAAACCCTCCCCCTTCCTGACGTGCAGGGAGCAGTGCGTGGTGCAAGTCCTGTAGTTGCTCGGGTACGCAATGGACAAGCGGTGGCGAGGTACAATAGACTGTGATAATATATAACCTATGCAAAGGGAGATAGGTAAGCCCTCCAAGAGTTCTCGTGGGGAATCCTGCAACGTCGGGGTTCCTTGCTCGCTCTGGATATGTACAGAGGTATGCTTTCGCCTGCAACGCCATACATAACAAACCGCAATGATGGGTCAGCCTCGGCTCTGGGCTGGGGCGTGTGAGGCGTTGGATGATCGCTATGGGCCCGGTCTCGGTCAAAGACCGACCGGCTGGCAAAGTTGAGGGGCATGGCAGCACGTAGGTACCGGTAGAGAGGGTAGTGTTGGTAACTGGCTAAGCGACTACCAGAGGCTCGCTCCTGAGTGGACGTTATATACGAGCAGAGAATCGCAATCAAAAGAGAGTTTGTATCATGGCAGGGTCTCGTCTGACTCTACGGATGTATGCAGAGGAATCTGCCCACCCAGGCTGCTGCACTTTGGACGCGGGTACAGCTCCTTGAGGAGGCGAAGGCCATCCCGGCCTTCGCCATGTAGGCGTAGGAGGTCGCGGTCCCGCGTGGCATGTGGATCCTGAGCAGAACAAAGGAAGACGAAAAGAAGAGTCTAGTGTAATGAGAGGCGACGAAGGTGTTTGCCTCCACACACACATACAAATCCACAGATAAACCATAGCTGGGGGAAGGACGCTGTGGGCAACGGAAAGGAAGAGAAAGGGCTTCTGCCCGTCGAAAGTTGGATGGTAGGGGCCACTCCCGTACTGCGTGGAATCAGAGTCCAGTCCCTTCTACGTAGTATGTCCTGCGACTTGTCAATGCCGGGTCGGAAGCCGGCTCGCTCCCCTCCCAGCAGGTCCGAAAGATAGAGTTTGCAGTAAAACAAGGCACCTCGCTGTCCCATGCAGGCAGCAAATTTCCACATCCCTTCAGCTCGAGCGACATTGATGCTAGCTGCCCCTCCACAGCCCACCTGTTGGACCGAGCAGAGTGAGAGGAGAGGGAATTGAAGAATCCCAGGGGGTATATATGCACGGGCTTAGTAAGGCTTGGCAAAAAACATGAATAGAACGAGGGTAATTAAAGCAGTAAAAACATAACTTGTAGTTTTATTTATAACTTTTGAAGAATTATTATTGAGTTGATATTATAAATATACTTACTTGTATAATTAAGACTTACTTATGTAGTTTTAGTGAGCTGTAATACTTTGATAATATTTAGAATTACTGTTTTAAATTCTTGAATAGGAAGTTTCAAGTATTTATTTATTAGAAAAAGTAGTATAAAGCTTGAAAGAAACTAAACATAAGTCACTTTTTAGTTAAATTAGTAAAGAATAAGTACTATGTATTTCTAATTAATTTACGCGTTATTATATTTTTGATTCTATCAAGATATGTCTTTAAATTTACTATTTACTAGCAAGAAGTACATTACTGAAGGTGGGAGGTTTTGGTTCTAGTGCATTGTCGGTCCCCTGTGGCTACCTTAGTAGTGTATTGGTACTCCCTACGTAGTACGTAACAGCCAGGTGGTAGCACATGGAGGGGTCCAAAACGGAGATCAACTCCGTCGTCGATCCGTACTAATGTATGGTATCGCAAAGGTAGCCGTACCGCTGCAAGCACAATGACTCCCGGCTGGCAACCAGACAATCAGGGCAAAGCGACCTTGGGCGGCTGATACCTTATGGTGTCATAAGCTAGGGATAGTGGATGGATCGTTGGTAGATCCTTTTCTCCTTTCGAAATGTTTTCTCCTTCTTTGTACGGATACAGGGCACGGCACTTGATGCTCTGCAGGTTTGCATGGCCAACTGCCACATATAGACAGATGGGTAAGGAGACCGATGATGTCGGTAAGCGGCGGGACGGGGGCGTGGAGGGGGAAGGGTTCGTTCCCGACAGGTTTGTTCTTCGTCGGCTATCAATTGTCAGCCACCACACGGATACGGAGCGTTGACAGGGAATCGGTGTGTCGCCCAACCTGGGACTTAGGACCCTGAGACTGGTGGTAATGGTCTTTGAAATAAGATGATAAACCAATGTAGGGCCGACGTCTCGGGGATTCGGGGATACACCACACACCACCTCCTCTGTCTGCCAATAGCAGAGACAGACTCAGAGAGAGAGAGAGATTGTGTCAGAGAGAGAAAGTGTGTGTGTGTGTTCCTGTCGTCCCATTGTTGGTTCGTTTGCTGCCGAGCAGGGCGCGAGGAGATGACCTCTTCGATGGATCCTATCCCCAGTCGGAGGATCCGCACTTTAGACTCTCCCGATATGCGGGCTTACGTATGTTGCGGAAACTAGGGTAGGTTTAGAGGAACAGGCTCACAAGTGGTTATGCGATGGGGGTGCCAGCAGAAGCCGTGCAACCGTACACCAAATGCATACATAGTAGGTGAAATGCATGCATGGGCTCTGAGAAAGGAATTCTGACGGAAAACCCAAGTCAGGTCAGACGACATCTGCCGACCATTCCATTAGGGTTTGGTTGTCTGGCCTCTTTATTTTATTTTATTGATGATTGAGCTTGTTCGCCCATCTGGCCTCCCCCCCTCCCCTTTCATCGTCCCTCACGGTGACACCTCGGCCGCAACCTAGTGCAGAGAAGAGTTTCCCGAGTCGAAAGCCACAGGAGGTGTCTCCCTGGTCAATGGGATGGGGCGTCGTTGCAAGGGGGTGAAGACGCGAGAAAAGCGCGAGCAAAGCGCGAGGGGGGAGAGCGGGCGGCGGCCGCCCGGTGGCTCAACTGTCTTCAGCCTTTGGGTAACCACACGCCTTCCACTCGGGATTGCGGCGCACGCTTTGGGTTGTAAAGTGTGAGTTATTGTAATGGCATGGGTTTAGTCATTCGCTAGTTTGCTCGCAAGCTCCATGAATGACTGGCAGAGCTGGATTATGGTTTCCCCTTTTTTTTCCAAGTGTTGGGTCTCAGTGTCGGAGCAAACCTCAGCGATGACGGGAAAAACCCCCCTCCATGCCCATTATCGGTATGTCACTCATCCGAGACAATGGAGCTAATGAGGCAAACCAGCCGAAGTAGGCAGCAGCAATGTCTCCCTATTCCGGTGATTATTGGACTGGCGATATTGATGGGGCTCAGAATAAGGTTGTAACAACAAAGCCACAAGTCGAGTCGTAATTAGCCGACCAGCATTATTTCAGCCGGGCGGTAGGTAGTCAGAATGATATGAAATCATACAGCTTACAGAGCAGAGCAATACGGACACCTATACCTAGGCACCTCGCAGTACAAGGACGTACCGTCCGTGGACTTGTACCCCCCCACTATGAGGACCCAAGGCCATAAAAGCTGTGAAATCCAAGCGGCCACTAGCGTACGAGAGAATGGGGTATGGGTGCGGGTGGGCGTTCCGTTGCCTTGTCGTGTGCATAGCACCCCCCTGTTCGGATACTACACCGTACCAATCACTAGGTGCGAATATATACCTAGGAAGGTAGGTATCCGTATGTACGTACACTATCCGTACGGATACGGATACCGCATCTACTGCTAGCTGCTCCTGACACACTAGCAAGTCTGCTGAGCACATGGAATCGAACCTGACTAAGGAGCGAGTGGGGACGACATTGTCCCATTTTCCCTCGGGCCCGCTCTTTGCCTGCCCTGACCATTCCAAGGCCGCTGGTGACTCTGCATCAACCTGAGCCTCGTCATGGTTGGCTACCGAGCCCCGAGGCTTCCCTCTGACATGCTGCTTGTCATTCACTCCATCATTTGGTCATTCCTTCCACACCGGTCACGCACATACACACACGCTACAATCTCTCTTACACGCCTGCACAATACTCTGTATCGGCCTCTGAGCAGCTGAGTTTTGTCTGATAGCCCCAGGCCTCTCTGCGAGAGTCAGAGTATGAGTGAGAGTGAGACATAATCATAGCATGGAATTCGCAGCCACCGGGCAGCCCTAATCAACCAATCGGCTGCTGCTTCAATCAACAACTTGCTTTCCTTCATCCATCATTAACCGTTATCTTTGCGCCTTAAACACTTGCCCGTCCTACCCACTCTTCCGTTCGCTGATCATCACGACCTTGACCCGTTTCCTGCTCACCGTTCGCCACATACATCGCCGTGACTTTTCCCAAGGCCCAGCCGAACGTGGACCTTTTTCTTCCTTTTCTTCTTCTCCTTCCCTCCTCTTTTTGACTTTTTACAAATCACCCCACGTACGGTAGCACTTACATCATACTTGCCGCAGTTGTACGCACACTCTCTTGCTGCTCCCCCCCTCCCCCTCCCTGGGCTTTGGCAGCTCACCACACGGTTTAGTCTGCGCCTGTCTTCCGTCTCAACCATTGGGCATCGCATGCACATCCCAATGTGCCTTTACGCCAGTTAACACTCGTCACGAATAACCGTCGGGAATTCTGAGTTATACATGCACACACACACACACACACTCTCTCTCTCTCTCTCTCTCTCACGCACTCACACATACACAGAGGTAATTACATTCCCAAACAGCCTGGATCAAAATGGGAAAACCTCCGTTCTACCTGGGTGTCAAAGAGACTTTTTGGCCATGTGGAGTCACACACCTCTCTTGTCCCATTCTGATCTCCAGCTCCAGCTTCATCGCAGGGCGGCACATGGCATGGCGGTTGGTTACACCATGTGTAAGCTTGCGCCAAAACCCGCCGGGGGTTGCTGCTTCTCCTGGCTCGGCTAGGTAATACGGTTTTGACGGCCAACGGGTGGCTGCATGTCTTGCGAGCTGGTGTAACCCGTGACTTGACTGGAGAGATACCGATTCCTGTGCCTCGGTCATGTCAAGCCTCGCTTAGAGTTCAGTTCCTTCGTCGTTGTCGCCCGGCAGTCAGTCGCTATTAGGTAGTTTACCTACTGTTGCTCCATAGCGTTGTCGCTGTGGTGGTGGTGGTGGTGGTGGTCGTCGTCGTCGTCGTCGTCGTCGTCGCCGCTGGCTAGGTTGATTAACCTTTCACTTCCTTACCATAGTCACAACACGCCTACTCCCCCTGATCCCTTTACATACACTCCCCTACGTCCCCTGCCCTTTCACCCTTCAGTTTGTCCTCCAAGATCTCCACTCTTGCCACACGCCTCCCCTTCTCCATGTTCATGATCCGTCCACCATCACATCTTTCCACCCCCTTGTGAGTTGGGATTTCTCGCCCGTCCACGCTACTGCTACTTCTCCACGACGTACTCGGTCTCCATTTCCACCCTTGTAATCTACGGTTCCCCTTCCACCTCCATCTTGTACAAGTACTCGTCGCTCATGGGCTTCTTGCCTGCCCAGCATATGCTCGCGATGCCAAGACTCGTTACGAGCCCAATGACTGCCGCCACGCTATACACTCGTACACTTTGCATAGCGGCTGGATGCTTGCAATGGAACCCCCCCAGTCACTCGGTGACGAGATGCAGGTAGCAGTACCTACCTCTGCTGTTGTGAGTCCCAGGTCGATAGTCTTCCACCCCCCACCCCACACACCCCTCCATCTGTTTGCTCGTCTCGTTTTGCTGATGCTTTGGCCCACGGCTTGAATTGGACCGGGCTGGAACTGACAGCCTTCCGAACTCACTGCTTGACTGATGACTTACATGTACAGATATACCCACGCGCACCTCCCGTGCCGCACTCTCTCTCTCACTTGTCTCTGATCTCACACCTTCTTCCACACCCTTTTACACACCTTCACTTGCCACTTTTTTCCTCGCCACACTCCCCACGCTCTGCCTCTTATTATCACACCCCCATGCGAAGTTAAAGCTCGCAATCCCATACCCCCTTACCAGATACGTATCCCTAGTCGGGACGATTACACTTTTACGACCCATGCCAGGCTATCCGCACCCGTACCTGTCCTGGTCAGCTCACCCGCTCTCTCATCCGCCGCGGCAAGGACAGTATGCTATGTATGAGAGAAGCGTCTAATCCGGGGTTGGGTTTGCCCTATTCGGATCAGTGCCATTGTACCTATCGCCCATCGAACCCACAGCAAAGCTCAGGTCCAGCTCTACCCTGTAACAGACACGGCGAGCCAAGGCACAACGTCAAACGACTGTGCGCCTCTTTATTGGAGCATTGCCAGAGTCCACGGCTTTGGCTCTTGTGCCTACCTCATTGCTGCTGGCCCCGGCAGCTCATTAAATATCGTCGCCCCCTCCCCCGTCACCTGGCCCCAGATCGGACCAGTCCATCACATATATCATCTCTCACTACCCCAGGCCTTTTTCAACCTCTTGGCCACTATAGCCTCCTGCCAAAGATCAACATACATACATTCGCCCTCTCCCTCTCTCTCTATATATACACGTCACCTCTTCCACCACTACAATACGATGCTGTCTATCACACCTCAGGGAGACCACCACAGCCAGTCGCACTACCTCCCATTCAGACCTCTGCCTTCCCCGAGCCGCCCTGTTACCGACCTGCCCTTCCTCAGCTCCCTCGCCAGCAGTATGGGCCACAGCCTCCACGTCGGGAACACCTCGTCGGTGACGGCAGCCTCGGTCAAGGATGCCTCCAGCGTTGCGCAAGCCCTCGAGATTGCCAGAGAGAGCCCTGACGGTGCCTCGGACCCGACTGTCAGCTGCATCCTGGAGAGCGCTATCAGCCAGATTTGGGCCAAGGTCGCCGCCCAGCCCGAGTCGTACGTTTTGAACCGCGACGAGTTCGCCGTCTTCAACTACTTCCAGCATCGCTTCGCCGGCAACAAGATCGCCATGGCCGCACGGAAGCGCTACTGGGACAACGCCCGCGCGTGACTCCCAAGCTCCAGACTCTGTTAAGAAGCGGTTGTCATCTCGGGAGGGCAACTAGCTCATTGTGCATAGCTCGGCGCGCAGGCTCGCGACGCTCTGCCTTCTCCTTGGGGCTCACACAAGGCGCCGAACCTGCGAGGCGTAACATGCTGGTGCATCTGTACATCAGCAGCGTGCATCCTTCCCCGGCACCTCGTCTTGCACCCCGAAAAGAGCTGCATCTATACCCAGCGGTCATACCGTGATCACAAAACGTAAACCGGCGACTCGGGTTCAGTTGCCACGCGTTTTGGGAGAAGCATATCCATCACACTTAATAACGAAGCAACAAAGGCAGTCAAGCGGGTTGGCAGCATTTACACCCTTCCCTCTCCCCGGGCCATCTTTCCACTTCTCCATCAGTCGGATTAAAAAGCAGACGACCAAACGACAAGCTTGCTTCTCTTTCAAGCCATGGGTTTTCCCTCCAAGCAGGCGTCCGATCCCGCCGTCCTCCGCCCAGAGCCCTGCCAACCTGCTTGTCGTACCCGGGCATGCAGTCTCGACTCTTGGGTGCACCTCGGTCCCCTTATCCGTCCCATCCTCTTATCAGTCCACTCGATGTATATTTCCGCTCTAATACCCGAAGACTATACCCATTCATCAGACCAAACCCCACCTCGGTCTGGGTATCCTGCCTACAAATAGGAAAATTGGAATGGGTCCAAGCGCCCCGTCCCTTCGCTCTTTTTTTTTTTTATTAAAAAAAAAGGGTAAAAAAGCAGAAGAGAAAAAAAAAGAGTAAAAAAAGAAAGAAAACAGGACCCCTTACACACACTCTCTATCTGCTCCGTCTCAGTCTTCCCACTTCTCCCTAGGACTCCACTGCAGAACGTCACAGCGCAGCCTGCAACCTGCATACTCAGGGAGACAAGGGGGATGAAGGGCAAGCGACCCGGCAGGCAACGTCCAGTACCAGGATCGGTCTTTATGGAAGACAGGGCTTGCCTATCTCCATGTGCATTGTCGCAGCCTGGCCCATTGCACCATCCTCCAGATGAGACGGTGGTCTCTCCAACAACGACGATGGGCATTCGGGACACTTGACGGTGCATCCAACATGGCCGACGAGAATGGCAAGGCAGCCTTGAGCACAGACATAGAACGGTCGCTCTGCAGCTAATCTCAGCCCTCGCATCGTCACGATGTGTGATGCTGCCATGTCTAGACTTGCCGGGTGGGGGAGGGTTAGACGGAGTCATTCGGGACGACGTGTTGGTTTCGGATCACTGGTTGCTGATGATGATGATTCAAGCCACTGGTCACGTCTACGGTTTCTTGGGTGGTCAACTGCACTGTTTAGTCCCGTCGCTCCTTGTTGGAGTGTGGCTTGGCCAGCGCCAGAGGCGCCTGCGTGGAAAGCCGCTAGGACGCTGCCATGACACGAGAGCGACCAGATGGGACCATTTCATACTCGGGAGTACCAGGTCGAATGTCTTGGATTATGGAACGCGCGCGGGCGATTCGGGCGAATGGTGGCGGATCGTCAATTGTGTCAGTTTTATGCTTTTTGGCATTCTTGTCGAGGGAGAAAAGGCTATTTGCAGACAAATAGCCGGAAACAATTGCCCGGTGGTTTGGCGTCAAAGTGTGCGTGTCACTCACCATACTCGAGTATTTATTTTTGGATTTTTGTGCTCGGGGCGAGGCTATTTCTTGTGCATCCTATTCTTCTTCGGGGGGGGTTTTTTTTTTCCTTCCACAACCCGCTATGTACATATATGACGACAAGGCAGCATGGCACGGTTTGGTTTTACAATCATGCATCATAGACATTTACCCTAGGTGGTTTTGTTTTTGGTTTTTTTTTGCTGGGTGCACTCTGGCTGGCATTTGCAAGCGAACGGGGGAAAACAACATAGCTTGATTCATGATTCTCACATCCTCAGACCTTCTCTACCTCGTGTCTTTCCATGCACGGTTGAATGTGACTGACTGCGCCTCCAATAACAATAAATTCAATATTGACATTACTAGCAACAGATTGGTCTGGGCGGGCTGTTGTTCACCGGCTTGACTCTCTTGCCTCGACCAGTGCTGCGGCAGCCAGTCGATCGAAACTTCCCCCACGACTCTTGCACTCATGCATCGATTGCGCCTCTTCTTTCTTCTCCTCCATTAACTAACAAAATTACCCTGAGGGCTACCTCCTCGAAACGGCAGGTGGCCCCAGCTCGAAATTTCAGCTGGGTCGCTTTCCTCAGAAGGTTTAAGGTTATTCAGTGTTTTGTTCGCATGGAATGGCAGGTGCGTGCGGTATGTACGGCGACAAAAGGGGAACCCGAGCATGGAGCAAGGTGCAAGACGACGACGACGACCTTCAGAACGGGCAGGAGCCGGCGCGCGCTCTTGCCTTGCTCTTGTCGCAAAGCAGCCACCAAGAGAAAGAGGAGAGCAGCAGCAGCAGCAGCAGGAGCGGCAGCGGCGGCAGCAGCAGCACGGGCACGGGGTCCCTTCTTGTTTAGCTTTGGATGATTAGATGATCATTGAGACCGAAAGAGGAAATGGGCAAGAGAAAGAAAGTGTAGCATGGAAGGCTAGATGGCACGATGCACCATTACCGCATAACTCCATCTCGAGCCTTTTCCTGCCTCCTCTCGGTGTGTCCGTGACTTCCTTTGTCAACTCTTCATCTAGGTATCTGTAATTTATCCAAAGCTCACTCATCCCCATGAAACGGTCCTCGTTAAACCATAACTCAATATCCGGGTCGACAGGCTTCTTCTCTATAGGGCCAATCCTTTCCGACTGCCCTGTTCCGTACCTGCCGTAGGTACACGATTGAGGTCACCATCTTCCTTACTTTTACTAGTTACGCCGCCTTTGAGCTTACACTGGCCGATCGATATCGCTTACCTTCTCGCCCGACGCACCTCCGCATGCGATCTCATACTCACTATAATTACTAGCCAAGGTACATACGCGCCAGATCCAACCCCATCGTGGTTCGCCCTACAGCCTGCCTCCCGGCTCGCCTGCCCGCCACCGCCGCCCAAACCGTCATACTTCCAATAGATGCAAATCTACCGAATCTATCCTGTCACTTCGCCCACCGGAATCCTCGTCACGCATTGAGCCGTTCAGCCTCTAATTCCGTTCAGCTGCTTGCACTGGCGTTTTCTCTCGCAGTTGGCTTTCCGTGGCGCTCACTGGGCTGCTTGCTATTCCTTCACCACCCCCACCCCTCTCTCTCTTTCCGGAACCCTCCGGCCCCCCTTTTCCATCTAGCTGACCGGCCCTATGGGATTCGGTGGCTTTTTTGCTTGATAAGCAGTTTTGGCCACATCCTCTTCTCTCTCGTCACGCGGTATCTGACACCGGCCACCAGACACCTAACCGAAATACAGGGCAGCCCGGCCTCGAGGTTGCAGAGCAAGAAGTCGAAATCCGAACCTGCAAAGGCGCCACACGATGGCCCCACGACGGGTCACCAGAGCGCTTGCCGTTTCGTTCTTTGTCCTCGTTCTGAACACGGGATTCGTAGCTTCATATAACCTAACCCCGGAGGCGGCCCTCTCGGACTATGGCACCCGTCACCAGGGAATCATGGCTGATGCTCCGGCGCCGCCGGATCCTCAGCCAGGTGCAGAGGAAGGCGGGCAACGGCCGCTCGAATGTTTCCAAGTCGCCCAGCCGGTGCTAGGCCCCAACGGCCCTGTCTACCAGGAGGTTGGTAATAGTGATGATGGCAAGGGAACATCTCCGGCGGACTTTACAGGGTGTAGGGTGCAGCTTATGGACCACTCATTTGGCAACAGCTATGGCAAACCCTTTGTCGGTAAGTTGCGTCTTACCATTGGCTCATACAGGTTCATGGTTGTGAAGCGGAGATGGATCCCCTGACTTGGTGCCGACAGGTGATTACACGCCTCCCAACTGCGACTTTAACCGCGTTATTGTGAACTTTACTGCCACATCTGCAGGCCGTCAACTGGATCGGCTGGCTTTGTTGTATTTCGGCGACACGGAGGTGTGGAGAACATCCACAGCGGAGCCCAGAGCGGCCCCCGGGATTGTTTGGACCTATTGGAAGGACATGACCCCGTACCTTAGCCTCTGGAAATCTCCCCAAAAGATCATTTTCGACCTGCCTAACCTCATCGGTATGTTTGCTTGGTTGACGCTCCAGCACACCTCTTAGCGACCCAGCCATCCATGTATCAAATGATTGGCCGATGCCACCAAACCCCGACCCGCTACTTTCATCGGAGACATTGGATTGGGGGCCAAAACCGCTAACGCCGCCAAGACGACAGGTATACCGCCCCTTTCAACTGCACCCTGACCGCAACCTTCTTTAAGTCCGATGTGGGAACCGACAATGCACTCCCCGCTGACCTCATCATCCCCATCTCGTCACGGAACGCGTCCTCCAACACGGGCAGTGCCTGGCAAGTGCCAGAGCGTGAGGCCGTGAGCACCGTCAAATTTCCGCGCAATGCCAATCGAGCAGTCTTCTCCGTCTCAGCCAATGGCCAAGGAACGGAGGAGTTCTGGTGGAGCAATGTCCTCGACAGCGATGCCGCAGCTTTCAATGCCACCGTCGGTATTGCTCCTGCTGGAAGCCCTTGGCGCGAGGTCCAGGTCCTCATTGACGACAAACTTGCCGGAGTGCAGTGGCCCTTCCCTGTCGTCTTCACCGGAGGAGTCGTGCCTAGCTTACACCGACCGCTCGTGGGGCTTGACGCGTTCGACTTGCGGGAACACGAGATTGACATAACTCCCTGGCTCCCGGTCCTGAGCGACGGCCAAGAGCACACCTTCAAGATCAAGGTTGCTGGCATCTCCGACCAAGGAAACCGGTTAATCGTGAACACCACCGTTGGTAATTTCTGGGTGGTCTCGGGCAAGGTCTTCCTCTGGTTAGACGAGGAAGGGTCTATCACGACCGGCAAGCCGCCTACAGTTTCTATTTCCGACCCCGATATCAAGATATTCGGCCGTGCGGTTGGGAAGAACGCAACCGGTGCGAACGAGACTCTCACCTTCAACCTGGGCGTGACGCGTTCTATCTCAGTCAAGGGCGAGGTTGTTTCCAAAAACGGGACCAGTCATCCCGAGTGGACACAAAGTCTGTCATATACCAACAGTGCAATACTAAGCCGGTTCGGCCGCGATGGCTTCAATGACTTTGTCATCGCCGGCACAGATGCGCTGCTTGGGGGGCCGGCCAGGTACCAAACGACATACTCGTATCCGCTGATAGTCAACCAGACGGCCGACATGACGCCAGCCGGCGACCTGAGCCTGGAAGCAACAATGTACCAGGAGCTGAGGTTGGAGGTCGAAGGCGCGGGTGTGTATCCAACCGGCCTCGAGGCCTATAACGCTGTTGGCCAAAACGTGCAGGGACGGAGCGGTCAGTACAGTGTATCGAAACTTTTCACTTTCCGCAACGGCACGGCTACGTTCACCATGCCGGCAGATATGAAGAGCAGTTCGGCGTTTGGGACGACGCGACAAGTCTTCCTGTTCAGCGGCGGCCAGGACAGGGCACGTGACGTTGAACTATACACGAGGAGCGTCTTGGCTACGAACAACACGGTGCTGTCCGATAAAGAAAATTCTGCCGATGGGCGAGGGAGAATTTTGACCGTCCCAAGCCTTCCTTGAGACACCAATCAAGACGGGTAATGAGCATACTAGATACAGAATCGTTCCATGTTTCAGGGAGACTCTCCCCGTGGACAAACATGACATGCCGAACTCCGGGTTGCACCGACCAAGTGAGATCTAGACGAGCAGCACACGCGCCCAAGAGTGTGTATCGAGTTGGCCCAAGTGACCTAGGCACTAGGGCACCTGCTAGCGATGTGTCTGTCTCACCTGAGGCTACGGCAGGTAGGGAGGATAGAACCGGGATTGTCATTTTAAACTTTCGGGGTTAGAAGCAAACAGCCAAGCAACGGTGATTTGCCCCTTATCCCCCCCAGTCTAGTAAGTAGGTATCTATCTGTATATGTCACCTACACAGACATGGCAACTATCGATGGACGCGTTCCACATCGGAAACCAATCAGCCACGTCTCGCCACTAGTGCCAAGTTCTTTTAATAGGGAGAGGGAGAGAGTCTACCACCCGGTAGACAAAAAAGATAGCACACTAAATTTTACCTACACCATACTATCGCAAACCACACAGTATTTAATTAATAAATATACCTATATAAATTAATTAAATTAAATATAAAGTAGTTCTATTTACTATTAAGTACACTTACTATCTATATTAATTATTTCCTATAGTTAGGTAGGTATTAAATTAACTTAGTTATTAATAGTTAACTATAATAATTACCTCTAGCCTTCCTCTACTAATTCTTTAACTTTACCCTCTAACTAATATATAAAGTGCTATATAAGCTCTTTAGGTATTTACTAGTAATTCTTAATAAGTAATAGATCTAGGGAGTTATAATAATTAAAGTAGCTCTTTAGGCTATTTTAAGTCTTCTAGTCCTAGACTTTATTTCTTAGTAAAGGCCTATAGCTACTATTACTATCCTTTTTAAGAATAAAGTTATTACCTTACTTAATCTAGGGTTTAACTACTAGCTTAAGGATCTAGTTAATATAGTAGTTATATATTATTTTTTTATTTTTATTCTCTAAGTTATAAAAAACTAATAGACTTTTAAACTTATATCTAATTATAGCTTATATATAAATATACTTCTAATCTTTATTTTAAGGTATATTTACTTTTTAGATATAGTCTAGGCACTACTTCTTACTAGGCTTTTAAATAATATATAGTTTTCCCTTTAGCCTAAGGCTAAAGTAATATTTATTAAAAAATTATACTTAGTGCTAGTCCTTAGGGTAAAGGTACTGCTTTAATATATACTTTATAAAGGCTACTTAGTTAGTAGTAGTATATAAGCTAACCTAACTATAGTAGTAGGTAATACACTTATAATATCCTAGTGTACCTATTACCTATTAGACTATTCTTAGGCTATATAAGACTTTAAGACTTACTTCTTATAGTAAAGTACCTTAAGATAAGGTTTATACGTCCTAGCCTCCTCTTTATATAAACTTATTAAGAATATAAAAGTTAGAGTTAGTAATAAGGCTTCTCTAGCTATATATTTTATTAATAAAAAGGTTATAATAGAACTATTATAAATAGTCTTAAAGTATATAATAGCTAGTTCTTCTTATAACTTAAAAGTAGTTAAATACCTATTATTTTAGGTAATCTAGATTAATCTTTTATAAATATTTAATTACTCCTTAAATTTTAGCTTTTTTTAGAGTCTAAACTTTATAACTAGGTATTATAATAGAAAGTTAGTTTTGCTGTAAAATAATAATAAAGTAAAGAAGGGAGGGAAAAGGGGGGAAAAAGGGGGGTATAGGTAGGTAGGTAAAATTTAGTGTGCTATCTTTTTTGTCTACCGGGTGTCTACATAGTACGATGTACCTTTGTACTCCCCGGGTTAAGCTTTTCGGAGAGGCTGCCAAATCTCGAGCCACCTTGCCGGGCAGCGATCTACAGGACGGACAGCGAATCTCGGTGGCAGGTTGAAGTGGATCGCGCCGCACGACGCGGCAAGGGGTCTTGAGAATACCTCGGTGCATGGAGCGTTTTGCTCTATTGGCTTAACTGATGGACATGCATTCCTTTACACACATGTATATCGCGCGGTTGCTGCACGCGTGCTCCTTCCTATGCCGTGCATGGTTTACCTAGTATCGGTTGTTGGCAAAGATGCAACCGCCAAGGGCGGGGTGTTTGTCCGTGCCATCATCATGTACGAATGAATATCTGCTCGTGCCACGAAAGTCTGCCCGAGTGGGTATGGGCGGGATCGTGGCCCTGTGCGCATGCCCGACAGGACGCCATGCGCCGTCAAACTTTAGTGCCCCGACATTAGGAATGAGAGAATCACCACGGCAAAACCATGAATTCCATGGGCGAACCATTCTGGGTTCCCGGGTGCGCTGCCCCGCACCCCCGTCGCGGGCATCGTCCGTCCCTCATCGGTCCCGTCGTTCCTCACATTTCCACCCTGTGCGCATACAAGCACAGGCTATTCGTGCCTTATCCGTGCTGCCACGGCCCCAGGTACACAAGGCATGTGCTTCCAGTGCAGGATTGCCCAGTTACGCGGCTTTCACAGGGCGAGCGAGCCCTTGGCGACTGGCGCCCGCACCAGCCTCTCCTCCGAGGGGGGAGGGGGTTATACGCTAACCACGTACTACACGTCGCCGTGGAAAGCCTAATTGAGATTTTCGCAAGCGCCTCGATCCAGACAAAGCCTCATACATCACACGAAGCCGCCCGGCAGTTTGGGAGGAGGAGGATCACAGAGTGGAGGGCGTGTGGCGCTTGACGGACGGTCTTACCCCCTTCCTTCACCTCTCTCTCTCTCTCTCTCTCTCTCTCTCTCTCTTTCTCTTATTCTCTCATTCTCTCATTCCCACCCCCCCCCTTCTTCATCTCTAGCCGGGGTCCATCTCTCCAACAGACGATGCGAAATAGGGGTCGACGCCCGCGATAGAACACTACCGTCGATCTTTAATATGCAACCGCAAGCCAAGAAACATCACCAAACCTTAACATTCCTTCTGCCTGCGGACCACATGCCTAGGTATGTACACTACCGCGCATCGACTCCACATCCGTATCCCCCTTTTCCCTCCCTCCCTATTCCCCCCTCTTCCGCTCCCTCGCATTCTCCTCTCTCGGCTTCTTGAACTCTATGGCACTCCCCCCCCAGGCCGTGAGATGTCCGATCCTCGCAGATAGGCTTTGACGAGGCTTGTCGATGACGCTGCGATTGCCAGCCAGAATAGGTACCACGCTCTAGAGCGGCCGCTCCTTGCACACTGGAATAAGCAAGGCCGACAACGAGGACATGGCAATTAGTACGGGTTCGGGTCGCTCTCCCCTCCCCCCAATTCGCTGTCGTCTAACACACGCCTCGCGTAGGTGCCATAATCTGACACCCGTAGAATCAAGTCGACTCTTGGCATTCCTCTGTCCAATCTCACAATAACACCTTCTTGGTGCACACCCCGGTGCCGAATCGGCTCCTGCAAGACGGGCGACCGACGTTACCGTCCAGCATCAAGGACTTACACAATGACGGGTGTTGCCAAGTTGAGGCGAACCGGGAGCGGTGATTGGTGGAGAGGGGGTTGCCTTCTGGAGGCGACCCGCCTTCCCGGGCGGTGCCCTCAGTCGGACGGTCTGAGACCCACACCACACGCCCTTCCTCGAGCCGATACCTACCACAAAGGAGGCCGGTTCTAGAGTTGGTTCACCGTGGGGTTGACAAGATGGGACAGGAACGATAAAGAAAAGGTTTTGGAATGTCGGGCGTTTGCCTTGGTTCCCACTTCATTTCCGAATCCTTTTCTTTCCTTTCTGCGTCCGTTCCCGTCGGAGAAGGCAATGCGTGATGCTCCGACACGCGGGCGCCAAGTGTCCCATTGGATGTTGCGCCAAGCACGGAGGCCAGGGAGACGTTGGCTTCGGTTCGGTGGTGGAGGCACGGCGGCCCACAGCTGGCAACGGCCGCATTTTCTCCACATCATACCATGTACAAACACTATCGTGCATAGTGATACGGGCTTGGCGAAGATCGATACACCTAATTACACCCAGTAAGGCGAGGCAAAACAGGACAGGACACGCTATTGATTGAGTCAGAGCACGAAAGGGCAAAGTCAACAAGCGAGCCCCATCTGGTATATGCCCACCAGAAGTCTAAGTCAGGCGTGACAGTGCTGCGCTGGCATGCTTGTGGGCAGACTGAGAGGGAGGGAGTATCCGTATGCTTTCCTTCCTCCTTCTAGAAGTCCTGTCGGAGTCCGCGACCGATTTGGGGGGGAGGGGGGAGAAGGAACCCGGATATCGGCCTGCGCGGAGACGTGATAGGTACACGAATGCAGGGCTAGCTGGGTCCAGGGCCTGTTCCGACCATGTTCCCCTTGGGCATGTCTCCATGTTTCCGCGCCCTGCGGACACGGAGTGTCGAAAGGATAATAGAGTCGGTGTGCGTTGGAGCAGCAGCTCCAGGGGGGTTGGTTGAGCTCGCTCAGACTCCACAACTGACCGACCTCCCATGGAGACCGCGCCGCCTCGCCGTTGCGCGGCCCCGCAGCATCGCTTGAAAGTGGCTTGCTTGCGATGCCGGACAAATCACTGTCATGGGAGAGTACGAAATGGCAGTTTGAGGGGGATAGAGGGTGGGAGGGGGAAAGGGGGTGGGAGGGGGGAGAGAGGGCGTCTGCGAAAAATTGGTACCGGTACTGCAGGTGTCGGAGACTCTCCGATGCTAGACGGCTGCAGGTGTCAAAGTGAAGCGGCCGACGCTGCGGGACAGAAGACTGTTTGTTGCTTGGCCCAGCCGTGTTGCCGCCCGAGGAGGGTGTGGCATAGGGTGGGCTTAGGTCGATGATGTACGGATACATCGTCACCATCCCTTGGTATTCGCGGCATCACGAAGCAAACATGATGTGGGCAGCAGGGGAGGGGGGCTGAGCGGAGCCTAACCTCATGTGGGTGTACCGGTATCACGGTACGAACGTCGGCCGTTAGGGGAAGCGCGATCTGGGTATCCCGACGACCCGTATCAGAAAACCTACCAAGAGTGAGAGAACAAAGAAAAAAGGAAGCATGGTGTGACGCCTTGGCTTTCTTGACGTGTTCTCGCGAAACTAATCATCAACCATGGGATGGCCTCGAGGCGGCAAGGGAATACCTACATACTGTACATACCTAGGTAGGTAGTACCCGAGGTATCGGTACACCTGAGAGGAAGCCTACTTACTTTTGGGGAAAGAGTGGGGGCAAAGTGATTAGTGCGAAGAGGGAACAAACCTTAATTACCAAAACGACCGCTTGCATGTAAACTACCTGCCGCATAAGCGACACGGCTTAGAGTTTCCACCCCCATCATAACCATCATCGTTGTTCTTTAATTCAATTTTCTTTTCTAGTTGTTCGCTTTGACAAACAGAATAGGCCCCGCCAGACGCCACTGGTGACAGTACTAGTTCCTGGCTCACGGCCGTAAGAGCCACATATACTCCCCACGATAGTTCCGCTATACCTAACAGTCCCAAACCCCTCGACGATGCTCTTGGTAAGCCAGCCTGTTGCGAGCTGCAAACGCTTGGGCTCCTGTGGTGCATCGGGGCCGGTGATGTTCCAGCGCCGCGAGATCGCCAGCAACGACGCCACACTGCGCTGCACAGGCTCAAGGCACACCTGTTCTTCTTCCCTCACCCGTCAACGTTCGTTAGTAAACTATTGGGCCGAAACGAGGGATTCTGGCTTGCCTGCTGGCTTGGTCTCTGTCCTTGGCGCTTAGCGCGGGGAGGGGGTGTGCAGCGTGGGTGCAAAGTCTTCTATGCCAGACACGCTACAAAGGACTTGGGTCAGCCGCCCGAAAGAAGGTTTCTTCCTACCGAGCAAGGGGGGGCGAGGAGAGGAGCTGAAGACCAAACAATAGGCCGGTCTGATATAGAGTTTCTGCCTCCCTTTGGAGATGACTAGATTTCGGCCAGCTCCAACATCTGACCATCATGTTGGTTGATATCGTATGGCTTGGGCCCCATGGCCTGATTACTTTCAGCCGAGCCGAGGAGAGGATACACAGCCGGGACGGGACCTGCACGGTCGAGAAAGAAAGAAGAAGAAAGGTTATCGTGCCGCCTTGGTCTGTTTCTGGCTATTCCAACTCCCAGAGTCAGCGCTCTTGCACGGTCGACACATTGTCCCTTGGGCCGTCCTCTAACCCACTCCCCCGCGCAGTCGTGTGAGAGTAGAGTTCGCCGGGCAAAAACATCGGCAGGAGCGAACCGATTTCACGAGGACAGAGTGTCAGCAGGAGCGAGTGCGAGTCTTGCCCCGTCCGTCTGCCATCTCTCCTGGAGAGAGGGAGAGTTTTCCTCTTAAACTTTCCACGTTAGCGTGGAGCCAGGCAAACAAAACAAAGCAAGAACCAAAAATACCAACAAAACACAAAGACGAAGAGGAGGGGAAAAGAACGACTCTGGCCGTGCCGCCTGGACGGGATGAACATGCCACCAGCGCATGTCATACATGCGTCGCAGCGCCCGCTCTGCCTTGTGAGCCCCCCCCTCCGCACGCGATTTGCTCTGCTCAGCTTGCTCGACCCCGGTCCATCAACGATCCATCTCCACAACGAAAGTGAAAAGCTAGATAGGACTTGACGGAGAAAAATAAATAGAAGACCTAGCTGCAGTGGAGAGGTGGAACAGCCACCGACAGACTTATCGATCGTAGCCGGCCGTCCACCTGCCTCTTCTACGAATAAAGCTGTGCGTTTGCATCTCCAATCCCAATCTTGTCCAACCCCCCCCACCCCCATCAGGTGCGCGAAACGAAGAGACGGTATGGCAGTGCTAGGTTGGATCACCAGATAGATTTGTAGTTTGATCGTGCATCCCGCCGCATCATGCTCTCTCGTCTTGATTGGGCTTAAGCCGCTCCGACCAGGGGAAGTCGTGTGTGTGTGTGTGTGTGTGTGTGTGTGTGTGTGTGTGTGTGAGTGTGTGTAGATAAACAAGTTGGTCTTGATTGAAGTACAAGGTAGCATTAGAGACGTGTTTCAGTGTGTATTTACTGTGAATACTTGTTTGGTTCATCGCCTGGCTATGATAACACATGTCATAATTCTCGTCCATGCGTATATCAATACGTCTGCCTTTTCGTGGGCCCCTGTGGCCGCCGCGTCGACAACAAGTCGCGACACCTCACTTCGCCCTGTCGATGAACCAAGGCCAGCTTTGGTAGTGTTTTACACCGTACGCAGTGTAGAAGCAGTTTTTGGCTTTGCGGTGGGGGTTATGAAATCACAGAGACCTTGACGTCTGGCTTAGACCTAGTTCAAGTGGACGCAAATGTGGCGTTTGCCTATTCCGTGACCCTCCGTACTGCTCGGTCCTCAGCAACCGCGCTGAACTTCCAACTGAACTATAATCCGCCGAGTCAATGATGTGTATAATCGGATTTACAGGTCAGGGTGTAAGACTAGAGAGAGAGAGAGAGAGAGAGAGAGAGAGAGAGAGAGAGAGAGAGAGAGAGAGGGAGGGAGAAACGCCCAAGAGACAAAACCAAGGACGACGCTGTTCCCCGAATAGCGAGACCTACCGTCCAATATTAAACTCTCTTTCCTCCTTGGCCGCCATCCCACATGCCAACACCTCCATTGCCTTCTTGTCACCCCATCTCAAGTTTCGTTTCGTCGCAAGAAAAAAGAATTCGACACCCTCCCCCGCATCCACAGACCAGGAGGGGGGGTAAAAGATGAAGGAGAAAAGGGGCTCGAGGCGGGTGTGGGATGAACCAAAAACTCTATTGTTACTAAGAGAGAGGGGGGGGAGGGGGAGGGAGAGGGAAGCCTACATGGTTTCCGCGGTAGGTGGTCAAACTTGTGAACCTGAAAAGCTTGAAGCGATACGCGCCCATGCAATGTGTGGAGCGGTCTGACGGAGACGGAGTCCGCAGACAGGCGTATAGAGCACGTTTCGTCACGTTCGCCTCTTGGCCCTCTCCCGACCCTCGGTGACTTGTAAAAGTCCTGCGAAATCTGCTGAACCTGGCATATCCATCACCTCCTTGGCATCCCAGGCCCATCCCTTCCTTTTTTTTCTTCTTTTCATTTCTTTATTTGGGCCGGAACCACTGATTCGTGCTGGCGACGGGGATGGTTTCGCACCAAGCTGTAGAGTTGGGAAGAGTGTGATTCCGACGAAAGCACAGCACGGCCGCGGACTTTGTCAGACATCACAAATGAACGCTACACACAAGCCCGTGACCCGCGATTGTGATCGGGCACGTACGTACGCGCAAGGGGGGAACGTCACGGTTTGGGGCTGGGTTGCTATCGTCAGCATCACTAAGACGGGACAAACGCCATAACACATGTGGAAGGGGTGGAGATCGGATCGGCGACGAAGGATGACAGAGTTTCCTCAGGGGCTGGGTCGAAGCAGCTTATGGCAAGCGAGTGATCAGACAAGCAATCGCATCAGCGACTGGCATCCTGAGTTCGGCAGATGGTCGTGCGGCTGAGAGGGAGGGCGGTCGCGGCTCCTCCGGAGATTACTGCACCGTGCCGTAAATTCAGACTTAGGACGGACCCGCAATTTTTGCCGAATGCTCTCGTCTTGTCCCGGTCGACGGTCGTCTGCTATCTCGGCTCGGGGGCTGGCACAGCCCTAGACCGCATGTGGCATATGTGCATGTTTCGTGCCAAGGTATGACGAGGGTCCTATCTGCCCTCCGTCCCGGGCTTTGAACAGGTGTATCGTCTGAAGTGTTCCGCGACGTCCCTGAATTTGAAAGACCCGAGTCGGGGTGGTGAGGGCAAACTGCTGTCTAGGGTCGCCATGAACTGTGAAACCAACACTTGCCCCGATCAGGGCGTATTGCTGCCGTCTGACTCTCTGCCGACCCTCTCTCTTTTGACTTAGCGGTGCCGCTGTCCGAACTGAGCTGGCTTCTGCTTTGAGTCTTGTCTCGTTGCTCCGAGCGCAGGTGACGCGGTCTTGACTTTTGGACCGTGTCAAGGAGTTGCATGAGGCTCTGCCACAACACGCCCTGAGGGGCTAATACATGCGATGGACACGATCCGCGGCGTGCGATACGAGACTTGCGGGAAAATGGACATAAAACACATTCATATCTACACTCACACACGCACCCCCCCACGGAACTGACTGCCAGTTCGGGCCAAGCTTCTTGCCGCCTTTACGCATGGTATCGCGCCCAGGGTTTATGGTTTTCTCGTTCCGGCCTACGGCTTTGGGACTCAGCCGTTGGTCGCTGGATCATATCCTGGCGCAATCGGGCCTCGGATTTGACATGGTTTCCGATAAGACAAAGTTCTGGAGACGGCACCGCGGTTGAGCCGTGATGAGTAATGCTGATGATTTGCCTGATTCAACGCCTACTCGACATGCTGACACGATGTCTATAGTTACCCCCTTGCCACGTTTCGTGCACAACCCGCCATCCCATACGTCTCGAACCAACGGTAGGGAAATACATGATGTTTGTTGCCTCAGCCGAGGCGAGCAAAGCAGAGCCAAGCCCTCCCGAATATAGTCAAAACGAAACACACCACACCCAAACTCCCTTATCCCCATAACCCTGACGCTGTGACGTGGTCCCAACGACCAGCATACCTTCCCATGTCTATTGCTGAGTCTACCGTTTTCAAGTCCTTGTTGGATTACCCCTGTCAAAACGGAAGACAACTTGTCAACAGTGATAATGGAACATCAAAGAAACGACCTTCAGTCCGCTTCGGCTAGTTGCATTATCAACCGCGCGGCCATGTCTAGGAACGGGAAAGGACTTGTGACATCCTTCTCCTCGAGCAGTCTCCTGTCGGCCGTCTCATAGCCAGAGCATTTGAAGTCCACGAGATAAACGCCGTGCTCCATCTCATATATCTGGATGTCCATGTGCAGGGCTACAAAGTCGCGCTTGACTTCGTCATCACCCGTAACGTGGTAACTATCCGGTGTCTTGCTTCCCTCTGTGGGGGTCTCCGATCTTTTTCGCAGTGCTGCAATATACTTAGTAACAATAGATCAATCAGGTCGGAGGGTACAGTTCGACTTACTCTGTGTCTCCCAGCGAACCTTGATGTGCCACGGGTCGGCAGGCAGTTTGTATCGCTTTAGCGGATCTATACTACTCGTTGAGTCATTGCCCCCCTGAGATGTGTAGTCGTCGACAAAGCTACCTTCATTACTGGGCTGATCTGTCTCCGTCCCGTGGAGTTTCTCGTAGTCTTCGTCTGGCACGTAGGTTGCGCCCAGTTTGTTCAACGCTTTGTGTATGCACAGCAAGGCCTCCCACGGCGCGTTACGAGAGCGGATTCCAAACTGCCATCTCACGGGTTTCGTCTTCTTGGCTTGCACCACAGGGGTCATACCCTGAGGCCTTTTGGCCGAGTCGTCGAGGCGGACTTGACTGTTTCTCGAGTGAGGCTTCAAATGCCGGGCCGTCTCTTCCCTTTCAGCGTCTGTACGGGCTGAGGGGCCTGGTTCATCGACCACGATGGTAGGCGTCGGATGGTCCTCAAACCCGCCCTTTTCACGCTCAACGTATTCCTTGTGATAGGCTGGCAGACTACTTGGCAAGATGCCAATCTTGCTGATGTACGGACGCTGCCCGCCCACGGTAGACCCGCCGGATCTGGCTGACGAAGCACTTGGTAAGGGGCTGTTTGACCCATCTTGATCGACTGAGAGTGACGACATGGCCTCTGAAAAGACGTCAGAACGGGACACGCACAGCGTTTGACGTGACACATACCATTCACTTGCATGAGTTTGTTCTCGCGGACAATCATGTATGCATCTTTGATCGCAGATGGTTCGGCAGCCTGCAGGGCCTCCTCAACATCTTTCTTTCCATAGCCCATGGTCTTACTGATCTTCTCCGTGACCTCGTTATGTAGCTTCTCCTGGACCCTTGGAGGGGCGTTGGGGGCGATATCACTCTTCTGGATGGCCTTGTTAGGATCCACGCCCGTGTTGAAGAACTCCTCGACCGGCGGTGCTAAGTAGGCAGGCAGGTCTACCATGAACCATGGGTCCTGTCTGATGTCGTCGATCGTAGCACGCTGTACAGGGTTCACAACCAGCATTTTCTTAATGAGCGTCGCGGCGCCCGAGTTCATCCATTGAGGTATGCTGTACGTTCCGCGCGCAATCTTTGCGAATAGACTGGGAATATGCTCGTCATCGAAGGGTAGTCTCCCGACTAGCAGGACGTAGAGAATCACACCGCAACTCCAGACATCCACCTCTGGCCCGGCGTAAAGCTTACCACCAATAACTTCTGGTGCCGCGTAGTTTGGGCTTCCGCAACTCGTCTTGAGGAAATTCCCGTCCGTCATGATATTGCTGAGACCAAAATCGGCAATCTTGACGTTGAGGTTATCGTCAAGCAGCAGGTTCTCGGGTTTCAAGTCTCGGTGAACGATCTTGTGTCTGTGACAGTATTCAACGGCGCAGAGCATCTGCTGGAAGAATCGACGAGCCTCGGGCTCCTTCATACGTCCATTCTGTACAATGTAGTCAAAGAGCTCACCGCCGGCGTACTCAAGGACCATGATGATTTCGTTGGGTGTCTTGATAACGGTATACCTAGGGTCATTCGGGTTAGTGAGGGGTTTGAACGGATGAGGGGCATGACAGGTGGTTGGGCGGGGAGGCCATACAGCTTAATGATGTGAGGGTGTCGCAAAAGCTGTAGGTATTCGATTTCGCGCTCCACTCGGCCGGCCATGTCGCGACTAATGAGTTTCTTCCTAGCGATGATCTTGAGAGCGACCTGCTGTCCGGTGCCGTTGTGTATGGCCAGCTTCACCTTTCCAAAGGAGCCTTCGCCTAGGGTCTTGATGATCTTGTATGCGCCGATGCGCTGCTCCGTTTTGATCTTATCCCGCAGCGGGGCGGTGGTGTCGACGGGAGGTCCCATGTTGACGGCGTTTATGGCGGCGTCGGGCAAAGGTGGTTGTAGCTCGTGACGACCGGCGGCGGCGGCAGCAGCAGCAGCATCGGCGGCAGCACCGTGCTGCTGAGAGCGACGACGGATCTGGGATGGGGAGAGGCTGATATGGAGCTCCTCCTCGTCGAAACCGGAAGCCATGTTGTCGGTCGGGGGGGAGGGGGGGGGAGGGGTCGTTTTTGTTTAAATGGGTTGTGGCCGGAGCAAGCCTTTGGACCACACTCAAGTGGGCATGACGAAGTTGGATGTGGGTGGATTGTGGAGGGGAACATGGAATGGCGAGGTGGAGTGGGTGCCAAGAAGCTCCTTGGCGCTCCTGGTTCGTGCCAGGCTCACATTGGGTATGACTGATTGACCACCCACCACCCACCACCCCTGCCTGATGTGGCCTGCCGGCCAAGTGCCACACTGCCCTCTCTGAGTCTCACCTGCCCGCCTGCCCGCTTTGGTGGGGGGACCGTCGGTGGTGGCCTGTGCATTTTGATGCCAATTTAGGGGTTTATGGAGGGGCTGCTCCCACTATTTACAGAGTACTCACCGACTCATAGTGGGCAGCTTTGTCGGACAAAAGGCTTCTACGATTGGTGGGATCATTACTTGCGACTGGCGACCTTGAAGAATGTAATCGGCGCGGATCGGGCAGCCTTCCGTTGGGCTTGCCCAAGACGTCCTTTCCTGTCCTGTCCTGGATGATGCTGCAGCAGAAAGATACGTTTCCGTTGTGACACCACCTCACCTCCTGCTGTACGCGTGGGGAGGTGAGCAGACAAGGTGATCACCATATCTTGCACCTCATTTCCTCGGACCACGGGTGAGAATGCGCAGCTGATTACGGCAGCCTCATGGTTGCATAATGGCTAATCGGATTCCGGAAAGAAATTGGCAGGTAGACCTGCCGGCAACCCTCATTTGATAACAGCACCATTGCGTGACGGGTCCTGTGGTGGTGGCTTGCTCGCTTGATTAATTGTCCGCGCATATTGCCAACCAAACACGGTTTCAACACGTTCTCGACAGTACTCCGTACTGAACCATCATCTGTCAAAACAAACACGTGCCTGACGCGCTCGAAGCCGAATCAGGAATTGGACAGACCAATAGACGGCAGGTCGGAGATAGAGACCCAGTGGCTTAAATCCTTCAACCTGATCTCATTAGTGAGAGTAACTTTACAATGCCACCCTTCAATACAAGGTCCGCTCTTGGCTGTTGCAAATCCCTAGTTCTCTTATGACACGAGAAAGAAAACCGAGCCCAACGAATCGCCGCTCGCGCGCATTTCACGAGTGTCTTCGACGGCCCAGCAAACCCGGAGCAGATCAAAGAAGGTTCTGCTGCATCTCTGTATAGGCTAAAAAGGCCTTGATTAATCCTACCACACATGGGGCCAGCTGCCTCGAACCGAAGTTGATCCCCGATGCTGCTGTGGGTAGGCGTTATCAATGCTGCCAACGCGCCGAGAGAGAGAGAGGGAGAGAGAGGCTTGGAGCTTGATTTACAATGGTTTGGGACGTTGGCTCGGAAATCTCCAGGGCTTGTCGGCGAGCCATGCCGGAAGGAAACGTCGCACCGGCGGTGCGAAGCCTGGTGCATATGCCCGCTTCTGTGTAGTTCTACTTTCGTCTACGCACAACGAGAATCGAGGACGGGGTTGTGGGGGGGAGGGGGGGGACCGTGTCTGCAGGACAGAAGATTCTGCAGCAACTCTTTTCCCGAGGTTATGAGGGCCTGCTCACGATCCTCTCCGCTTGCTTGTTCCTTGCCGAAAGACTAGACCAAGTGGAGGCAAGTGGGCTCCCCATAACCCGCGGAGATTTCTTATTGCCTAGGCCCTGTTGCACGTTTTCTTAGGTTGCAATATATCCCTTCAATAGCTATGTTCGGAGCTCATAAATGGGATCATCTTGGCTCAACTAAGGAAGTCTGCTGGTCATGTGTGGTCGTAAATGAAGAGCGGGCATTTATCCGTACACCTCAAGCGTACCAATCATGCTGATTTCACTTCGCGAGCTATAGTCCTGGAAAAAGAAACCCCCCCCCCCCATTTTTTTACGGCTCTTTGAAAGACAACTACGACTTGTCCTTCTTGTTTTCCGCACGGAGCCTCGCGATGAGCTTCTCCTCGAGGAAGGGGCTAAGTCCGAGACTGTCTGCTGTTAGCGAATGCACTCCACCCGAACATACCGAGCTCCATGCTTACATTCCCTCGTTGGTGATGATCCGATACGTCCCGCTAGGCTCGAGCTGCCCAATGATATTACCACTCTGGTCAACCTCAACGCTGCCCATGATATCCTCGGGCCATGCGATTCGACCAAAGTCCGGGGGGTTCCTCGAGTCGCTGAGGTGCACGTAACCACCGTGTCCACCTCCGCCGGCGCCCCCCTGGGCACTGGCACCACCGGCGCCGCTTCCTCCAGCGCCGCCGCCACCGCCGACTTTGCTTGAAGAACGCTGCTTGTTCTTTTGAGAGAAAAACGCGCCTCCGGAGCCGAGGGTGGCTCCCCCAGGACTAGCAAAAGCTTGGGCTTGGGCTAGGAGGTCTTTGTCTTTGTGCGCGTTTTCGGAGAGAACTTCATAAAGGATCTTGGTGAACGTCTGGTTCTCAGTAAAGGAGCGCGGCGACGGGGGATCTGTCGTGGAGAAACCAATGGCTAGCCTCTGGTTGGGTGGATCATCTTCGAGATATGACAGGAGAAAAGAAGCTCGCGATGCGTCGGCAGGGAAAACTTTCTGCAAAGCAACATTGGTTAGGGTCTTGCGTGTTTGTGTTGTCTCAATAACACTTACAATGCGTGGGTTCGACGACAGACTGGAGACTGAGCGAAAAAATATTGACCTAGAGGCAAGTCTCGGGGAAAACCGAGCTGTTGGTGCTAACATTGTGATGTGCATGACGCCAAATTCTCCAGCAACTCGATCCTGAAGCTTTTTTGGTCGAGGGGGATAGCTTCAGCTCTCTTGTCCAATGATGACGGCATATTGGCCCTGTAGGTTGTAGTGAGCTTCAGCCACACCGCCAAGAACAGCCACTTGACCCCACTATAGTGCTGTACGCCACAACGCGATCAATTTGCCAGACGCGTTCTTGAGAATCGGACGCGCCTCAATTAAACATTTGGTACCCCTCTCGCGACGACGGTCGACAACACCTACAGCCCGTTACGACAAACCACCCTACGGAAGTTGACTTAAATCTTCACCTGTCATTTCGCGCTACAGGAACTGCAGAGAGCATCAAGGAGCACCACCACTGCGACTATGGATCCGCTGCCGTCAATATCCCCGAAGCGCAAGCAAATGCCCATGGCCAGTATCTTTGGCGCAAAGACACCTGCCCCCTCTTCTTCCGCGATACCCTCATCTTCGCCCGCATTTGGCACCCCGGTACACCCCCTCAAACCGTTTAAAGTTTCGGCGCCTGCGAAGCATGCGATTCTCCCAATAATCCTCCCACCGGCCACCCTTCGACCTTTGGCATTTCGGACGTTCACGAAGAAACACAGTCTGACGTTGACCTCAACCGCTCTCCAAGAACTCGCAACCTTCATTGGCCGTCATTGTGGCTCAGCTTGGCGGGAAGAGGGCCTGGCGGAGAAGGTGTTGGAAGAGGTGGCCAAGTCTTGGAAGAATCGCAATGGTGGGGTCATTGTTGACGGCGCTAGCACGGAGCTGAAGGATATTCTGAAGACCTTGGAGGGGAATATGAGCGGAGGCAAGATTGTGACGGGCGCAAGGGGCCTGAGCCGACAGAATAGTCTTTTGATCGAGCCGGGACAAGACGCGGACATGTCGAATACGAGGTTGGGGTTGCGGCCAGTACAGTCGTCTTTGGTACGGGAGGATAGCCAACAGAGCTTCGGCATGTCCAGTCTCGGTGTAGAGGAGGACGATGAAGAAGAGAACATCAGGGATGCGCGTAAATGGCTCAATGTCATCGACGCATATGACCATCCGAGGTTCTCTTACAATGTTGCCAAGAAGCATTTCGAAAGGTAAAGTGTAATGCGTTTTGCGACAAGAGCCCGCTGGTTAACATAATGACAGAGAAACATCGAAACCTTCCCTTTTACCACCAGCAAAAAACAAGACTGCTCTGTTCCGAAACAGGTACAACGTCATACACCAAAGGTTACTCAGGAACGAGTCTTTCCAAACGTCAGCCGTCGCGAGCGCCAGAGCACCATCACTTAAGCGCTCTTCGTCGAATCAACTGAATCATAAGATCACACCAATTTCCAACCTCTTGGGCCGCCACGGGAGTCATCATATGCTTCTGGGTATGCTGAACGTACTTCCCGCGGGAGGTCTTGCAATTAGTGACCTCACAGCTACGATTGCGCTCGACGTCTCCCAAGCGGTTGCAATTCCCGAGGACTCGGCATGGTTCGCACCAGGCATGATTGTTCTTGTGGATGGTGTCTACGAAGAGGAAGAAGAGTCCACCGGCAAAGGCTTGAGTGGAAGCAGTGGTGTCGGCGGGACGCTGGGTGGTAGATTCCAAGGCTTCTTCATCGGCCAGCCCCCCTGCGAGAAGAGGAAAGCCACACTAGGTGTCAGCGGCCCAGACGGCGGCCAGGACCACACCATAGGAGGCGGATTCGGCTGGATCGACTTTCTCGGCGTGGGCAGCGAACGGGCTGTCGGGTCCAAGATGCGAAAGCTCGAGCAGCGCCTCCTGCCCCGCCACTCTGCCGAAGAGGTTCCTAGCAGGGGCCGGATGGTCATCCTTGGCGAGCTGAATCTCGACCAGCCACGGACCTTACAGGCCTTGCGGAGGATCCTCACGATATATGCTGCCAAGCCCGAAGGCGTAAGTCCCATGAGCTTCATCATCACGGGCAACTTCACCCAGCACGCCGTCCTCGCGAGAGGCGGTAGCGGTGGTAGCATAGAATACAAGGAATATTTCGACGCCTTGGCTTCAACACTATCCGAGTTTCCAACTCTCCTTCAAACGTCCACCTTTATCTTCGTCCCCGGCGATAACGACGCCTGGGTCTCTTCCTTCACCGCGGGAGCTGCGACCCCACTGCCGCGCAAAGGAGCTCCGGACGTCTTTACGTCCCGCATCAGGCGCGTCTTCGCCGCGGCTAATGCAGAAGTCGGGGCTAAGAGCGACGGCGAGGCCATCTGGACCTCAAATCCCAGTCGTGTGACGCTGTTCGGCCCCAACCACGAAGTCGTCATCTTCCGCGACGACATGTCAGCCCGCCTCCGCCGCGCGGCTGTACGCCTCAAAACCTCGAAGCAACCTCAAAACGAAGACGAAGAAATCCAAACCGCTGGAATTGAAAGCGGCTCAGACGATGTTGTCATGGGCGGTAGCGACCCGGTCGAGGAGCCGGCCGTAGAGGAGGCCATGGACGTCGACATTCCAGGGAAGAGAGCCGCCGTCAAGCAGGTCAGTCCGAGCGTCCCGCAGGATGTGCACACGGCCCGGAAGCTTGTAAAGACGGTCTTGGACCAAGGCTATTTGGCGCCGTTCCGTCAGTCGATTCGTCCCGTGCACTGGGACTACGCGACCGCGTTACACCTGTACCCGCTGCCGACGTCCATGGTGCTCGTAGACACGACCGCGCCGCCGTTCTGCATCACGTACGAGGGCTGCCACGTCATGAACCCGGGCAGCATTCTCGTCACTGGGCGGACGCGGGTCGGCCGTTGGATAGAGTATGAGATTGGGAAAGTAGGGAAACTGCGGGAAACGACGTTCTAACGGGATGGTGTGGCGACTGTCGTCTGGGCGGGGATGCGGTCTGCAGAGGTAGCTGAGCCGTGTATTCGGCGATGTGGAATATAATGACTAATGTTTGACGGCAAATACCTCTCAAAGCTTTCTAGCGTCTTATGACATTCTCCGTGCGATGTTGTGGATCAGTATGTGCTCGCCGAGCTGAGGTTCAAACCGGACGTTCAACCAACCTACTACAAGGCCAAACATTGGCCGGCAACGCGGAGCTGGATAGTATCATTTCCAACACGTAAGTACCAAGCAAATGGAAGCCGAGGCCTGAGTAGAATCTGTTCAAATGTGGAAGGGCAGGGTAACAGCAGCGCTTTTCGGCGTTCCGGAATGTGAGCAGTGCGACCCTCGGTGGCCGATTATTATCGTATCTCGCTCGCGTACTTTATTTCTCCTCCGTCTCCAAACACCCCACTGCGGCCTTGCGAATTGCTTTTAAGCTTGAACTGACCCTGCCTGCAGGGTGGAACAGGCATTGACTATGGCTATCCCAGAGAAGAAAAGCGCAGCCGGCCACTGTAGTCAGGCGGATACACACATAGCCTTTGTCTCGGGCGGATTTACCGTCAATATGACAGTTGGCCTGTATGCCACAAAACACACTCGTATTTACTCACGGCGAGTTGTGCTAAGTAGGTAGTAGTCAGTCAGTCAGCACCGGCTTGGTCTAGTGATATTCTTGGAACAACATGTGTCGTCCTCTACGAAGCCGAACTTGGTATTGCTATTGCAACGCAGTGTGGCTGCTCAGAGCAAGTCATGGGCTCTTTATGGGGTCTGGAACAAGAGACCCGGACCTCTGCTCGGCCATTTGAGGAAGTCGACCGAAGGCCGTCGCCCCGAGGGTAACAAAGGCCGTGCCTCAACCAGTTGCTGTGCCAGCTGAAGGTCTTATCTTTGAGCCATGAGTCCAGAAATGCTGTAGCAGGGCTCACCAGCTGCAAGATACGAAAGACCCAATAAGAATGCGGCCACGCAGGCATGTAAGAGGGCCACGCGGGCCTCGGGAGCCATTAGGACAGGGGCGGATTGAGGTGGACCAGGGGGTTCGTCCAGTCCAGCTTGCAAGAGTCTGTGCGTGCCAGCTGGGATTGAGGCGGACCCTCCTCCGTGAGGCAAACACCTTCATGCAGATTCAGAATTGCCATGCCACTCATTCCTGGTGAAGGATGCCGCGTGTCTCAAATCTAAGGGCTAAGGTGGTATTGTGTGTGTCGCCTGAGGGGAGGGGGAGGGAAAAGGGCCTGTTTGGACCAGTCCAGACCTTTCCAGGCCTTCGTCGAATGGCGCCTCTCTTCGCTCGTGGGTGCGCTTGACCGCCGCTGAAACCGAAGTAATCAAAATGCGGTACGCAGGTTGCCATTTTCTTCTTCTCTTTGCATGCCGCTTAGTGGCGCACAGCCGATACCTCTAGCCAGCCTGGTCGGGCCGAGACTTGGCGTTTGTCACCATCTCTAATGTGGCAGGCCATGACAAGAGGGGATGAGAATGAGCAGTCCTCGATGGTCTGGATCATACCCAATTCAAGTCCCATTCCGGCGCCAGCAACCAACACCACCAGTACATGTGTAGGTAGGTAGGTACCACTGTACCGTGCCCCCCCCCCCTTCTGGGTAGGCGTGCCCCCCTCGGCATTCGGTCCACTGTTTTTTTTTTGATTCCGTCCAATCATGACACAGCCAGCCCTCGCACTTTCAGTCGCCTTTGCCTCTCCTTGTCCTGGCGCCCTGCATTGTGGGGAGATGCCGACCGAGATCTCGTCAACTTCACATATCATCCGACGAAGGTCTCGTTCGCCCCCTTCCGAGGCCTCCGCCTTCGCAATCACATTTTGCACGACCTGGGTCTTTATCAGGATCTCGAACACTCAAACGTCACCACCGCGTGCCTGCATTGCATTGGAACTCTGCGTTGCGTGGGCAGTGTCGAGCTGCCCCGGTTTTCCAGAGCCACTCTTTACGCTGCCATCGTCCAACATCGGTTTTGCAAACCCCATGTTGCATCCTCCAACCGTTCCTCACCCGCCACTGCCCTCCATCTGACGACCCCACGACCTTATCGACCGTTGCAAGTTGTAGCGTGCGCAGCCTTGCTACCTCCCACCGCTGCTCCCGGACTACGCACTCGTCGTCTACTTAAGGTTTATGGATCCGTCCATCGCAGCATTCCTGTATCGTACCCGTTCTCACTGAACCGTCAAGTGCCACTCTGCCATCACCCCAGTAATGGCATTATCGCCTGGAGGCATCGTCCCGGCTCAACTGGGCTTCCTCGCCATCTTCAATCCGTCCCTCGGGCACACGGATGAGACGCTTGACGACCAAATAGTGTACTATGCCTCGGTGAGCACCCAGCGACAGAAGCGTCGCCACCGCTCTCGCACCAAGCCCACCGAGAATATTTCTCAAGAGGAACGCAATGAGCGTCTCCGTCAGATCGGCCTCGCCCAGGGCATGGTCGAATTCAGCAAAAGTTTTTCTGGTGGCCAGCCGGTCGACTCCATCGATACAGAGAAGTCGCGTGTGATCCTCCATGAGCTGGAGCAAGGTTGGTGGATCCTTGCTGTAGGTTTCATCCCTTCCATGCAACGACGCTTTCATCTGCTGATTATTCGCAGTCCGTTGATCTGACCCGCATTCCCCTGCCTCCCAAACTGCAGACCGGGAAGGCCCAGGACTCTCCAGAAGAGGTCGTTGAGTTTTCGTCTAAGGAAATAAAGCCCTCATCTCTCCTGTTGCAGGATATACTCCGTGCCCATTCCATCTTTCTGCTTCACCATGGCACCTCGCTCAGCGCTCTGTTTGTCCGTTCTAGGAGGACAAAGTTTCTGAGTCTTCTTGGCCGATACTGGGACCTGTTCTTGTCAACATGGAACGTTATGCTGCAGGGCAACCCGGTCCGGTCTGTATTCGGCGGCATCAATCTAGCCGCTTCTGGCGAACTGGGCATTGGTGTTGGGGAAGAAGACCGGGGTAGCGGAGAACGAGACGTATTGGAAGGTCTTGTCAGCAGAGTTGAGGGCCTCGTCGATGTTGTTGTCAGCAAGTTTGGCTCTTTCGATGCCGATGGCGAGCATAAAAAAGGCAAGGAGCCAAAGACGCCGTGGCTGGGCACAGGGCAGGATCCAGGGCCTGAAGACGGTGCGATTTTCCTTGGAACAGGAGCTTTGTCCCGGAAGTCGGTCAGAGACGTGTCGCAGTGGATGGAGGACTTATATACTTGGGGGGAAAACGCCTACGGTGTAATTGAAAGCCCGACTTCACTGCGCGCCGCAAGACGCCCGGAGAAAGCCGCGGCGGCTCCGGCGACTAAGTCATCCGACAATCAGGGCGTTCCTGCGCGGCCTCCAGTTCGGCCAAACGGTAGACGCTCTGATTCTGGGTCCGCTTCCGGAAGCTCTGGGTCTACGAAAACGATCGCAGAACGGCGTGGCCAGGAGATTGGCACCGTAGAAGGAGCCAGACGGCCGGAGTTCAGCAGGGAGAGCACCACCGCTTCCGCTGCTATTCCCACCGCCCCTCCAACACAGGAAGGAGACGGGCATATGGATAAGCTAATGACGTACATGAAGCTTGGTTACGGCACCTACTGGTCGATCGGCAAATCAGATACATCGTCGCCTGTCAACAAGAGCCAAGTGTCCTCGGCTGCCGCCCTGCAAGGCGGGGAATCCTCCAGGCACACATCCACCACGGCACCGAAGCCTACACGCGTGGACGACGATGTGGGCCACTACCTCATCGGTCTGGTAGGCGAGGTCGAGGCGGCCGGCGACAGTGGACGTGAAGACTGCAAGAACTCTGATGAAGCGGGCAACGCTGAGTCGAACTCTCGGACCATGCTTCGCACCATTCATGTCGAGCTCGAAAAGACGGGATATGACCGTAACGAGAGAGACGTTGTCAGAGACCTCGGCAGCTTTGCAAATGAAATCACGCCTCTCGGGTACAATGTCGTAAGCTCGAACCCGCAATTCGGAAACCAGGACTTCAACAAGGGCAGCAAGATGCGCGTCGTTGTCTACGTGAACAAGCCGTTCATTTTCACATTGGTTTTTGAGCTGAGGACCGACTCACTGGCTTGGGACTCGTTCTACAAATCATTACATAACCAGCTAACGCCTCTCCGAAAACCGCTTCTCTCGTCTATCCAGTACAGACCAGAAAAGCCAGACGTGGGATCCGCAGCATCGAACATCTACGATATTATTTGGGATGCTGAGGCCATGACTGTGTTGTCGACTATACCTAACATACCCGACCACGCGCAAATGTCCCAGTCAAATAGACAGCTACCGTGGTCGCGTGTTGAGGCGATGAATACACACATGCAGCTTCTCAACATATTTAACATTACACGGCCGGATATTAACCAGCTGGAGCGGACCTGCAAGACAAACCGCGGATGGTGGGTCGTGTGGCAGCGCATTCTGGACCGACCCGCCGCAAACTGGTACACAGAGAACGAACAGGACGACGACGACGAAGACACACCGACCTCCGAGAGCGAGGCTTCGCTGGCTATGAGCGGCGATGGCTCGAGCACACAAAGGCCACCTTCACTCCCCTTGCCCAGCCCAACGGTCAGCAAGGAAATTTTCCTAATCCGCAGGGCCAGTGACCACGCCGGCTACCGTGGCGTGAGCTCGTCGTACGCCGAGAGCGGCGGAGTGGGCGCGGGCGTGGGGTGGGGCGACGGAGCGGGCCGTCTGGCCTCGGGGATCGGGATCGACACACGCAAGTACATCGAGGAGCTATTGAATTTTAGCCGGTAGGGAACTCGCCCAACCGGGGAGGAGAGGCACTGTCACACATACGGCTACGGCGCGGGGAAAGAGGATCTGCATACATACCCGGATAGGAACGTGTGCAAGTGAGAAAACTTGGCTCCGTGCTATGAATACGATTAGAGGCGGTGTCAAAATGCCGCCATCAATGATCACACGTCCGACTTACCAGCTCATGGGCATGAGCCCAGCCACTGCACTGGCGAGGCCCAGCGAGTTGCTTTTCTCATACCTTAGTCTATGGCTTAATGTCTATGTAGATGTCGTAACGGTTTCCCATGCGAGAGCAGTCCAGCGTTCGCTCCAAAGGTAGCGCCAAATAAGCGCATGTCGCTGCAGTAGTTTGCCAGCGACCCTACTTCAATGACAGCATCGGGATTCCGGCACTCTCTCTCTCTCTCTCCCTCTCTCTTTGCGTTAGCTGTACATACAGCATCCGGTGTAAAAGTGCGCAACGACATCTCAAGACGCCTCGAGGGTGGCACTCGAAGAACGTAGCGATTGCGATCGATGCCGGCTCCTGTGCGCATCACCCTCGGCCATCAAGTCGTCTGTCTGCTTGTCTCTCCCATCCCACCCTTTCCATCCCGTTGGTCAACTTACTATTGTAAAAACAAAAAAGTCCCGCGGCCAAAACTTATACTTGCAAAAACCAATCGTCAAGACAGCCACGTGTACCGCGGGCCCCGCAGCCGCAAGTAAACAAGCAGAGCGATCTGCTGTCTCGGCCGGGAGTTATGATGTTACTACTTCCGTAGAAAAGAAAAAAAAATCAGTTTGCCCAGGCATCACGATAGCACGCCAACAACGGGCGCGTAGTAAGTAAAACAATCACGAATCAATAGTGGTGTGATTCCACCATGTGTGGGTGTTCATCCTCTTCTGAGTCGCGTAATGAATTTAGCACCTGGGGGGAGAGCTGATGGGGTCTATCGAGGATGGCCGTCTGGAAGGCTACTTGGGCTCGCTGCACCTTAACGTTGCGTGGGCGTGGCTGGTTCGTCAAGGGTAGAGTTCGATTTAACAGCTTGCAAGCGCGATTTACGATGGCTCACCTTGTTTCACCGAGCGTGTTGTCCAAAATTTGATAGGGCGACAGCGATCGGAGCCAGGGTGCAGATGGGTTGGTTTGGAATGGGCGTGGATGGGCAGTGGATTGTTGTTTCCTTCCAGGGTTGCTGTGCCAGGTTTGTGCATCTTTCCTGGACAGCGAATCGCCGGGGAAGGCTTCTCCGAGGCCGGATTTGCTGCAGGGACGAGAGGGATTCGTTGCCGAGGGTGAGGAGAGTGCAGAATGTGCATAAACTCGAGTGAGAACCCGGCAGAAAGGCCCAGAAGGAGGGGCAAAAAAAAGGTGCTAAACACAATAAGGGAGGGGCACTGCTAGCTTTTTCACCTGCCACTGCCAACCAGTATCGCCCCACCAGCCGGAAGAGTTGACAGGGGAGGGGGGGGGGCTCATTCAGGGTGGCGGGGAGCCCTTCCCCCCCCTTCTTGCTGCGGCGGGCCAAAGCAAGTTTTCTTAAGTTTTAACTCTCTTATTATCCACGGAAAACATGCCCAAGGTTGTGTCGAGCCAGATTAGCTCCGGGCAGGTCGGAAGGGGTGGCGCCAACAGAAACACGCATGCTTCCATCTCCCACCTTGGCAAACTACGATGATGCACATAGTAGTGAAGCATTTTTTAATATAGCACCGCCAGGCTATTTTAGTGTGGTGAACTCTCATCACTCTAGCTTCGAACCCCATCTGCTGGATGAGACTGTCAGAGTCGATAGATGACGATCACAGATGTTCCAGGGACTCGTTGGGCTGAACGCGGTCTTGTGCAAACTGTCTAGCGGCTGCCCCGGTGCCGTCTTGGATTCCTCGAATGATGCTATTGGACTTCTTTAGAGACGTCAGGCGCCCAAACACTCGAGCGCGAGGATACGGTACGTACTTTTGCAGTGAGTGTGCGTGTGCGCGCGGGAGGGTGTGGGAAGAAGGTAGGCATTGGCTGGTGAGGTCATGGTTCACGCAAGTGCCGATCTCCATTGGAAACCATCGAAGCTCTGCTTTCTGCCCGTCACTGCCTCTCGGGTCTTGTCTGTACGCAACCGCAGCCCAGTGTGCTAACCGCAATGGCCATGTGCATTCATCCCCCCTTCCATCCATGTCTGTCACAGCCTAGGAACTTCCCTTCCTGATCGAGTCCATCCCACCCTCCCCAGCCATAGAATATTAAAAGATACCCTGTTGCTGCTTTCCAGTTCGCAACCCTACTCACCCGACAACCAGACCACATCAGTCTTGTCTTATTTTGTTCCACGCCACCCTTACGCAGACTGCCCCTCCTCCACGTTGTCGTCGATTCCTGTCTTTCCTCTACACCCCACAGCCTCACTAGTTGAGAACCATCTCCGGCTGCTTCGGATCATCCACTTGCAAACACTCTTCCTCACCGAGAACCAGTTACGCCACTACAGCCAGATTCGTGTTAATCACCGAGCGCAATCAGAGCCATCAACGTCGATTACATACCTTTCAACCATCGGGCAATTCTACTCTCGGACAACCACTCCCTGATCTTCCACAACTACCCGAAGCGATCCACCGCCTGCCCAACATGATGGACTCGATGTTGCCAGTCCTCGTCCGGGGCCTCCAGATTCTCTGGGTCCTGCTCGTCACAGCATTGATCGGCAATGTCATTGCCCTTAACATCAACAGCGCCGGCTCTGCCATGGCCGCCATCAACTTCTCAATGTTCGTTGCAGTCGTCTGCTGGCTTGCATCTCTCTACGGACTGGCCGCCGCTTTCGTTTCGGCCATTGCCATCCCCATCGTACTGTTAGCCCTTGACGGTGCCGCCGTTCTGTTTACCTTTATCGACGCCATTGTCTTGTCAGCCAAGCTCCGCGCGGTCAACTGCGGATCGCTGAACAGGCGCGACTTGCCGGGCAATTATATTGTCTGGGGCTCCGCCGACGACGAGAAGCGCTGTCGTGAGATCCAAGCCAGCACGGTCTTCATGTGGTTCCTGTTCGCCAGCTTCTGCGCTGGTGGGTTCTTTACCTTTATGAACTTCCGCCGCGGAGGTGGTTCCATGCGCAGCTCTCGACCCAGCATGGCGCAGGTCGACGTCTAAAGATTTCAAAGCTCGTTGTTGGCTGTGGCGTACATTTGCGTGGCAAAAGAAACTTCGTGAGTCGTTTACAACACAGACGACAGCTAGGCTAGACATTCGCCTTCCATGACACGTCACAGGAAGGCTGGTTGGGTCTGACGGCGTTGGCGGCAGGTTGTTGTTTTACGTTACCTTTCACGATGGCATGTAGTAGTAGTAATACATGACAGGATATGGGACATGGGATATGGAATGACATGGATATGCCGTTATGGATATGGCGGGGCTTATACCTGGGAGCTTGGGGAATTGGCCACAGGGCCACCATCAGCCCCTTATAGTACAACGCTGCGAATTGATACCATCAAATAAGCCTCAGTCGACATATGGGGCCTGATGATGCTGTACCGTATGGGTCGTTTGGCGCACTCTAATCTGACGTGGTCTGCCGGTCACTGCTGGAGGACAGCCATTGTGCTGCTCGAGTCTTGAAGTATGACAAACGTTATGATTCAAATCTAGGTGACCAGGCCCGGTGCCTCGCCTCATTATATGCCGCCCGGTTTTCTATGACGACTATCCTCAACGCCAACCATTTATACACGCCAGGCATCGTGTTGATGCCTTTAGCTTAGTGATGAAAGATCCAAAGGTACGCTGCCGAGTCTACAGGCCTTGTTGCGTCTCTTATAATGTCGCCGCAGCCTCTGCCGCACCAGCGGCCTTGAAACCGCGCTTGTTCGTCCACCGCACCTCGACGTTGTGCATCCATTCCATGTATCGTGACCAGCCTGTTGTAAATAATGATCAGCGCTTGACCAATAGCAAGAAGGACACTCCGGCAGCATACTCCAATACGCAAACTTTCGGCCAAAGTATTTGCCGGCGAATGGCACAATGACCATGGTCAGCAGCAATTGGATCTGCTCGAGACTGCGCTCCCATTCCTCCTGCGCGTCCGATTCATCTTCCGAGTCCAGCACGCTACTGGATATTGAAGGCAGCGAATCAATATCGTCGTTGTCGGAGGACGGAGAGACGTCGTCGTGAAGGATGAAGGAGTCGGTGGATGCCATCATGTTGGGAATAGGGCGATGTCGGCCCAGTTGGTCGGCGCTCGGCTGTTGAGCTTGGGATGTGCGGCGTTCGACGAGCCGGCAAGAGAGGGTGTAAAGATCGGGCTTCAGCGCCTTATTTCACGGCAGTCGACAGGCTGCCTCCAGTAGGCGTGTTCAATGCTCTTAGTCGTTCGAGAAATGCAAGATAATCTACCGGAAGGGCGTTCGCGAGGGGAGGAGTTGTATCAAGGACTACAATACCTCCGAAGATTGATACCAATGAGCTAGAGATGCCAGTGGAGGTCGGAACGCCTGGTGGCCTAGAGCTCCCCCCTCGTTTCCCCAGGGCATTGTCGATATGGACGGTGATTGGTTGTAGTTACCGAAATGATGGGTCCGTCTAGAACCAAGGGAACTAGGAGCGGCGCTTCAACCAGTCACGTGATCATAACCATCCTCAACTCACAGCCCACGCTCACCCAGATTGGGGGGCTCTCAGCGTTAGTCTACAGCGACAGGATCGGGTCGCACCGCCGTCACGTCACACCCGCACCCCTCAAGAAATCTTCCAGTGCTGCAGTCAAGTCAGATCTCTCCTCTCACAAATTCCCGAACCATACTCGCTTCGTTCGACATTTCCAGACCGGTCGCTTGGGATTCCTGCACTATTTGCGCCAGTACACGACTTGTCAAACACCCCGGGCAACTCGAGACATTCACCTAGGACACACGCCAGGATACCTAACCGAGAGCTCGTTCAGTGAGACATAGGCCGCAATCATGGATGTCGAGGTAAGTTTTCCTACTCCGTACAGTCAAGTTAGCCCTCCCTCATGCGCACTTATGAGCACCACCACCACCCACTGGCCCCTCCACCAATCCCATCCTTAGTTACCCCACTGCACTTCGAACCGGGACCCGACACGAATTGAACAGAACATTTTCCGTGACTCAACTCAACCGCCAAAGACACTGCCACCCATCACCACCTGACGTTGTTCTCCCCCTCCTCCCACCCCACCACCTCCCTTCCGACCTAAATTTTTCTTGTCCTCCGTCCCTCATCCGAGAGCGAGACACAGAGAGAGAGAAAACCCCACCGTTGTCGTTTTTTTACGGTTGTATTCTAACATAGGTGCCTTCTCCACAGGACAAAGCTTCCGTCCCCGACCGCAAACAGCGTAAATCAGTCGCCTTCACAGACGAGCAAGTAGTCGTCGACGCCGACGGATCAGTCACAATGGTCAACGCCACCGAGGAACCCAAGGAGACAGCTCAGTCGCACACGCCTCGTACGCCGCCGCTTGCCGCTGCCCTTGAAGCCTTACATGCTGATGCCAATTCTCAAGCTGGAGCCGAAGATGCGACGGCCTCCACCCCCGAAGCCGCTGTCGAGGATGGCGGTCTCGACCTGTCGATGAAGAAAAAGAAGAAGAAGAAGGTCGTCAAGGAAGGCGACGATGCCGCCGAGGACGCCCCCGCTGGCGAGGACGGCGGCGTGGACCTGACCATGAAGAAAAAGAAGAAGAAGAAGAAGGTCACCGGGGACGCCGAGGATGACGAGTTCGCCGCCAAGCTTAAGGCTCTGGATCTCGAGGGTAACCAGGAGGGTGGTGAGGCCGCTGAGGAAACCGCCGATGACGGCGACATGGACGCTGGCACCGGTGTCTGGCAGCACGACGAGACCAAGGCCCTGGGCTACCACCTGCTCCTGGACCGCTTCTTCCACCAGCTCTCCCAGAAGAACCCCGACCACGCCCTCAGCGGCTCCAAGAGCTACAAGATCCCTCCCCCGCAGTGCATGCGTGAAGGCAACAAGAAGACCATCTTTGCCAACATTGCTGAGATCTGCAAGCGCATGAAGAGAACCGAGGAGCACGTCACCGCCTATCTCTTCTCCGAGTTGGGTACTAGCGGTTCCGTCGACGGTAGCAGACGCCTGGTTATCAAGGGTCGTTTCCAGCAAAAGCAGCTCGAGAACGTGCTGCGCAAGTACATTAGTAAGTCTTGGACCTGGCACTCTTACTATGCTGTTGCTGACCGGCATTTTCCACCACAGTCGAGTATGTTACCTGCAAGACCTGTAAGCAAAAATCCTTCGCCCGCTGTCCATGCAAGTGGCGCCCTGCTGACAAAAGCTTTCCAGGCAAATCCGCCGACACCGAGCTGTCCAAGGGAGAGAACCGTCTGTACTTCATCACCTGCAATTCTTGCGGCTCGAGACGTTCCGTTACTGCCATCAAGACCGGTTTCTCCGCCCAGATCGGCAAGAGAAGAAAGATGCAGGGTTAAAGAACTACGAAAAAATGAAACTACACAACCCCACGGACGACAAGCAAGAAAAGAGTTGGAGAGGGAATTTTCTTCTACGCTATTTACGTCCTTTAGCGTGTTCTTGTCTTGTAGATATGACCTTTGCTGGGCCCAGCAGTGCGCGGCGCAGCAAATCTAGGGCTGTGACGCTCCCCGGGGTAGTCAGTGATGGATGGCACAATAGAGAACAGATGGCGTTTTCACCCCAAAAGTTTGACGGAAGCCTGGACAGTAATGTCAAATCACTATTTCCTCATTTGCAGCCTGTGGATCTGAACGCCCTCCTTCCTTCCCTTTTTTAAAAAATAAAAAATGAAAGGGGGGTCTTGCACCAGCAACATGTGCTGTGATGTGTTGAGCGCTACGTCTTCGGGCTTGCGTGTGGTGGCGAGGTGAGATGTAGGCCCGGGGGGGCGAAAGCCGACCAACCGTTATTCGTCCGGCGATAGGGCCGGTCGGCGGCGGGTGATCCAACCACCAAGCCATCTCGCTCCTACAACACATACCAACGCATGACCCAACTAACCCCGCGGCAAAACTTGGAAAAAATCAAGGTTCTAGATCGCTGTCTGGTCGTAAACATCTTTGGGACCAGGTTCTTATAAGTTTCCCTGTTGTAAGCTCTAGCCGCAACCTTATCGCTCAACTCGGTCTGCACGTAACCCCCCCTCCGCACATCCTCTAGACGGCCGATCAGACGACTATGACGGGCGTCACCCTCCGACCGGGCCAGGCCGACCTCCCCTCGGCCAAGAGCACCGCGTCCTACTGGCATCGCGAGCCCTCCGAGGTGCTCCTCGGCCACAGGACCACCAAGGCGCTGCCCCCGACCGCGGACGTCGTCGTCGTCGGCACCGGCATCACGGGCGCCTTCGCCACCAAGGAGCTGCTGGAGCAGCATCAGGCGAGGAATCGGAAGGAGAAGGTCCTTGTGCTCGAAGCGCGGGAAGTCTGTTGGGGCGCCACTGGACGGGTGAGTCTGCTCTTTCTTTTCCGCCGTCAGACCTCGAGGCTCGTGTGGCTGGCTTTGATGCAGTGTGAGCGGCTCAAACATCACTTGGCCAAGTTATCTCATACAGAACCTCTTGCTCTCATGTGCTGCTACTGCTACACACGCAAATGCAAACTCCACGTGATATTTACCTTCATCGGAGCTAACCCTCCACCCGCAGAACGGCGGCCACTGCCAACCGATGGCCTACAATCCCAACACCGCCATCGCCGAATTTGAGCTCCGCAACTACGCTCACCTCGCCGACCTCGTCGCTACGAACGCCATCCCGTGCGACTGGGTTCCCCTCCGTGGCGTTCACGCCCTTCTCACCCCGGACCTTGTCGCCGCCGCCGGGCAGCAGATCGCTGCGTTGCCGCCGCACCTCGCAGGCCTCGTGAGGCTGGTCACTGACCCGGAGAAGCTCAAGAGCCTCAGGGTCCCCCACGCGGCGGGAGCTGTCGTTCAGGAGCGGGCGGCGAGCGCATGGCCCTACAAGCTCGTCGCGTGGGTCTTTGAGGACCTCTTGCGCCGGTTCGGCCCTGCATCGGGCGGCGAGGTGCGGCCAGAGGACGTGTGGTTCAACATACAGACCAACACCCCGGTGACCCGCCTCCAGCACCTGCCCTGCTCCTCCGCTGCCTCCGGCGAGGCCTCGTGGGTTATCCATACGGACCGCGGGCAGGTCGCCGCCAAAAAGATCCTTCTCGCGACCAACGCTTACACGAGCCGCCTGCTGCCCTCCTTCGCGGACCTCATCGTCCCCGTTCGGGGTCAGGTCGCTGCGCTCCTACCTGAACCGCGCGCAGAGCTGGGGCGGAGCTACGTCTTCATGGCCAGCTCCGACGCCTCCAAAGGCGAGCCGAACCAGGACGACTACCTGATCCAGCGGCCCAGGCCCGGGTTGGAGATGATCCTCGGCGGCGGGCGGGCGAGGGGCATGCTCAAGGGCGTAGGCGTCTCGGACGATGACGAGGTCGACCCCGTCGTCGCGTCATACCTGCGCCGGGCCGGGGCGGTGAACGTTGACCTGGGCAGCGGAGGGGAGAAGGAGGAGGAGCTGAGTGCGAACTATGAATGGTCGGGCGCGATGGCATTTGCGAGGGATTCCAAACCGTGGGTTGGTCCTGTGCCATCTGGCCCTGTCCTCGGCGGAGGGGAAGGGTTATGGATCTGCGCCGGGTATACAGGACACGGGATGCCGCAGGCGGCGCTGTGCGGCCGCGCGGCTGCCAGGATGATGCTTGGATCACGCGAGGATGGCGCGGATGAGGTGGATGTCCCGGCCGAGTTCCTGGTCAGCGAGGAGAGGGCCGAGAAGGCTAGAGCGCTGCCCTCGATCAAGGAGATGGACGACTTAGACATGTTCTTGTTGTAGCCCGACCGGGCGCGCAAATCCCCGACCGTTTTCGGTTCTCTGGACCCGACAACGAATGTCCCGAATGTCTCAGGCTCCGGTGGCGATCAGTGGAGCGTCCAGATCACCGCTGGCAGGAATGACGATCAACCTCATGGAATGCGTGTCGCCGAGACGAAGACATAGCGCAAAGGCAAGAACCTGATAGAGACACTGTCGTGCCGTGTGGAACGGTCTGCTCGAGACATCCGGGGAGGCGCCGATGGAGGCGGAGGGGTGGGAACTCGCTGGGCTTAGCTCGCCGGCTGCCTCTGAGCAGTCCGGGTTATTGCGGAGTGAGACACTTGAAAAGGGATGCAAGCGGTTTCCCCTCCAAGTGCACACCTTATGCGAAACCTGCGGTCCAGGGCGTCTCAGCCGCCGTTTCTTGCCGCTGGACGTTATCTGGGCTCATCCGCGGGAATGTAGAGTTCTTGTCATGATCGGAGGGCCGCCTGAGATGCTCACCTTCGGGTGACTGCTACAACTTTCTCCGGCTGCTCAAGAGGCCTTAGGTGCCGCACACGATTGTGGGAATGTACCATCAAATTATCAGAATGGACACTCGACCCATTGGTCCAGACATTGAGCGCATGTTGATTGAGTTCTTGATGATGGAGGTTTTCATTTTGCATTTCTTCCTAGTACTGTTGCAGCACCAAACTCCACCAGGAGGCTCGTGAGCACTCCGTAATATATATACATTGAAGATTACTTGTATAAGCCGATCAAGGGAAAATGGCCCACAAAACAAAACACCATGCTTATCCGCCCAAGATGGGGATACGCATCCAAAGGTATATAGATGTTGTCATCACGTCATCGAAAGCAAAGTTTCTTTCGTTGTTGTCATTTTGTAATCCAATGAGAGAGCGCAAGCAGTGAAGCTCTTAGTTGATGAAAGACCACTCCACGGTCTTACGGCCGACGCCGAGGCTGTCGAACACCTCGAGGAAGCACTTCTCACTGACGTCGATGTCATCCGCCTTGCAGCCCATGCATTTATCGCGGACAGTAGCGGTGGTGGATTTGCCATCCACGGTGATCTTGATCTTCTTGCCGCAGTAAGGGTTGCCATTGGACTGGGCGCCCATGACGAGGTGGGAGATGGCAACGATGTTCTCGGTCATGTCCTTGCCACTATCGTCCTCACCGCAAGCACCCATGCCCACGGTGTAGTAGGTCAAGTCACCGGAGTGAAGCACGCCGTCAGAGCTGCTGGAGAAGCTGGACTCACTGCTGACTTGGGAGGCAGCAGGAGCAGCAGGAGCAGCAGCCTGAGTGGTGGGCTGAGGAGCGGGCGCAGGAGTGGCGGGTTGAGGAGCGGGCGCAGGAATAGGGGTGGTAGGGACCGGCTCGGGAGCAACGTAGACGGGAATGGAGGGCTGAACGGGCTCAGGAGTCGGGGTCTGAGGAGAGGGCACGGGGGCCGGAGTAGACGTGGGAGGTGGGGGAAGGGGAGCCTGCGACACGGGCTCACTGATGGACGAAGCGACGGGGGCGGGCTTCGTAGAAGTAGACAGAGTGGTAGAAGGCGGTTCGTTGGCGGGCTCAAAGAACTGGGCGGGAGCCGAGGTGGTAGGGACAGCAGAGCTGGTGGACGAGGCGTCGGGATTAACCCAGACGGTGGAGGTTGAGTCAACCCACTGGGTCACGTAGGCGATTTCGGTAACCCACTCGGTAAAGAGGGCGCGCTTCTGATGTTTACCGTGAACATGGCGCTTGTGGCCATGCTGGTGAGGCTGAGCGATGGCACTGGTGGCCAGGACGGCGCAAATAATGGCGGTGGTCTTCATGTCGGGATGCTGAAGATTGCTTGTAGCTGAAGCGTTGCTGTGTATGTGTGTATATTGTTCAGGAGACTTGTGCCGTCTCTTGATGATAGCAATCCTCTCTTCCGTTAAGGCCGGGTTGGAAGCGAAATGAAAACAACAGGCTTAGCGAAGCTCGAGATCGATCAGGGAATGTGCTGGGCAGAGTATGAGAAGCCGTGTTGGGTTCAAGCTTGTCGATGAGAGCTTTGGGCACGCTTTGGTATGCACTTTTTGAGTCTCGAGGTCTGCTGGTAGGCTGAAAAGATGGGATGAAAGGGAGTTCACTGAACTCTCTGTACGACAAGACGGGATGATGGATCCGTTTACTTGATAGTTCGGATGAACCTCAAAACAGTCGGTTAGGAAGAATGAATGTTGATCGAGCACTGCTCGTGGGTCCAGAAGGAATGAATGATGTTTTTGGTCGAACAAGAAGGAGCGTTGTTGGATGTAGGAAAAAGAGGGAAAGGAAGGATCGAAAAAGGTCGATCTGGAGAGTGGAGGTTCGCCGGGATATGTAGGCCGTGCAAGGACTTGGGCAGAAACCAAACAATGGGCGCAAGGTGAGCGGGGTGAGCCACTTTGGGACTGGCGAGACGGGGAAGGGGGCTAAGGTGGGTATTGAGGGGAGGGGTGCAAGCGGAGGCCTGCAGATGGTGCTGGCGCCACGACGCTGAGTGTGCCTGACGTGTATGCCAGGTGTGCACGAATAGTAGACCTCGAGGGCCGCTCGGGGCTGCGTATGGTGACATCGGTACCTGACGAGGATGGAGCAAGCGCTGCTGTGCCACAATAATGATTAATGAATAGCGTCCAACAAAAGTCGCAAAAGCCCCGAGAGGGATTACCTACCTAGAAGCAACAGTGGGGAAAGCGCAGCTGGCAGCTGGGCCTCACGTGAGCCTGTACGTACAAATACAACTAGCGTACCATAGTTTCCTCGCCCCCTGCAAGCTCGCCATTACGAGTACATACGATACCTATCTACCACTGGCCAGGGCAAAGTCACTGCGCCTCTTCTGTCAAGTCATCACTAGTTAACTGTTTGAATGGGGCCGTTGTCAGATCGTTGCTGGTCAACATCTGGTCCGGAGAAAACGACCGAAGAAAGAAGCAAGGCCCGGGGGCACAAGAATAGTCCCGTTGGATGCATGGATGCGTTAGCGCAGCCTCTTCTGCCCACTCATAGGGAGCAAGGAGAGCTCCGCACACAAAAAACGAAGGCGTGCGTGCTCCAGAGTCCAGACCACCTCTTTTTCTTTTCTTCTCTTTTATTTTTCAGCCGTCCGGCCTCGCTTGAATCGCATGGACCAATCTTGGCCCTCTAGAACTTGATTGATCCACCGTATCGATGTCTGGGACCCAAGCCCCAAACCGCCATGGTCCGGAGGTATGGGTGCCGAGGAAACCTGTTGGTCTGGCCGACTTGGTGAGCCAGCAACGTCGACTTGTTGGTGGTACTATAAGAAGCCCGCCTTGGAGACTGGCTACCTATGGGTTGCCAGGGAGTCCAAGAAACGGACAAGACGAAGTGGGTAACGAGCGTAGGTCCTGGTCCCTAATGATTGTGGTGGTGGTTGGAACGGCAAGACAATATTATTTTGGTTGGCAGCCGTGTTTGTGGGTCATTTGAGGAAGGATGCACGCCCATAGCAGCAAAACCACTTCACTTGGAAAACCGTCGTGCTCGGACACCATGGTCGAGGCAACCAACCAAGACGACACTTCCTCTTCCAAGCCGACCATCATCACATGCCTTTGGTAGGTAGACGGCTGAAGGATTGGTCTGCGCATCTCTTCGCCCTCTTTTTCATCCCATGTCACTCTCGTCCGATATCCATCTCATTGCCGGCTCGTCCAGCCCATCGCCTCGTGCTCTGCTGCACTCTCGAAGCCTCTTATCTCCCCGCTCTGTCATCTTAACTTGCCTTGGCGCGAAGTACCTGATCTTGTTTCCTCGTCCCCCCCCCGATGTCCCAAAATTGGATGACCCGTCAGACAGGCGTTTGTTTCTTGAAACAGACCGAACCTGGGAAGAAGGCCCCGACATGATCCTACATTCAGGAGGGACAGTGGAGGACGGCCCAGGGTCCGAACACCGTTAAAACCCCGCCCCGTCACCTAGCAGTAGGTAGGCATCCTGGTATCCTAGGCTGGGAACAGAAGCATGACGATCATCCGGTGGCTCCGGGGAAGAGGGCTAGTGACGAACCGGCCTGCCAACCGCCAATGTTTGCGCAAGCGGCGGCGAGAGGAGGCCTGCGGCTGAGTATTTGCAATTTACGTACAATGTGGACTGTTGCCGTATTGGAAATCGAGAAAGGATCGTGTCTCTAAGCTGGTGGTCCTCGGGTAAAGACTACGGAGTACAGAGTACGGATGCCTACCGAGGGCTTCAACCCCATTTCCAGTCGGAAAGGCCCCTCTTACCTTTGCCTCAGGCTCACTTGCTGTCAGCACTTTCGCGCAAAGGGAGTGCCGGAGACGAAACAAACGACTGGAACGATGCAACAATAGAAAGTGAACAAGGCGCCCGAGCAAATTCGGCCTGTGCGGGTTCCTTGCATCTGCAAGGTACGCACCAATCACAATTAGGCGCGGATGGAGAACTCCTTTCCCAGCGCAACCCTCACAGCCCGTCTCTGTTCTGACTCTCTTCCCTGTCCCGGCTCTGGCCCCGGACGATCAGTCTACTCAGCCAGTGCCACATCAGCCAGTGTCAACGGCCACAGGCTCAACGATGCCACCTCCGACTCTGAATTTTCTTCACTCCCTTGGTAGTCGGCGGATATGCCGGGCACGCTGGCTCGGGTAACACGGCGTCAGCAGACGCAAATATTATCTCTTTCCCGCCCCCCACCTGGCCAGTCGTTGATGGCTCGCAGCAGACCCTGTAGCTGGTGGGATAAGAGAAGAAAACCCCTCGCACCATCGGTGATTCGGCTGCATCTTCCGCACAGCGAAGCATGCAATTAGGCAGACCAACGTTGGTCTAGGCCAGCTCGTCGAGCCGAGCAATCTGGGTATTGTTGGCCTCCCCACTGTCCATATCGATCGACAACGCTTTACCTAGTCCAACTTGCGCATCAATAAAATGTATTGCTTGGTAAATATCCATTGCAACCCTTCATGTTGATTTGCTTTAGAACCCCTTCCCCTTCGCCGACTCCAATGATTCTACCGCTGCCCTCAAATGTTGATGATGCGATTTTGAAACATATATGCGTCCATCAAGAGCGGTCCTCTGATTGTGCCTAGTATCAACGCAGAGATCAGTCGCCGATACAAAGGTATTTTATGATGACCGAGAGGCCCTCCATCTCCGATGTGAGGTTGCGAGCCACTTGGAACAACGGCCTGTCGGTCATGAGCACCGACATTCGCTCTGCACTATTTTCACGCCCGTACTACTCAGAACCGGGTTTCGCCAGACGTGTCCTGCAGAACACAACAAAAATCTATCAACCAAACGGCTTGCTAATGACGGATCAACCATGGGCAAACACTTGTCACTCTCGATTGCCATTCGTTCTCGGCTTCTTGCTTGTGAACGTGTAGAGGAACAGGCCCTCTCTGCTAAATGTCGCCCGATCGTCGTCAAATATCTCCGTCACCTGAAACGCTTTTTGGGCTTTCTTGAGGAACTGCATATCTGCGCGTCGTCTCTTCTTGAAGCAGAAATAGACCGCAGCACTGGGCTCCAGGGACAGCAAGTTTATCAGAGTTTCCAACAGCAGCGGAAAGGCTGGCTCAAAGTACACGCAATCAGCAGCCAAGATGACATTCGGCTTGAAGTCGATAACCTCTTGTGCCAGCGGTCCGCCCCTGTCGTTGGTTAGCAAGTCGAAAATCAGCTGAAACGCAGCACATGCCCGCCCAATCTTCAACTTTGCCCTGCAGACCTGCAGTGCGGAATTGGGGGTGGAAGCACGCACCAGTTCAGAACCATTGGCTTGACTTTGTGTTGTAGATTGTTCAGCTCTGTGTTTTTTCCCATCAGCTCGAACATTTCGTCTTGGTCTGTGAGATATAGCGGCGTCTGCTGCAGTTCACACCCTAAAGCGACAGCAAGACCAACGAGTCCGCCGCCAGCACCTAGCTCCAGACTATTCGCTCCGAAAAGCACGAATCAGCCTAGACTCTAATGAAAAAAATACATCACTTGTTTGGTACAGTGACCGAAAAATGACAGCCATACCGGTGCAGTATATGAAATGGCGAGAGAACATCACAATCAACCGCGTGGGGGCTTCGTGGAGGAAAGGAGTGGGAAGAGGCAAGTTGACTTACATTTTCGCTCCCTTCAGAGCTTCCCGATGGTAACGCAGCATGTGTTTTGTAAGCACCATACCTGCCGGCCAAGTTTGACCGCCACATCCTGAGGTGAGGTCTTCATGGAGTTTGAGAGGAGTTGATAGAAGACCGCAGATGTCGTACGACGACGTTTGCGCAGCTTTGTACGCGGGGAGCGGTGTAAGGTCTTCGCCAATATCCAAGGGCGAAAAGTCAGGTGACGGTGACCGATTGGTGGACCCCATTTGCTCGGATATGATGGAGTGGTGAGAAACCTCGTGTTGCGGTTTTTTCCTCTTCTTCCCTTGGGAACGGCCTCTTGAGAACACAGATGATGAGCTGAGGCGAGGTGAGGTCTTGACAACACGGTGACAGCGAACGGATGAGCAGTGTTTGTCCCTTTAGAGCAGTCAGTGAGTTCCGAAAAGGTGCAGGTCCGGATAGCACAGGGCAAAGAGCGGTATCGCCGATTTAATTTTTATTTATCTTTATTTGTTTTCCCGGTTGAGGTCGACGACAATCTAGACTTTCCGATAAGGGGAGGTGCGTTCAAGCGGGGTTGGCCCTTCTTGTCTGCGCTCTCTTTACTCCTTCCCGTGTCCTGCCAAAATAATCCGATTGCCCGCTCTTTCCATCCAATCTTCAACGACGCCTAGGACCAAGCGACCTCGCTCTTGCCCTTCGGGTGTTGAGCTTGCGTAATGTTCCGGTAATTCTTATATTGTCTCACGGTTCCTCTCTTTTTCTTTTAAAAGACATCCAATCCTAAAGAAGCGTTGCTTCCCTGAGGTAGCCGAGCTAGGTAGACGAACGATGCATTCAATGAGCCCAGGTCGCCGGTAGAGGAGGTGCTCGCTCATCTTACCCTCTGAACTCAGAGATCACATTCCAGACGTCGCCGAAGTCCCAAGTTTGAAGTGGATATGTCTCGTACCGCCTCTTCTATTGTTTGACAGCAGACTCTTTCCCACCACCCTTGAGACCCCTCAACCCGTCGCTGGAATGCGGACTCTGATCATTTCCCTACGCAACTCTCCAATTATGGCAAGCTGGCTTTCGCCACTCTGAAACAGGGATAGCGGTCGTCTTCTTTGAGTGAAGCAGCGTCTTCCGTGAACGGAAAGGTATCAGTAGTGTGCCGCACACGCTCGTCCGCGACCCTTTGTTGCGAGGGCGCAAACGCTGGCACGCAGGGAGGCATGTAGAACTAGGAATTGGGAGCCCATACGCGATGGGATTCGCGCCCAGCTTTCGTCCTGCCCTCCTCTCGGTTTTGATGAAAATTGCCCTCTGAATACAATGTCCTTCTCTGGTTCATTTTATTTTTGTTTTCCATTTCTTTGGCTCGCAAATGCCACAACAGCCATAACAATGTACGTGATGCTGTATGTGTTCCCGTTTCTAGCTGCGCTTTCGGGAGCAGTACCAGTCGTTTATTTTCCCTTCAACTCTCAGTTGCCGCCTGCCACCAGAATATCCGAACCTTTCTTGTATACTCTTTCACCACAGACTTTTGCCTCCCAATCTCAACTCTCCTATAGCCTTAGAAATGCACCAACATGGCTCTCGATAGATGCCACCACTGGTCGCCTCTCCGGAACCCCCCAGGATGGCGATGTGCCGCCCGGCGAGGTGGTGGGAATACCGGTGGACATCATCGCAACGGATGATACGGGTTCAGCAACGATGACGGCCACACTGGTGGTGACCAGAAGACCGACGCCCAAACTCAACATCCCATTATCCGAACAAATACAGCGATTTGGTGATACATCGTCGCCATCTGCCTTCGCGGCCTTTCCTGCATCTGATTTCTCATTCTCCTTTGCCAAGGATACCTTTTCCTATGTCGGAGATGGGCTGAACTACTATGCTACCTCGGCAGACAACAGCCCTCTACCATCCTGGATCAAGTTCGATGCCAGCAGCCTTACATTCACGGGGAGAACCCCACCGTTCGAGTCATTGCTTCAACCACCCCAGAAATTCGATTTCAGTCTCTCTGGGTCTGATATAGTTGGCTTCTCGGCTGTATCCGTCGTGTTCTCCATTGTTGTTGGCGTCCATAGGCTCACGTCAGACACACCTATCGTTCGAATCAACGCGACTCGGAAGACAGAGATGTCCTACACGGCTCTGGCTAACAGTATCAAACTGGACGGCAACGCCGTTGCGCCAGCCGATCTTGACCTTTCCGCATCTGAACTACCGAGCTGGCTCTCGGTCGATAATACAACACTCGAGATACAAGGAACCCCCCCTGATGATGCGCAATCTTCAAACTCGACACTCACTTTCCGAGATAATTACGCCAATACCCTCGACATTCTTCTATCCATCACTATTACAACCCAAATCTTTCGTAATACAAGCTTGGCATTCGAAGCTACGCCGGGAGAGGAGTTCTCATTTGATATTGAACCCTATCTCTGGCTGCCTTCAGATATCGAGCTAGAACTCGATACTCCGGAATCTTGGATCAAAGTTGAGGGGCTAGTTGTGTCAGGAACGCCCCCTAGAGCTACCTTGCCGGGAAAAACCAAGATTCTCCTAAAGGCAACATCAAAGAGCTCCCAGGAATCCGAGACAGCGACAGCGAATCTCACCCTACTATCTCTGCCCGCCATCTCTTCGACTGTTCCCACGCCTTCAGTCACGCCTTCAGTCACGCCAACGAACACAGCGATCAGCGATCACTCCAAACATGGCTTCCAACCAGGCTATATTGTCCTCGCCATATTGCTTCCCCTGCTGACCCTCGCCATTGCTGCTTTCTTGATCATTTGCTGTCGCAGGAGGAGGCGACAACAATCGGCCCACGACGATCTCAAAAACAAGATTTCTGATCCTATACCCGGCTCATTTGTGATAAACGGCGAGTCAAGTAGCAGAGATGGGTCTGAACAGTCCATTCTCGGGAGAATGAAGCCGGTTGGGAATAACCGACACAGCCGAGGGTATTTCAACTCTGCCGTACAAAGAATGAGGCAATCAAGAACACTCTCGACCATCACTGGATCCCGTATGTCCCAGTCGAACAACCGCTCATCCTATCTCTGGAGATCGTCCGAACGAAGCCCAACGCGGTCCGCGTCCTTCACATCTTCTTGGCGCACTGAAGGCGTAGGTCTTGAACCTCAGCACACGCAAGAGCGATCGATGAGCTCCTACGAGAGTTCGAACGATGTACTTTCCGACTCTTCTGGTATTCCTCAAGGCCCGCGGAATGACTCATTCCGAAGTGTACTTGACGTCACTATTCCATCCATGGGGAAAGAGACTAGCAGTATCCAAGCAACACCGGATTTGGCTTACTCAAGCCCTTGGGGAGAACCTTCCAGGCTAGCTCTTGATCGGTCGGTGCTACTACCCGCTGCCAGTGGAACTGAAAGTCTAGCATCCATACCAGAGCAAGTCACGCCGCCGAAGTCGAATCTCAAGCACGGCAGGACGCTCTCGCCTGCGCAACGGTCAAGGAAGAGGATTTCAGGTTTGAATGACTTTGGGACGCTGGGCAGCTTCCGCAGCTCTAGGTCTGGTTCTGGACGCGGCAGGTTGCGCCGACCGGAATCAAAGCAGGAATCACGCTATGGTTCAATATCGCGACCTATTAGCAGAAAGTCGGACTCGAGCCCCTTTTTTGGCGGCGGGTCGGTTGTGCCATCTCGCAATCGATACATCCTGGACAGCGATGACTCCGATGCAGCACAGTCGCCTAGGGGGACAATATACTGGAAAAAGAAACCAAAGAGAGATACTCTCGGCATTGCATACGATGAGCTGAGCCGGAGCTCACCATATCTGAGACCAACGCCCTCATTATCTCCTCGACCACTTAGCATTGTCAAGAGAGATTCAAGCGGGGCAAGGCGCTTGAGGGACAGCCGAGCCGGCAAGCAGACGCCTTTATCACGACATTCATCATCCAGCTCGAACATACTGGGTGGCGACTGGAACAGAGATTCTTTCGTGCAGCAGGACGCCTCTGGGAGCCGTCCGGGCTACGCATCGTCAAGGGCGAGCAGCGAAGTTCTGGGCAAAGGCAAGGGGTTGGTCTCGTCGGGACATGACTCGGAAGGTTCTGACTGGATGACGGAGACAGGAACAGTGGGGAAAAGGGGTCCTCGGAGTCGGTTGAACAGCAATGAGGATTTCCGTGTATTCATGTGAGGATGAGGGGCATTTTCCCCCTCTTGTCCCATAACACACTTGTCTCTTGTTGGAAAGCGTTGCGATTTGTTATACCCGCCGAGGAGTTCGAATACTCGGTGTCTTTTTATTTTGTAGTAGTAATGGCACAGGAGCAGATGCACTTATGAGATGGTCGAAGTATTGTTTCGAAAGTCAGAGACGAGTGGGAAAGTGCAAACATCATTCTTCACCCTAGACAGGGTACCCAGATCGTAATGTTGAATTGGCGATGCAACAAAAGTATATCAGAGAGGACAACGAACTATTACCGATATTCCCCGCGGACCCTTTTTTTTTTTTTTTTCCCTCTTGTTCCAGTGTAGGCAGACCGAGTCTGTGCTTTTCTCTCGTTTCCGGGACCAGGCTTGAGCAGGGTCTTGTGGGGGGCGCATGCCCAACACGCATTGCGGAAGTTTAGCCACAACTTAGCTAAGCTGGCCTGAAAGAGACTAGCGCAAATCGGCGCCCCGAGGTTGAAGAAGGAGGAAGGAGTCCACCCCACCACCGTTGGCGCTCTAGGGAGGGGCCACGGGGCCAAGCCTTTGGGGTTTAGATGGGATTTTCCGAGGATGAGGAGAGAGAGCTTGGACCTCATTGCCAGCCCGTTTTTGTCTGCTTAAGGTCCTAGCTTCGCTCGGGCTGAGAGAGGGGGATCACTAGCATACCTACACTGGAAAAAGAGAGGGGGATGGGATTCTCTGTCTTTAGCTGCAGTAATCGAGAGAGGGGGAGGGGGCCCTTGCATGCATGGGGCAATAGATATGACAGGTGGGTAGTCGTTATAGGCTGGCTTGACTCAACATGATGATGGAAGTCTCTGACTTCTAGTTGGTTATTATGTTTTTCAAGAGGCAGAGCTGCACACAGGTGATGGGACTAGGACAACAGACAGAATCGGTATGAAGTATGATCAGCACTCACCTATGCCATGACGCAACTGTAGCAGAGAGAGGGGGGAAAGGGAGAGACAAATAAACAAAAACTTGTCTCTTCGCGGCAGGTCCTGTCTTTTCGCATCGGGTCCGTAAATGTTGCACCTTGTCTCCGAACAGCTTCAAAATGACGGTATTGCGATTGCTGCACAGCTGAGTGCATTTGTTGCTCCGTTCCATTGGTCGGCAGGCCGTTGCCAGGCGATGGGGCAAATATGCAAGCGAGAGCATAGAGCAAGAGCAAGAGAGAGGAAAGTGCATGGCACACCCCCTTCTGAGGTCGGTCGGGTCAGCTAAGGCAACGTGACTTCATGGAGTTGTTGGTGCAAAGCAGTGGAGGCGACAACAAGACAACCAGCATCACCTCACTGGACAGTGTGCCCTCTCAGTTCGCCTCACAGTCTCGTCGCCAACTGGTCTTTCATTTTCAACGGATTCCAAAATCTCGCCCATACCTACCTGGGTCTTAGCCTTAACACCTTCGTCCTAATTGCTTGGTGGTTGCGCTTTTGCTGGCGGTACGTACCCCTTTGGACTCACCTCACGACCAGCTGCCAGCCAGCCAGCCAGCCAGCCAGACAGGGAGAGAGGGGAGAGAGGCAAGCAACCTCTGCCCCAATCCAGGTACTTTACATACCTAGGTAGGTAGCCCAGCCTGCTGTTCTGTCCCTTCCTTCTGTTGCTTGCGACTTCTCCGTATCGCACAAACACCCCCAAGAGAGTGAGTGCCACCGCACGCGACCTGACCTGCCTACCTGCCTCCTACTTCGCCGTCACCACCACCCATCCATGTGGAAAACTCTTCTTGCTCACAACCTCACCCACACCACACCGAGCTACGATTGAGTTCGGCTCTTTTTTCTCTCTTCTTTCCTTCCTCCCTCTCCCCCTTTTGCGCAACAACATCATTTTCGCGCAACAATTCCTTCCCCCGACCTCCATCCTCCCTCCCTCTCTCAGAAAACCACGCCCAACACCTCGCGGGGATCGACGCCTGTCCCCTGCTATTTCCCTTGCGATTCGGATACCCCGCTTCCTGGCCGAGTGTGCGCGATCTAGAACCTTTTGCTACCGCACCGCACCGCACCACCTTCCTTCACCTCGCTTCTAATTTTTTTTCTCCCAGCCTTCTTGCGCACTGCACGACCGGCTTGAAAACTCTTACTGCCTGAGATATCGACCTGCACCCGACCAAAAATCGACCGACCGAATACCAGTCAAACCGGTAGCTGTGCTGCTGACTCCTCGAATCCCTCACCATGGGTCAAACTCTCTCCGAGCCCGTTGTCGAGAAGGTATGCCATGATCCCCCTCCTGTGCCCAAACCAGCCAGACCAGCCCAGTTCTTCTCTGCTTTGTCTACGCGACGCCTTGCCTAGTACTCAGCCTCCAAAAACCGTCTGCTCCTTGCCGCTCTCTGTGTCTTTGAGCACAGTCAGCCATGGAGATGACTCCGAACCCCGCTTGGCTTGCTCTTTGCTTCTGGCGATACTGCACGGGCAGCCGAGAGGGTAAGGTAAAGCCGCTTGGGGCTTTCGGTTCGACACTCTTCATCCACAATGACGTACAGTCAGCCTCATGAGGATCCATTTCACTGACTCCAGTCCCACCACCACAGAGCTCGGCCAAGGGCGAAGATGAACGCCTCATCTACGGCGTCTCGGCCATGCAAGGTTGGCGCATAAGCATGGAGGATGCCCATACCACTGTCCTCGATCTTTTACCTCCCGGCAGCGACGAAGCTAAGAAGCACGAGTCAAAACTCTCCTTCTTTGGAGTCTTTGACGGCCATGGTGGTGACAAAGTGGCCTTATTCGCCGGAGAAAACATTCACGACATCATCAAGAAACAGGAGACCTTTAAGAAGGGCAACTATGAGCAGGCGTTGAAGGATGGCTTTCTGGCGACGGACCGCGCAATTCTTAATGGTAACAACCCGAATCTTTCAGTTCTATGACGCTCTGGAGGGCTTTCCCTTGCTGCAAAGGCCGTCCGTTAAATCCGCAGAGAATGTACGTACTGACAGCCGGGTTCATTCAGACCCCAAATATGAGGAGGAGGTCTCTGGCTGCACTGCCTGCGTTGGCCTGATCTCGGACAACAAGATCTACGTGGTACGTTGAAACCCATTCCACTCTGCGCCATATCTTCGTGTTACTGACAGCTTTGTGAACAGGCAAACGCCGGTGACTCGAGAAGTGTCCTCGGTATCAAGGGTCGGGCTAAGCCCCTGTCCCAGGACCACAAGCCGCAGCTCGAGGGTAAGTACTTGCTCATGGTATGCGCAACTCTGAAGGCTGACTTGTACCCTCCTCAGCCGAGAAGTCTCGTATCACGGCCGCTGGTGGCTTCGTTGACTTTGGCCGTGTTAACGGCAACCTTGCGCTCTCCCGAGCCATTGGCGACTTCGAATTCAAGAAGAGCGCAGAGCTCTCCCCGGAGGCCCAAATTGTTACCGCCTTTCCCGATGTCGAGACCCACGAGATCAGCGATGACGATGAGTTTTTGGTCATTGCATGCGACGGTAAGCAACAAAATGCTAGTTCCGGACACGGGCCTGGGGATCACTGGCTGACACTATCTTCAGGTATCTGGGACTGCCAGTCCTCTCAGGCAGTTGTCGAGTTTGTTCGACGCGGTATTGCAGCCAAGCAGGAGTTGGATAAGATCTGCGAGAATATGATGGACAACTGCTTGGCTTCCAACTCGGAGACTGGTGGTGTTGGCTGCGACAACATGACCATGGTCATTATTGGTCTTCTGCGCGGCAAGACCAAGGAAGAGTGGTATGAGGAAATCGCCAAACGGGTTGCTGCTGGAGACGGACCTTGTGCCCCTCCCGAATACGGTACGACTGAACCTGAATCCACCTCCTCTTAAGGCGTTGGACGCGCGCCAATACCTCCACCCACATTGTTCTGAGACATTGTTCTCTTTCCCGTTTAATACAACCATTATCCCCTTGTTGTTACAGTACATCTGTTTTGTGTCCCAGATTTCTTTCTTTCTCTTTTTCCTTTTCTTTTTTTGTCCAGAGGAGGAGAGCTGATTCGTAGCCTGCAACTAGCTGAATTCCGTGGCCCGGGAGTTCACCATAACTTCGACGACAGCGACAGTGGCTACGATGTAGATGTTGAGAACAAGGGCAAGCCGTTTGGTATTGGCGGCTATAAGGGTCGTATCATTTTCCTTGGTGATGGTACTGAGGTCCTGACCGATTCCGATGACACCGAGATGTTCGACAACGCGGAGGAAGACAAGGATCTTGAAAGCCAGGTGTCCAAAGCTTCCTCAGCAACAAGCAAGGACGGCGAGACTGATGATAAGTCGGCCACGAAGCCAGCGCAGGAGAGCAAGACAGGCGCGGACAAGCCCAAGGAGGAGTCAAAGCCGGTCGCAACCTCTGAGGCGGCAGAGTCGAAGAAGACCGACAACAAGGAGAAGTGAGTTGGCCGACTTGCGGTATCAACTTTGCCTTGATGAATGATGCGGCGTGGACGTACATGCTGGCTCGGAATTGATCGGACTACGGATCCGTATGACTTGAAGAGATTCGAAAGACTTTATACGGCTTGGCTGGGATGAAATGACTGAAATGCTTCCTCTTGTTTCTTCATCATATTGAGGGTCCGGACCTTCGACAGGTTTGCGAAAGGGGGAACGGAAGCAGTCGCTGCGGCCAAAGGGAAGGAGGACGGCCGACCGCAGGTTAAAGAAGGCTGAAGATTCACCCGTGTGTCATAGCTCGTGGCCCCCGTGGGCTCACGTAGTGACATGCCTTACACATGAATTCATTTGCATAAATAAGCACTTTTTCGGTATGGGCCTGGCACTGATTGTGAAAGTCAACCAATAGGACAGGAAGTTGTTCCAACGTTTATTATACAACCACAAGGCGTTTGGTTAGGGCCCAGGTACGGCGGTGCTTTTGCCGCGGAGCATTGTAAGCCAACCGGTCGACCCGTCGGCTGCCTAATCTTCCCCTCAAGCAGCCTAGTCAACGGCAACGCCGTAGGTTGTCACGGCCTGTTTGCCTCTAGGCCTCTTCTTCTTCGATTGAATGGCCCAGCGAGTTACCACCCTTGTCCTGTTTTCTCTCGGACGAGAGTTTCAGAGAGGCTACTGTACTTGGATCCTGCGCCGTGGCATAGATAACCATATATATATGGTTAATGAGAAATAAAGAGTTGTTCAAATTGATCCATTCCATCGGAAACTCGGGGTTTAATACAGGCAGGTTCTATAAGTGTTATCTAGCGAACATGTGTGTGGTGTTGTACAGAAGGCCTCTTTATACATAATGGTCGTGGCCTTGCTACTTGTATGGCTCAAGGAGTGGGGTTTTTCTACGCAAAGTTCGACGCCTTCAGGGGTTGATGTTCTTCTCAAGATCAGGGGCGGTGGTTTCGGGGGTCCGCTCGTCGGGAAAAGCGCTCTTGTCGCTGTCGACAGGAGCGACATACTTGATGATGATATCAAGACGTGGGCATTGTGGAGGATCGGTGCTCCGCGTCCGAAGCCTCGGTCGAAGGGATATCGGTCTACCAGGCTCGGTAGTCTCGTGTAACACCTTGCCCTGCTCCTTGACTTGCTTGACCGCCCAGAGGATTCGGCTGTCGTCCACCCACGTCGCGGCCAGGGCCTCGTGGAGGGGCTCATCAGGACGCCACTCCTTGAACCGTTGGTGCATAAGGTCAGCAATCCGAGCGCCAGCATGATAGCTTCCTCCCAGTTTCATGTCTTGTGGACAAAAAGAAGGCAATGCCAGAAAATTTGCGACCTCCAGTTTGTCAGCCGTCTTGATTTTGAACCCTTTTTGGCTCTGTTTTATCGCACGGGAAACGTGATTACGCATGTGCCAGCTGGTCTTGCCTTCCACGCAGGCGTGATGCCATATGAGACCTATGGCGTTGGGCCTGCGCGTCCTAAACGCCAAAGTGAACAGCTCGTTGTACGTTTGCTCGTCGAACGCGATTTTGAGCGGGAATGCCTTGCGGAGGAAGCCTATGGCGGCAGTCAAGTTCCTCTGCGACCGCGCATGATACAGAGCAATGTTAAGTGTGTAGGTGGTCGGGGTCAAGGACATTGCGGTCATGATGTCGAAGAGCTCTAGACAGGAGGTCAAGTCGCCCAGGCGTCCGAGCTCGATCATGATCTTGTTCATGGCGGGTTGTGAGACCCAGTATTTGCCATAATTGGCGTCCAGTCTTTCGAGAAACTCCCGCATACCGGGCCAGTTATCTCGGGCATGGCGGGTGTCATATACGACTAGTTCCTTTACAGTGTGTTGAACGGCAATTGGATCCAGGAGCAGGCCGAGTGAATACATGATCTGGATCACATGGCGGCGGACTTGTTCATTCTCCACGAGCTGGAGAAACAGCGACCAGGTCTCAGCGTTCGGAAGGCAGCCGTGTTGAACCATCAGCTTCAGGACAGAGTCAAAGTTGTATAGGTCCTTGACTTTGACGTTTCCGATCAGAAGGGTATTGAAGGTGCCAGTGTCAACCGGCGGCAATGTTAGTTTCAATTTCTCATCGAAAAACAACTCGCGGGCTTCATTGCGATGCGAATGACCGTGTCTCTCAATGAAGTACAACGCCCGTTTGAATGCTCGCCTCGAGTGCGCATTGCTCGCAGTTTGGTCGGCAAAGGCCGCTTTGAGGAGAGCTATTGCTGCTTTGTTCGCTGTAGTGCCCGAGCCGTAAAACTTGGACACGAGGTGGTCAGGGAGGCTGGCGTTCGTGATAGCGTTGATATACTCCAGAAACGTCTGAGGAGTCCAATTTTCAGGCTTCGGAATCTTATGGTAAGGCACGGAAAGTGTATACTGAGCAGTATAGCCCGGTCGCTGCTTTTCCACGGAACTCTTCCACACTATCTCTGCCGTAGACGATGCCGGCTTTTCAGGCTTGGCCGAAGAAGCTTGGCTGCCGATGGACTGGCTGCCGATTGCTCCTTCGATGCTTATCCTGCAGCTATTTCGAATAGCAATCCGGGAGATCTCTTCGGCCGCATGCTCTAACGCCTCCTCGTCTCCTGAGAGTAGCAGGTAAATCCCATGATTTGACCGTTTTCCGTTGTCGTCCTTTGGCCAACGAAGCTCGATATGACAACGTGTCTGTTCGTGTATGTCCCAAATAGTGTGGTCCACTTCGTATAGTAACTTGTTCCCAAGCTCTGGCTCAACTAAGATTTTGCGTGCATGAATCTGCCACGGGCCCTTGATCGGCCGGGTCCGCAGTCGGAGAATGTCCAAAGTATCACGCCAGTTGATGGGGGGTTGGTCCTTTACTTGCTGGATGGCCTGGAGCCGCAACTGTCTAGTCACGCCATCAAGGGCTCGCCGCATACTCGTCACCGTCTCTCGGCGGGAGTGGTATTGTACAGCAGGCGCAACCAGGACGGAATCGTATTGGATGGGTCCCACTGTAGTCTTTTGGGTATTGTTGACATTCTTCGACCGTACTTCCTCTCTTTGAGAACCGTGCTTCTTGGGCGGAGTAGCGTTATGGATTTTTCTGAATCGTAGAGGCTGCTGCATGCCTTCGGTGGGGGTATACGTAGTCGCAGGTGTGGACGATTGTGTGTCGCCGGCCGACCGTTGATCATGTGTTGTCGTTATTGTCCGTTTCTCTGTTAACACTGTCAGATGTAGTTCGTTTGCTCCTGTCTCGAAAGCCCGATCGATACCCTTGGCTTCTTCTTCCTTGCTGGTCCATCGTCCTTTGGAGGGGCTGGCGGCATCAACTTTTGGTTGCTTGCCTATCCCCTGGGCAGGGGCGTTGTGGCTTTCTTGTTCGACCGTGATCTCTGACTTTGTCTCGCGATGCGATGCGATGCCCTCGTCGAGCTTGTCTTGGGTGGCATCGGAAGCTTTGTTCATCCATTGACGAGAGAGCGACAGTTGAGTCGATGACGCCCGAGGCCATCTTCGAGGACCCCTAGGAATCAGAAAGATCCCAGAGACACCAATGCGATGAAGTCGGGCGTTCCATGGTAGCGTTGTTCCCAGTGACATTTGTCTGAGTGGCTGGCCCATAATTGCATTCTGTGCTCGCACTTGTATCGGGAAATGGCAGCAATACGGTCGGTCAAGTGTTTTTGAGCAAGAGTCGCAAAGCTTGGAAAAGTTTCCACTTCGCGCGGATTAATCTCGGCCCCGTCCGTCACACCAGATCCTCTCTGCTGTACGTACCTGTGCTGCAGGGATGATGTATCTTGAATGATCGAACGGGCTTCTGGACTGTGCATTCACGTTCGGGGACGGGAGAGAACGCTTCTTATGGTGGTATAATACACTATAAGGACTAGCAAAACTGTATGTGTGAAGCCGGGTATACAATAAAAGTATTTCTCTCCTCATCCTTATTTATTACTTACTTGGAGACCCGGGCAAGGCGCCAGAGTTGACGTGTGCCGGGCCGCTCTGATCAACGCCCTGCCAACTCTCGTTCCAACCTTCATTTTCTGCCACAGCGTGCTTGGCTTCGCCATTCTCTGCCAAGCCCTTGACGTCGCTCCAATACGACAATCGTTTTACCTCCTCGTCGGCGTGCTTGATAGCCGCAGCAAGATGCTCCTTTCTCTCCTTGGCCATGCCATTGTCGCCCTCCTGCTCCTCATCTGCGGCGATCGCATCATCATAGATCTGCGTCAAGCGACTCAGCAGAAGCCTTCTTGAGGCCTGGAAAACGAAAATGCCCATTATATCGTGCATCTCATCTTGCAAGTGCTCGAGGTTGTCTTTAGTGTGTGCCAGATAGTTTTCGACGGCCTCAATCTTCTCGCGGTCGATCCGCGAAGCTCGCAGAACCGCCATGAGCGTCCATACATCCTCTATGTCAGGCGTTTCCTCCACCATACTCGTCTGCATGCTCGTCTTGCCAACGCTACCTCGTCTGCTGCCCGCTACGCTCGATGAGCGGCTGTGGTTGGCTGGCGTTACTGTGAAATAATCCGAGTTCAGCATATGGGGGTCATCTGAAATGTTCTCGGGTTTCTTCTTGATTCGCTTGCGAACCCAGCACCTCCTGCGAACGAATGAGTTCCACCACTTCGGGCCATGCCAGGAAAACTTCTTGGAGAACATGAACGAGTATTCCCATCCGAATTCATCCGTGGTGACGCCTTCGGGTCGATGGACCCTCCACTCAGGCCATGCCCACTCCCATGATGGATCGGGAACCTGGGCCGTCTTGATCGTTGTGGGACTTGTCTTGTGAAACTGGTTCTGCCATGGCGAGGGGTCGAGGTTGCCTAGCGCCTTCCCAGAAAATAGGGCGATGCCGCAGGCTATACAGCCTCTCTCGTTCTCCCACAGGACGTCGACGGCCGTTTCTCGCTCTGCTGTAGCAGGCCTTGCTCTTTGGGTACCATTTCGTACGGGCATTGGACCCTCCTGCGGCGTGGGTTCTACATGGGGAGGAATATGAGGATACTTTCTTAGGATTGGTGTGGGCATAAAACGGTCTTACCTTCGACTTGGATTGATGGTGCGTTGGTAGCGGCGATGGTTTGAGGCTCGAGCATTGGCGCACCCTTTCGTTTTGCGGACTTGGGCTGCTGGTTCTGTTCTCGTTCTATTGATTGCCGATAGGGGCTAGAATCATGACCAGCGTCGCAGTCCGTAGCGCCGTTCGCGCATGCATTTGCATTATGCCCCCCCTCTTGGTCTTCATCTTGAAGCAGTCGTGATCGGGTTGATGCGCGCGTAACTCCGCCAATGGTCTCGATGCTCGGGGACGCAACGCGGTCGTCGTGATTGACAAGGTTTATCTCGTGGTCGTAGTCACTATCTTTGAGGCCGGTAACTCGACGAGAACTTCGAAATGATGGCATCGCTACCTATCACAGCTTTTGCATGCCGGATTCCAATAGATTTCCACCTTAACGTGGCCTCAATAGCCAACGCGCCGCAACAGGAGTCGCCGTTGCTCTTAGTAAACGGAGACGCGAGTGGGGAAGATGGAATACCAGGCCAGAGTGATCTTGCTTCGCAGAGGCAACAAGGGCGCTTCTTTTCTGGAATGTTGAATGCAAAAGTCTGACTACCCAAACATGATGCCGGCCCACGGCTGTGTAGAGGCGATGTTCCCAGTGGCCCTGTCAAAGGGAGGAAAGGGTCGTGGCGAGGAAGAAATCCCAGATGGCGATACTATTACGACTGCGTGCTGCGAAGTACAGTCCACGGAAGTCAATTGAGAACCGCGCTTTCGGACCTGGTGCGGGCTAGACCTCCATCGCCTAACAGGGACCGATTGAAGACTCAGAACAAGGCTAGCACGATGCAGGCGCAGGGCGGCAGGATGGCGAAGCGACGGCCTGGAACAGAGATTGGACACGAGCTGGCTCAAGCGCTTTCACAAGCGACGGGGCCAGGGCAGGAAATGGTGCGCCGATGATGTAATGTCTGCGATGTCACAGCTGAGCGTGGTGCACCATTGTCACCCGGTTTTGCGTGCCACAGAGCCCAGCTAAAACGTGCCGGAACGCAATGGACGGCGGTTCAACCGGCACAAGAGTCATCTGAGAAAACCGGGTTTGGAGCTTTTGAGATAAGAGAAGAGGGAGTTCCCTTTGATAATGACAGTTGGTTCTCAGAGCTTTAATCAACGTAAACTACCTACCTACCTACCTACCTAGGTAAGTAAGGTGACGCTGGGAGATCCAGTGATGTGATGGTCCGGGCGTCTGATGATTTAGTTAGCAGATGGTCTGTGCATGTTTGGGTGGAACATTTAGCTAAGAGCGGTTGGGGGCAAGCTACCTACCATTCCCCGCATTTATGCCGCTCTACGTCATGTATCCTTCATCCCTTCACGTCAACCATGAGCTCCCATACCTAGCTCCTACCTGATAGCCGAAGGCAGGTCAGCTAAGGTCGCTCACTGGTCACCAAGGAGTGGGAAAAGGACGTAGCCGCGCAGAATGAGACAAGAACTTGTAGCGCCCGTGATTCGGTAGTACTAATAGATCGCGCCATCCTTCGTGACGAGCCCAATCTTGCTCTCTTCCTCTCTCTCGCTTCAATCAGCCAAAGCACTCCATCTCGACCATAAACCTACAGCTCGGATCAACCCAGAAACAGCCCATCACATCTCTATACAGACCTATCGAAACAATCGACATGTCCAAGTCTAAGGCTCCCCTCTATCTCGGCCTCACCGCCGCCGGTGGTGTCGGCTACTACCTCTACAGTGCTGGCGGTAACCCCAAGGCCGCCGAGGCCAAGTTTGAGAGTACGTCCTCCTCACTCATTATCCCCCCGCCACAAATCAGGTTTCTAATCAATCCGTCAACAGGCGACGTTCACAAGGCTTCCGCCGAGGTCAAGTCGCACCTTCCCGGCGGTCGCACCCCCGACGCCCAGAACAAGGGCGCTCAGGTTGGTGCGAAGCTTGATGAGGCTGGCGCAAAGCTCGACTCTGCTGTACGTTTCCCCGCACTCGTTACTCTATCAAATGTTGGGTAGGATTCAACTGGGCTGGCCGACTGATTACTCCTGTAGGTTGCCCAGGCCGACAAGAAGTTCTCCGCGACCAAGAGCAACGTTGAAGCATATGCCAAGGATGCAAAGGCCGAGGCCCTGAAGAAGGTTGATGCTTTTGACAAAAAGGTGGAGGATGAAGCCGCCAAGGCCAAGAGCGGCATCTCCAGCTGGTTCGGCGGAAAATAAGGGTGCCGGAATATAACGGTTTCTCGACTTTTTTTTGCCCTCTCCCCTTTCTAAATTCTGTTATACGGGTGCATCATGATATCGGGGCATCGGTTGCGGTTTTCGTCCTTATTTCTTAGCCCAGGGTCAGGCGTCTTTCGTGACACAAACCAAATTTAACACATTTGACTCAATTTCGTTGGAAGCAGTCAACCGGCTTCCTTCCCAATGGTATCCCTTTGTTTGCGCCCGGTGATGTGATGTGATGACCAACTTTCCTCTATTCCCGACGCGTCAAACCTATGTTGATACACATACGTTTTACATAATTTCATTTCTCCAACGCATCTGCCACCATTTCTAGGACTTCTTCCGTGCCTTTCCTGGCGTTGACGGGCTGTTTGGCGATCGCCTGCCAGTATTCGCCATGGCGGGGCTCGTTCAAGACACACTTATTGATTACATCCGCTCGTTTCTCCTGAGACCCAGTTAGTACATGAAGAGGAGGCTCGAGCTTGGTAAATCATTAACTTACGTCTGTACCATGCTGGAGCAGGAACCTGTAATACCAAGCCCAGGTGTCGCCGTTGTCGCTGTCCAGCACCAGCGCCTTTTCGAACCAGTTCTGGGCTTTCTCAAGCTTACGTTCGCCCCAGAAGATGCGAGCCACAGCCACAAAGAGTATAGGGTCGTTGTCCACCTTTTTGATGGCCTCCAATGACCGCGGCTTTCGTTGGGTTCGTGGCTCCAAGTGCCAAATCTGCTCACTCCAAAGGAGACCGCTTTTAGGTACCTCTTGGAGTGCCTTGGCCATCAGTGACTTGGCCTGGTTGACGTTACCCGCACGCCGCTCGATGCGGACAGACTCGCACCAGAGCTCTGGTGATTTGGGAACAGCTAGGCGAGCTCGGTCGAGAACACTGCGAGCCTTGACGACCAGCCCGGCCTTCTCCTCAAGGCGAGAATAAAGAAGCCACAGGGGAACGGACTTGGGTACCGCCTTGACGCCTGTGCTGTATGCCTCCCGTGCCTGGCCGACCTTCCCAAGATCTTCGTAAATTTGTCCCTTGAGCATCCACAACTTGGCGGTGGCTGGGAAGTACTGCAGAGCCTGCTGGACAAGATCTAATGCTGCGTCGCCGTTGCCCAGTACTCTCTCGAATACTACACTTTTCATCCACACACGATCCGTCGGGGCTTGGTCTCGGGCTTCCTCCAGCAATTTGCGAGCGCGCTCGGTTTCTCCGTTCTCGGCTTCGAGCTTGACCGCGGCGAGCCAGATATCTTCATTGTCCGGATTTGATTTGAAAGCCCTGGCGAGTACCAATCTGGCATTGTCGACTTCGCCGGCTTGCCACTTCTCCTTGGCTAGCATCATCCATAGCACTTCGCTCTTGGGGCATGCTTCGACAGCCTTTTCCAACACCTGAGCAAGGGATTCCTTTGTTCCATGGTTTCTCTCCAAATCGGCGGCTGCCATCCACAACGTCCTGCTGTTGACAAAAACACGCAGCGCGTACGAGTAGATAGCACGCGCCGTCTCGTACATGCCGCGGTTGATACTGCTCTTTGCGTCCTCCATCCAAGTATCCTTGCGATCATCGTCTTCGTCCAGACCGTAGCCCAAAGTTTCTCTGATGATGTTTCCACATGTGATGACGGCGCCCTCCTCCTCGCACTTCTCAGCTTCTGCAATCCATTCCTCGCGCTTTGGCATAGCGGATTCCTTGACGAGAACCGCAACGGCACGCTTCATGACGTTCACCTTGGTGCCCTCACCCAGCTGTTCCTGCAAACGAGCGGCGGCGATCCAAATTTCGTGAGAAGTAGGAACCGCTTTGCGTGCCCTGTTGAGAACCTTTTGGGCGTTTTCGGGGCTTTCCAGTCTTGCCAAAGCCAACCATAGATCAACGGATAGGGGTATAAGCTCGGTTGCCTTGGCCAGCAGCAGCCGAGCATCTTCCGGATCTTCTTCAAGGTTGACCGCTTCTTTCCAGAGAGCCTCGGATTCGGGGATATGGTCTAGGGCAAGTCTGATGACTCTCTTCTTCGCCCTGGGCTCGTTTTCCAGCCTCATCGCCTCGACCCAAAGGCGTACGGACCGGTCGTTCTTCTTGATAGCTTCCGCAGCAATGATCTTGGCATTTTTGCCCTCGTTGAGTCGAATGTTTTCCAGCCAGACGTCTTCGCTTTTAGGGCAGTGTGTACATCCTCGTGCTATTACGTTGCGCGCTGCAACCGTCTTGCCTGCCAGCTCCTCCAGTCGCGCTGCAGCAATCCAACCAGGTGCGTTACTCGGGTTGGTCTTGATGACCGACGTCAAAAGTTCACGTACACGGTTGATATCACCAACCTGAGCTTGCGACTCGCTGAGAACGCTCTTGTTCAAACTGGTAATATAGCCCTTGGGATCGATGGTTGATGCGCTGCCAGCGACCGACTCAGTGCCATCCAGGGAGGCTTGTTCAAGTCTTGACTTCAGAACTTTGTCCCTTGCGGCACCAATCTTTGCGAAATTCGTCATGGTGCCATCCGCTGCGTCGGCGCTTGATGCGGTGCCATCCTCTGCAACGGTGGTACCTAGTTCGGACGAGTCTCTCGCGGCGGCGAGGACGCTGTCGGGAACCGCGTAGAAACGTTGCCGCAGGTTCTGTTTGCTTCTGCGGTTCTTTCCTGTCAAATCTCCAACCTCGGGGAGGTTTGCCCATTCGTCATCTGTGACTGTTGATAGCGCTCGCTTGAGGTCGGCGAATTGTTGCTGGATCTTGGGGTTCTTCCGCTCGTATTCCTCCTGTTCGGCCTTTTCGCGTGCTTCTCGTTGTTTTTGTCGCCTCCTTGCCATCTTCTCGTCTACCTCCTTCCATATCCTGTCGGCCTCCTCGTCGTCTTTGTCATATACGCCGCCGGCGAACAGGCCAACCTCGTTGTCGGGATCTTTGAAGCGGTCGTCGTCGTCATTATCATTTTCGTCTGCCTTCTTTCCGTCGGTTCCCAGTCCCAGTTGCGCGGCACGCTTTGCGACGGCTTCTTTGATCTGGTCTTCGGTTGGTCCTTCACGTGCAGGGCCCAAATCGGATCGCGTCGTGAAGCCAGTGGCACCTCGACCAAGACCGGCAACATAGTTCTCTGGCGCCGGCTGGCTCAAAAAGTCGCGTCTTCCAGACATCGCTTCGAGTGCGCAGCTCTTTCGTCGTAGAGGCGGTAAGAATGAAAGAATGCGCACCGCCTGGGAGTGTTATAGGGAAGGTAAGGAGATCGTGTGAGCGGCAGCTCCAGAGCTGCCAGTTGCGCAAGGCTGAAGTGGTACCAAAGTTTTTAAGCTGCGGAATCCCTGCGCCACTGTCTTTTGGTGGATATGACCCACTAAATTTTCCAAAAGGCTGCCCCTCCATCTTCACCGCAGACTTCTACATCGTTGGTTTGTGGGATTTGCTGTCGATACACTACTCTGAAAACTTGTTGCAGATCCCTTATCAGCTTGCCTACGTTTCCCATTTCTCATTGCCGCAAAGAAATAACTTTCACAGCAGTCTATACTATGGGAAAAGCCAAAGCCCCAAAGCGGAATGCCGCCTCCTCATCGTCGGGTCCTTACTCTCGACCCTCCCAAAAGACCAACAACGTGTTCAAGTTCAACGTATGTCGGCTGCATTGATGTTCATGCATGGCTTCTAACAACTACGTAGACAAATGTCGGTCAGCATATTTTGAAGAACCCCGGCGTGGCGGACGCGATCGTACATGTACGCCCAGACAGCTCCTGTCAACGACGAAGCGCATGCTAAACATATCCATATAGAAAGCCGAGCTCAAGCCCACGGATACTGTTCTGGAAATTGGTCCCGGGACTGGCAACCTGACGGTGCGGATATTGGAAAAGTCAAAGAAGCTTATAGCAATCGAGTTTGACCCCCGAATGGCAGCCGAAGTCACAAAGGTTGGAGGCCACGCAGCCAGGTGGATTGGAAAAGGCTGACGGAGTATACAGCGTGTGCAAGGAACCCCCGAACAGCGAAAGCTCGAAGTTATGCTTGGAGACGCCATCAAGGTCAGTTCTGTCCTAGGTCCTAAGATCGGGTTTCGCGAGCACTGTGGTTATGTGTTGCATATGTGCTTGGAGGTCCAGCTTGTCGTGATTTGGTTTCACTAATGGTTTATTTCAGGTGGATTGGGTTCCTTTCGATGTGCTCATTTCGAACACTCCTTATCAGGCAGGTATTCGAAAGTCTCTTTAGGGGGGTCACAGTGCTTACGCGTCGTTAGATTTCCTCGCCCCTTGTGTTCAAGATGCTCGCCATGCCAAAGCCGCCGCGGCAAGCGATTCTCATGTTCCAGCTCGAATTCGGCCAACGACTTGTGGCCAAACCCGGAGACAAGCTCTACGGCAGATTGAGTGTCAACGCTAACTTCTGGGCTACGTGCTCCAACGTGGTCAGTAGCGGGCAGACCTAATTACACCCGATTATGCTCACTGACGCCCCGACAGATGAAGGTTTCCAAGGCCAACTTTAGACCACCGCCACAAGTCGATTCTTGCGTTGTACGTATTGTGCCGAAGCAGGGCGCCGAGCGTCCTACCATCGCCTTCGAAGAATTTGACGGCCTTCTTCGCATTGTACGTACTTGGCAGGCACATATGAGTGTTTGTTGCTAATCCTTGATATCAGTGCTTCAACCGCAAGAACAGAACTATGAGAGCGAGGTAAGGCGTTTTCAACCTCTGGGAAATGAACCCATGCTGATTTACAAACCAGCTGGCTTGGCACAAAGGAAGTCCTTCAAATGCTCGAGAAGGTACGCCCGAAATCACCTACAAGATGAGAAATCAAAAAGCTCATAACCCTACAGAACTACCGCACATGGGCAGCTATGAACAACGTGCCGCTTGATGACACCCTTGTCGAAGACGATGAAGACGAGGCTATGGAGATGGACGACGACGCGGACGCTGGCGCAGACGATGACGATGTTGAGCCCATGGTTGACGACACGCCCGAGTTTTTCAAGGAGCTCGGTGCCGCCGCCAGCAAGGCGCCCGAGAAGACCAAGAGCAAGCGCAAGAAGACAAAGGTTGCCGCGCTTGTGCGGAGCAAGATTGAACGCGCGCTTGAGAGCACTGGCCTGCTGGAGAAGCGCGCACGCTTGTGTGACGAGACGGACTTTTTGAAGCTGCTGTCCGCCCTCAACTCGGAGGGCATTCACTTTGCTTAAGTGAGCAAATTCATGGAGAGGATAGGTGATTTATATTGGACGGCACATCATGGCCTGGCGTTCGGGCGTACAAAATAACATTAGACAAAAGGGAGAGAGGTATCAGGTGGCGAATATAAAATGATGATCCATGGTTTAACTTTACATTGAGAAAATATGCGCTACGGTTAACTTTGATTCCCTTCAGGCTCATGTTCTTCCAGGACCAGTGCTCCACTGCAATGTCTTTGTACATGATGAGGCGGAGCTCAATCGTCTCAGGGAATAACAAGATGCTCTCGTCCGTCTCAACTTGATCCGAGTCGAGCCTTCTTTCATGCCCATGCTTGAGACAGAATATCGTCAAACCGTTTCTCCCTTACCGATACTTGAGCGATCACCCGGCGCAATATGGCAAGATTGCGCGTCCGCAGCCCAAGTCTAGGGCTTGGGATTTCAGCAGAGACTCCATCGCTCCCTAGATCGAAATGACAAGCACTCATTGAAAGCAACATTTTCCCTAGGCGGGTGTCTACAGGTCTAAGCCTCGTCTATTCCTTCAGTGAGGGCAGAACACCGCCGCGCGCCAGAAGTTGATGCAGTCATAATATCAGGCCGTAATCGACAGGCGCCTAGCCGTGGCACATACACTGTTTTCTCATGTAAGCGCGAGCGAATAGCTGAAAATAAACACACACGTATATATGTGTATAAATATATATATGTAAAGAAGAGATAGAGTAAAGATGGTAAGTAAAAGAACGCCCCAGGTTGAGATAACAGTAGGTTTGAACGGTCAAGGCTCGAAACGGTCATTGCTTTACACGAATCGAAGGCTTGCCTTCCCGATCATGTCGTTCGCTTCTACAATCCGAATTGGGCCGATGGGAGAAGCCAGCAGTCTGGCACTATGTCCTTTTCCTGCTGGGGCAAGACCTTTACTTGCGCATGCACACTGCCCCGTCGTGGAGGAAATCAAGTGTGGTTGGTGTCCGAGCAAGAACCGGGTAGCGCGTGGCTCGGTGCATGCAGTTCCTGGGAACATCGAGTTGGACTTGACAAACACATACACTTTGCGGCGCCTTACATTCAGGCGAGCCAACCAACAGCTCCGGGGCCACCTGTGTAAGCAGATAGAGGGGGTTTGCCTTTCCCGCGAGAAGTTCGTCCCGCCAGCGCATCGCGACTAGACAATCGAGGCCCGTCCCATCTGACAGGCGCCCGCAATTCCGGGACGGCGGGTTCGACTGTCAACGGTCTGGCGGGTTGGATGTCATGTTCTCTCCGGCCTCGTCTGCCTGCCGAGTGCCCAAATGCTACCCGAGAGAAGTGTGGCACGTCATGGCGCACGCCTCTCCCTTGTTATCCTGGGTTGTCCCAACCTATAGACTTCCGGGTTCCTGCGCAGATGATCAACGCCCAGCAAGCGGCGCTGACACGCGGGGGTCGTCCACCAGTAGATGCAAAGACTCTGCGGTCATTTCATATCACGCGCTGTTGCGGAACGGTACGGGCGTGGGAGTTTAACGAACGATGTCTCTCGGTGGGTGAGGGGGGGGGACATAGTTGTACATGGTGGGAAGGCAAGCGAGGCACAAGGCAGACATAGGGTTTTTCTCGTCTGACAGCGCCTCGTTTTCCTTCTTGTTTCTTTGGGACCACGGCTGGTCAGAGGATCGGCCGGGGATTACCGTTGAGAAGGTGCTCACCACCTCGGCATCATCTCACAAGAGTATGAGTACTTCCTACAGATCTTTCCAGTGCCATGTTTGGGCACTGAATGCCTAGTCACCAAATGGTAGGACGTACTTCAATACTTGTCTTTCTGTACACCTGACCGAGCCATGAGGAGCATGCTCCAGTGCCATACGCTATAGAGGGAGGAGAGGTTTCTTCGATTAGAAAGCGGCGCAAATCCAAGGGAGGAGCCGTCGGCGTATGCTCAGTAGATTCCGTCACACAGCATCAGCAGCCAGATCAGCGGTTCGTCGGGTTTCGGTGCTTCAGCAGTCAGAACGGCCGGTGAGGACCTCGGTCTGGGCAAACAACAGGGGAACTTGTCACTCTGTGGGGGCCATCGTGTACAGGGGTCAAGGTGGGTGGATGACTAGGGCCAATGGGGTTAGGCGTCAATGGGGAGTGCTCCGTGAAGTATTTGTACATACGGGCTTGCCTGGAAAGCCCGCATTCTGCCCTAATAGATCCATGGCTGCGAAGAGTTGAGTGAACAGGCAGACAGAGACGCCTCGGCGTCTGGGTAGCGCGCCGATGCGCCCTCTGGGACGCTCATCCTGCCCTACCCTGAGATGGAGAGATCCAAGGGGAGGCAAACGACGGCCAATCGTGCGCCGTAGTTAACCTCCAACGCCTAGGGGTGGTGCCATTTGGATAGCGTACGAGAAGCGCATGTAGTTGCCTCGTGGTAGGTGGGTTCGCTGCGAAGTTCGGTCTGGAAGCTGGTGTCTTTCTCGTTTTGGCGGCGGGGGCCAGTCTTGGATTTCCTGGAACCCAAGATGATGGCCCCTAATGACGGCCTAAGGTTGGCTGCATATGGGGATGCAGCCAGTCGCGTGCCTGCCACATCGTCCACTTGGCCGCTTGTGAGAGGCTCAGTAAGACTGCTGTCCAGAGTTGTATCGCTGTCTAGGTTAGCAAACTTGCAGTTGCTTGCGTGAAAGGCAGGGGCTGGTATCCGTATTGTTGGCAGCAAGCGACAGGGCCAAATGAAGCAAACAGTGCCAACGATAGGGTCCAGAATAAGAGTCATCAGAGTCTTCCAATATGGATGAGGTCTTAACAAGACGGGGCATCAGCACGACCGTTAGAGGGTCAAGCATCCGGTCGCGGCGGGCACCACGATCCATTATTTCTCATAATGGCAGAGGTGTATAAGCTGTGTCCGAGTGGACCAGATTGAGTCTTCAGAGGCATGCGTAAACTTCAATATTTGTTCGGCGCCAGTCTGGCGCCGACGTAGTGCCTGACGTGAGTGTGCGAAACACGAGTAAGTACCGGTGTTGCGCTCATCCAGACAACCGACAATGACAATAGCACGTTAGAACCATTTGCAACTGGTCCTGTGGCTGTCGCCCAAGAGATGAGTTTTCATTGAAATTCTTGTCAGGTTGGGCAGCTATTGGGGTAGCGAGATGGCGGCAATCAAAGAAGGCCTCCATGGTCCCCTGAATCCCATTTCGTGCCATGCATCCGAAATTTGAAAATAGCAGAGCTTGAGGCAGAAGATGCACCAGAATGCAGGTTCCAGTCATGTTCCGGTTCCGGTTCCTAGCTAGAACGCCTGATTACCCTTGGCCTTAACAATCACGTCCATAGCAGCACTCTTATCAGCGAAGATGGAAGAACCGAGAAACCAAGTGTTTCGAGAGACGACTGGCAGTGCTGCCGGTGTCAGCGGCGAGGAGCGTTCATTTGAACCCTGATTCCTTCACAGGGGAAAGAGGACGGGGGTGAGCTCAGTAGAAGAGCAGCTTCCCGAGGTTCCAGAAATCCGAACTCAAACAGCGGTGATGGGCGGCGGGGTAACTAAACCACCTAGGTGACAGCTGTCGGTGCAACAGAAAAAAAAAGGCAACAAGAAAAGACAAGGAAAAAGAAAGCTGAGTGGGCTCCTGGATGGGAATCAGCTGCGACGTGTGTCCTGGTTTTGCCTTGCCTTGCCTTGCCTTGCCCGGTGCCGGGATCAAGGGGAGCCACCATGAAAGTTGCATCCAGAAAAATTCCAGATGCTGGAATTTGGGCGTGGGCTGCGTTCATCCTCCACTCTCATCCGCAGCCCAACGAGGACGAATCATCCTGGCGAAAAGCATCCGGGAGGGAAGTTGCGGTCTGAGGCATCCCGTAGTGGTTTCAGGGGATTTGCCGGCCATGGATCTTTTTCTGTCTTTCTTTCTTTTTTTCCCTTCTTTCGATCGATCAGTCGGCTCAAAGCAAACACATGTGCGGATACGTGTACATACCTAGGTACCTACATCGCAGCGAGGAGTTAAGGCTAAGGCAGAGAGTAAGGGTGAAATATTACCTCTGCTGATGCACGTGCCTCCCAGGGGACCCCTGTACATACTTGTATACTCGTACCTCGCTCGTACCTTCTAGGAAAACGGGACTCCTCCCCCGCCTGAGGAGACCTTGTCTAGCGGGAGAAAAGGTACCAAGTACTGTGCGTTGGTAGGTGGTGGCCCGGAAACACCACAGTTACCAACTCCTCCGTGGCTGGCTGGCTGGCTGGCTGGATAGCTGGTGTTGACATTGTACCTGGCAGTGCGACTGGCCTTGCGAAATGGTCGACGGGGTGCCGCCTCTCCTTACTCATCTCCTGCAGTTTGTCCTCCCTCTACGGAGTACCCCCTTCGCCGAGCCCTCCGCCTTTTGTCCTCTGTGACGCTATGCCGGGACCTGCAGGAAGTCGGATCCATTTTCCCCCTTCGCGTTGGCTGTTGAAGGAATCCGTCCGCGCCGCGTCGCCCACTCTTCCAAAGCTCCGGTTTTATTTTGCTTAGCGGAGAGGGGAGGCTTGCCGTCACCCGTGATGGTTTACCCATCTATCCGGTAAAACGCAATCAGTTAGGTACCCTGCCATCTTCCCACCTGCGCATGACTGAAAAGGCAGAATCGGGTGAGAGGGGGGAAAGCTTCGCTGCTGACTTGTTCTGATGGGTCCTGGAACAGAGCTTCTGATTGCAGCGGATTGTAAGGAGCGCTTCCGCGGTGCCTTGAGCACCGAGCTCTCAGGCCCAGACCTGTTCATGTCTCTTCCATGCTGCCCCTAGTGAGGCGCCGAAGTTGAGCGGAAACAATTTTATGCAAGGATAGAGCCTGGGAAGCAAGAGAAAAATTGTGCAAAACAAGGGACGAGGGGCGCGAGGAACAAAAGGTGTGAGGGACGATGTGGCCTGCAAATAAGCTACCTCATTACGGGGAAAGACTCAGGACGGAGGCACCAGAAAACGCCCTTTTTCTCTCCGAGAACCTTCTCCGAGAAACTCTTTGAAGCCTCAATGAGTCGGTAATGTGGTCTGTATAGCATACACGCATGCTTTTTAAACTTTTTCCTTCTTCTAAATTTACAAACCGACTGAATAATCTAGGCTTCTTGGTCATTGCTTGTCTTGTTGGCACCTTACTCGCTAAGCTTGCTTTCGTCTTTATGCCTCTCTTCCGGCTTCTGTTCTTCGTAGGTGTCCATCCTTTGTCGGATTGTCCGCAGAATCCAGGGGAAGAGGGAAGCTTCGCTCCGGGCCTGTCAGAGGTTTCGTTTGCTTCCCATCCATGTTGTTCCTTTCAAAGGTACCCTGCCTCGTGGTTGGTCGGACGGCCCAAGGTATGCTCAATGAGGTGTCGATGATGAACGGATGCGGACTGTACTCTGAACAGCTCGCGTCGCTTACACTAGGTACGCATGTCAGGCCAGCGAGACATGGCAAGGCAGCACAGAACTTAGATAAGCAAAATAGGGTTGATGGAAGCGTGCGGTTCGTGTCAAAACAAATCGGGTATCTCAGAAATGCCTACAATCTACTCTGTACTAGCAGGGAAAACCCGCCCTCCTCGTCACCTTTGGGAGTCAGTGACGGCAGCGGAAGCATCTGTGCATCGTCTGTGGAGGATGAGGCACTGGGGCACTGAGGCACACATCAGCAGAAGTGTACTTCATACAAAGTTGTCTTCCGTGTAGCTTGGTACCTTTCTTGTTGATGACCACCGACTGCTCCCATAGTAACCGTGGAGCGCAAGGGTCTCATAAGATGGCAAGATACTTGAGAGTACGTACCGGTAGGTAGCCGACTACCTAAGACAATGTACCTTGCCTCTTCCCTTGCAACCAAGGCACTGCTTTCCGGCAGGTGCTTCTACTTTTGGAGCTGCTGAGTGAGGTCTCTTGAGACTCGCCAGCTGGGCAGGTCCGAAGTGGGCGCGTCACACACTACGTGCTGTAGAACCCGCTCCCTGCCAATCGGTCCACCCCAGCACGCACCGCCACTCACCAACGCCCAGTTGCCAACAGGAGCACCAACAAAGTACCTCCCGTCACCAGCACCAGCATCCGCCAGTGCCAGCGCACCCAGCATTTTTTTTTCCTTTTTGGCTTTTTACTGACTGCGCGCCTTACTGACTTACTGACCTCATTCCCATCTGTTCTTCCACAACTACTACCACCACCTGCCCCTACCAACCTCAGTTGTCTTGGTCTTCGTCCTTACATCGGCCACACACCACACACTCCCACTCCCGCTCAACTTACACCATCATTTTCGATTTCTTCATCAATTCTCTCATTTCGAGCTTCTTACGCCTCGCTGCCAAATCCATATTCTTTTACCAGATACTGTTCCGACACTCACTCTCACTACTGTGTTCCTGTTAAACAGATACACGGTAGCTTAGCAACTCATCGACTGCGAAACCTAGACACGACGGCGCATTCGTCTTGCCTCAACCCCGTCCCGAGCAGCACAAACCCCCCCCCCCCCCCCCCCGGGACGACGCTCACAGATACCCCAACGGGACCGCCGCCTTCCAACCAAAATTCCATCGCTTCCCACGTCGCATTGTCAAACATCATGATAGGCCTGGTTCCGAATAACGACTGCCGGCTCCCGAGTTAACAATACCCACCCACAATTCGATTGGTATGAGGACTGGGCGAGGCTCCATTCCCTTTGCTGTCTCACTTGAAAATCCTCGACCATGGAAAAGACATCCAGCACCGCCAACGGGTCCTCTGACGCAAGCCAGTCACAATTAGAAAACGCAAGGACAGTCGTTGCTCCTCCCTCTCATATTACCACTACCACCGAACCCCAGTCGCACTCCAAAGAATCCTCGGCCACCACATCCTTAACGCCATCACCACACAACTCCCGCGATACTTCGCCCTCGCGACAGCCTTCAAGGCCCACCATCGCGCCCAAGTCGTCATCCACCCCTGGACTGAGGTCGCGCAAAAGCAGCCAGCAGGACTTAACCGCAGTCCGCACGCCCAGGTCCAGCAGTAGCATACCGGGTCCACCGGCTTCGTCGAGAGTTCTTTCCGCTGCTACCACTCCTACCCTCCTCCCGAACTCGCAAGAATCTTTTCTTAAATCCATCAACCCCCAAAAGGTGCCTCTCAGCATTGAGGTAACCCAAACGAGAGACAGCCCTCGCTGGCCAGTGTCGCCTCGCTTGCGCTCCCCCCCTCCTCAGCTCAACAAGCCTCAAAACCCGCCCGCGCCGCGTCGAAGTGAGCAAGATACACCGAGAATAAACCTTACGAGGGCCTCTCCTTCTCCCCAACCCGATCCCCTTCCTTCCATGTCCGGGAGCGAGACCGACGATTCACAACTCCCCTCCGGCGTGAGAACCCCAGTTACTGCAAACGGTTCAGCTTTAGAAACAGTGCAGGAAGTGAGCTTGCCGAACTCGCCGGGACAGATGGATTCCACGTTGGAAAAGGTCAATGAGAAGCTGGCCCAAGAGGCAGCTGCCAGCGCCGACAACCTCCACGCAGACGCAAACCAGACAATTCGACGGAGCAGGGGTCCTCTCCAAGCCGCCGAGACGGGCGACAATGGAACGCTCAAAGGGCGGTCCCAGAGCTCAGCCCCAGCACCAAATGTGACGCGACAGCCTAGCATGCTGTCGAACAAGCAAGGAAAGGGCAAGGCGGCGGGGGAAGGATCCTCCCTCATAGTCGAGACGGAAACAGTGTCTTCCATCCCCCAGGTAGCACTAGCGCCCGCTTCTAAATTAGAAGCTGGCGGCGGTACGTTGAAGGCGAAGCCGAGCACCGAGACGATCCGACCCAAAAAGGAGAAGAAGAGGACTAGTCGGAAGCAACCGACCGTCAACTCTAGCAACGGTAAGATGACACATTTATTTCCACACATTTCTTTCAGTTATGCACATCCTGCGAACCCCACGACTGGTGTCTGTTGCAACTGATGTTCTTTGGCCGACCAAAATGTACTTTCAGACCGGAGAAGGCAGCTGCTTGTGACCCCGCGGCAGGATCATACGACCCGGATCTCACTACGGGGTGTTTGTTTGGGGTTCGCCCGTCACAGAATGAAGAAGGGAAACTCCCTTTGTCGGAAACTCACTAACGAGGCGTTATTTAGCATCCTCCAAAGCAGATATCTTTGAGGCTAAAGTGGCCAGCGCAGTTGACGAGGCGAATACGTCAGACTCGGAAGAAACGTTCGTATACGATTCTAACCCTCCTGATGTGGGAGATAGACGCCGGTTTCATTCCCGAACTCCCAGCGCGACTTCGATGGTAAGCCAAGCCGATCGACCCGGCGGCATGGGTATGCGCTCGATCCATGAAGCTCTGCAGGGCGGCGCTGCTGCAGCCGGGCTAAAGAAGAGCATGAAGTTTGTCAATACGTTCAATGGCAACGGACCCGAAAGTCTTGGTACCGATGAAGATGGGAAAGGCAGTGGCAGGAGTGTTGGACCTGGCTCGGGCAGGGGCACCACTAGGCACCACCACCACAATCATTTTGGACGGTGGGGACGACAACCTGGTAATTCGCATCCTTCTCTCTTCGACAACGAATCGCTATTCCCCAATGCTGCACGATCAAAGCTATCTGGGAACACCTCAAGGCACTCTTCTGGTCCTCCAAGCCCTAGAGTCGCCAGTTCCTCTAGAGGTGGTCCGCATGCCCTCGGAAAGCGATCATCGATCCAGATGGCTCGTTATGATGCTGACGACACCACTACTACGGGAGCTGATGACGAGCGCACTCCCTTGATATCGTCAACAGTTCGGTCTGCGCGAAGAAGCCGGCGCCAGCCCACAAATTTGCGAAACCTGGAATCACAGGCATACAGGCAACAGCCATCTTATTTGAATCGGTTCGCCGCTTGTTTGGTGGTGACAATGATGCTACTGCTCGTCATTACCGGCGCCATTGGCTTTATGTTCGCCACGTCGCAGCCGCTCACGGACATCCAGCTTGTTTCCATCAAGAACGTCTTGACTAGTGATCCAGAACTCATGTTTGACATGACGGTCAAGGCTCACAACCCAAATATCGTGGTGGTGTCAATCGATCAGGCAAATCTGGAGATATTTGCCAAGTCGCCTCGTGCAGGAACAGACTCTGACTGGTGGAGGCGACCGCATGGTAGAAACAAGGGCGATCTGGATGACCCGGAGATGCATATCCGGGACGATCCCCCTGATGACCCGCCAGACGACGATACTGCGCCAAACATGCGTCTGGGTACTATTACGGAGTTTGACAGCCCGCTGTCTTTTGAAGGATCCTTCTTTAACAAAGGTGTCTCGGCATCAACGGGTACGATGAGGCTTCATCTCCCTGGCAACCATTCTGCCGGAGGCTCCGAGCGTTGGGGTCGAATCATTCAAGATGAGTTCGACTTGATTATCAAAGGTGTCGTTCGCTACTCTCTGCCTTTGAGCCAGCGGGTAAGAAGTGCACCAATATCCGGAAGAACAACGGTCAAGCCTAATTCTGCCAACGACCCATCACTTCGACCAAACACAACTTTGCCTGGAGAGGTACCAGGTCTTGAACCATAGGGTACTGACGGTCTACACATCCAATCATTTTCTTTGTCAACTTGTTCTGTATATTGAGCGTGCATGGCATGGCATAGCATTTCAAAGGAACAACGGCGTCGGATGGTATTTTCTTAGCAACAAGCGCTTTGGAACAAAGACGGATAAAAGCGATCTGTATATACTTATGTTGAGACCGTCGTCAATCACGATGGTTCCTCTACTTTGAGCTTGCGTTTCTGCGCAACTACTCTTCTGGTTCGCTTTTTGTTTCCTCTTTTCATTCAGCTGATTCCCACCTTTGTGGGCCACACTCCCTCACTCAGCACAGCACATCAGGAAGCACAGCGCACTCATTTAGGGACAGGGCTTTTCTTTACTAGGGGGAACAGGTTTTAGTGTATTTCTCATTTTGCGGGGACTTCCTTGTCACGGTCTAGGAACCATCTTTGACGCCGCCTTTTAACAGCCTGTAGGGGGTTTGCATTAGAAAAGGGGAAAAGTAGCAACTACATTGTTGTAATTGTAACGAATTTGACGACTGACAGGAGAGAAGGGAAGACGAAGGAATAGCCAGGTCCGCTCACAGATGTGCATGACAATAAGAAAATGAAAATCTAACAACAGAGTCATAATGGCGATGAAGGTCGTGACGTGGATAAAGCACATGCTAGCCATGAAGGGGGGATACATGGTTGGAGGAGGATGACACGGAATGGACACTGGGACGACAAACAAGCACCCCTTGTCTCGTTCCCCGTAGGACCTGGCCACATTGTACTTTGATTTTTTGCAGGCAGAATTCAGCAATGAATGCTAGGGGACACCGCTTCCCGCCACATCTGTTTTGTACCTCTAGTTTTTCCAGGCATATAATACAATAGCTTGAAATCCGCCCCGCCTTGCCCTTTACTTGCATAACCCTGCCAGCCGACCGTTATCAGAAGGCCGTGAGTCCACCAGACTAGCAAAGAACATCTTGACCGCCTTTGCAACAGGAAGGACAGGGGTGATGGGCGATATGTGGGCAGGTAATGTATCCGTAATGTGAACACATGCCCCAGATAGGTTGGGGAGGGGTGGTGGTTTTACTTGATTCTTCTTTCCCCTTCTTTTTCTCTTCCGCCTTTGAAGCAGACCTCCAGCTCAGAGCAGGGCCAAGCCCAACGCAACCCTTTATCTCGCCTGAGTGTATAGTCCTTGGTAGTCCTCGTATTGTGGAGTAGCCCGTCAAACACACCGTCAGTGTTTGTTGAGTGGTTGCTACGCGCCCTCGAGAAAGACCAGCTAGTCTTACTAGGGTGTAGAGGTTGTAAGACTTGTGGGTTTCCCTTAACGGCGTATGATTACCAGGAGAGGGAGAGAAGCGGGAGGGACGGTTCCGGTGAGAAGAGGACGATGTTTCACCAGCAAAGGGAGGAAGAAAAGCACAGAGAGAATGGCTCCTTGAGCCTCGAGCGCATCCCAACCCGGCATCCACATCTGGTCCACTCGAGTATGCGGGTGATCAGAAGCGGGCAACTTGGCCGAGCGGTCTAAGGCGCCAGACTCAAGATACCGGTCCGTTCAAAGACCTGCATCTTCCCTATGTACTAGGGAGCATTCTGGTCTCGAAAGAGGCGTGAGTTCGAATCTCACAGTTGTCATCCACGTGATCCTTTTTACTTCTAGGTCACCAACCCATTTTGAAAGCATGTCTCATCATGTTGGTTGGTGGTGCCCATCATTTGTTACCGGTTGGTTGATTGGTCTTGATAGGAGCTCCATCGTCATTCATGTTAGTTGGTTGGTGGCCTTTCGTTAAATCCTCCCCTTTCGTTGATGCGAACATCACCGGGCTGACGACCTGGGCAAATGTCGAAAGAAAAGGGGAAGGGGGAATAGATAAGTAATGTAAGTAACTACACCGCAAACAACCTGCTGAATATCCCACAAATAGTATTTTGTTCAAAGCTGGTGACCCGTTCCGAGACTCGGTTAAGCTTCGGGACATGTTTTTGCTGTCATCACAAATAACGCAAATGAGTGTATGGATTATGCCATTGGCATTACCCACAGCAAGTCATGTCAGACAGGCTTAATTAATATTACTTACTACTTACTTGCCTTTAAGCCAGGCTAGAAAGGAAAGAACAAAAGTGACTCTTCTCAAGCTCGATAAATATTCAGTCTACCTTTCCTCACAGCAACAACAGCAGCAGCAGCAGCAACAACAAGACTGACCAAAAAATAAAAATAAAATGCCCATCATTACCACCAAGGAGCCTGCTTCGGCCGTCGCCGAGTCCCTCAAGGCCGAGGCCAGCGAGGCCAAGCCAGCGTACCTCGTCGTCTACGCCTCGCACCGCAACGGGCGCTCGTGGTGCGGTGACTGCACGGCGGCCGAGCCGTATATTGAGAAGAAGTTTGGCGGTAACGAGCACACTGTCCGGGTCGTCTACGCGGGGTTGCCTGAGGAGTGAGTTGGATTCCCTTTCCTTTTATTCCAAGACTGCCCCCCTCCCGACTTTCGTTCCGCCACACGCTCTGGGGAGGGGCTCAAATGAGTGTGTGGGAAAGTGATTACCGCTGGTGCCCGCCATGTCGGTGCCTCAAGCTGTTGCTGACTCCGGGCCGCAGGTGGAGGACGAAGGAGAACCCGTGGAGACAAGCGCCGTTCAACGTCACGAACCTGCCGACGCTGATCAAGGTTTCTGGAGAGAAGGTGAGTTTGCCCCCCCCTCCCCACGCGCAGAGAACGATGGACCGCCCCCTCGTCTGCCTCACGAATCTCCATTGTCCCGGTGTGGCAACGGCACTGACAAGCGAGCGTCAGAAGTGGGAAAAGCTGGTCGAGGCGGACGTCTACGACCAGAAGAAGCTCGACGGCTTCGTCGGCGGCAACAGCCACTAGTAGAAAAAGCCTACATAAAGGAAATCATCCAATGAATAGAAGAAGTAATCATCTGTGACTGGCGAGGCGCTTTCCTGTTGGTGGCTATTGCCGCCGGCAACAGAGCATCGTGTGTAATATTAAGTAGCCAGCTCGTGCTCTTTTGCGTGAGAGAGAGGGAGAGGAAGAGCCGTCATGCGGATCCCACTTTCACTGAAGGTCGAGACAAATAGTTAGCTATGGGAGCTGTTGCCCTTTGTGGAGCTTGTTATATTTGCAGCTCACAAACCCGGGGATGAATAGACAGTTGTGCAGTTCGCATCAAGTTTTATGAGGCAAATGGAGTACCATTAAACGTCGAGCCATCTCTGCATTACTCATATATCTATCCAACATTGCCTTCAGCCAGGTTACAGGCCCGAGGTGACTCGGCAGTCCGCAAAGCCATTCGTAGGAAGTAGACGCGCCCATTGTCATAATCCAACACCCACTAAAGAATGTTATTAATCATGACAAAGAAACTAAAATCAGCACTAGCGTAAAAAAGTAACAAAATAACCACCTCCTCATTCGCATTTCTAGGACCCTTCAACAGTACCTGCCTTCCTCCTCACCCTCAGCCGCCAAGAGCAAGCCCTGGAAGTAATAGATGTGGTGTGTCGAATAATAAAATGATAATAAACGTGGCAACGGGAAAAGGGAAGTAGAAGTAAACAGTAAACATCTGCATAATTAGATGCATAGCGCCTCCGAACCCAACGTACGATGCCAGCCTAGATCCGCGTGTGGAGGAAAAGGGAGGAAAGAAAAATAAACCAAGCAGTGGACGTCGAGACCCACGAAAGCCCTTGCCGCGGGGACAATAAGAGGGATATCCCGTCTGTTTTTTCTCTTATCTTTCTTTTTCCCTTACCCAATGATGCCAAAATCCGATACTGAGAAGGAGAAGACGATACGTTGCATAGCGTGAGAGTAGGTCATAAACAACATAACGGCGTATTCGTGTGTTAATTACTCGGGAATGGCTTCATTGGATGAGGCCGTGGGGGATTCGTCCTTCTTGCCCCAGCCTGAGGCCCACCCCATCCAGCTGGATCGCTTGTTGTTCTCCTGCTTGGTTTCGTTGTTCTCCTGTACCAGACGCAGAGGACGGGGCTTGTTACCCGCAAATGTGGTCTGCTTTTCATGGTGGGATCGCGGGGGTGACTGCGAGGGAGGCGTGGTCAGGCCATTCGAGTCACCGCTCGTGCTCGACGTATCGCTGCGCATCCCAGGGAAGTTTCCTGCGGTCGGTGCCTGCTGACCGCTGGTTGCCCGGGCTGCGGCGTGGGGGTTGCCACCGATAAAGGTCTGCGAAGTTCGCGGGGTGCGAGGGGAGCCAAGGGGCGGGGAGATGGGGCCGTCCGGTCCCCTGTACATCTGGTTGACCAAGTTGACGCCAGTGAACTGCTCGCTCATGGGGCGCGCACGACGGGTGCTAGAGGAACGGGTCAGGTTCCCGATAGGGATGCGAGGTGCTGTCTCCGGATCGGTATGCGCCGAGTTGGCTGGTTGCGCCGAAGGCATGTACGACATAGGCCTTGGTCTAGGCTTGTTCGGGCCGGCGGCCATGGTCTTCGCTCGTTGCAGCAGAGAGGCTCCGGAAGCGCCCTCCTTTGGCGGTGGCGGCGGGAGATCCTTGTTGGTGTTGGCGCCTGGTGGCTTGGGCTCGCTGGAAGTGTCCAGAATGTGTTCGAAATCTTGGTGCTGGAGGAGTCTCTCAATGATCTTGTTGATGTAGAGCGTAAGCGCTTTGTTCTGGTCCTTCATAGACTTGACCTCTGACTCAAGGCGGCGGACATGTTCGTTATCGTTGCCAGGGTCAGATGCATCATCGGACAGCTCGTCCGCCAAGCTCGCACCGCGAGGCCGGCCCTCGAGCGCGTTGAGGGCGTCCTGGTTGGCGGACGCACTCATGTAGCTAAAATCGTTCTTAGAGAAATCGCCGTTGAGAGTCTTCTCCTGGAGAAGCAGTTGGTAGCTCTCATTGTCTTCCATGAGGCGGGCATTGGCCATGCGAGCTTCCATCAGCAGCCGTTCCACCTCCTGCAACCTGCCGCCGCCCTGGTTCTCGGACTCCACCAGCTTGATTTGTGCCTCTGCCAGTTCGAGTCTCAATGACTCAATCAGCTTGTCCTTCTGAAGCAAGATCTTAGAATTGTTCCGGGAGTCGCTGCGGTTCAAGGAAGAAGGGGGAGCAAAGCTGCCGTTGTCGATGTTGGGTGAGGATGTTGCAGCTTGGTCTTGTTAGTCTTTGCTTTCTCGGTCGTGGCTTGACGAAAACTCACATTGCCGCGATGGGCGGCCCTCCTCGTCGTTAGCTCGTTGCGACAGGGTATCCTTTAGTCTCTGGATGATAGTCTGCATCTCCTCCTCTCTGTTGGACATCTCTTCCTTCTCCTTGGTCATTGAGCTTCGCTCGGCCTCGTAGATAGCCTCCATCTCACGCATCTTCTTGGCGGCATCCCTCTTCTCCTTTCGCAGCGTTTCGATCTGCTCTTCCGCCTCATGTACCTTCTCCTCCAGCTTGGAAGATTCCTTAATAGCGTCATCCAGTCTCGTCTGCAGCACTTCGACCTGTTTCCTGTACTGATCGGAAGAGACCTCGGCCTTGGAGAGACGCTCCTTGAGGTCGTCCAGCAGCGCGACGGTCTCAGCCCTCACAGCTTCCTCGGCTTCGGTGTTGCCGTTATTGTTGCTGTTGCCCATAATGGAATTTCTTCTCGAGACGGCTGCTGCACGGGCAGATACAGGTGTCCCCGACCGAGCTGGCGCTCTGCGCGTAGCAGTAGCAGCGGTGGGCGTGGAAGACCGCGTAGGTGTTCTTGCGGGAGACACAGAAGGCGACGTTGCGGGATCCGTCGAAGAAACGCGACCGACGCCCGCAGCGGGCGGTTTCTTTGCGGTGGCAGCGGACATGTTTGTCGCGGGTGCCTTGTTGTGACGATGATTGTTGTTGATGCACTTCACAGCTAAGGGTAACCTAGAGAGCTGAAAAAAGTAAGCGGGGAGTTGTCGAGCGATTAAAAGACGGCGGTCGAGGTGCAGGGCCGGGAGTTATTCATGTAGCGACGATGTTCCGTTTCAGAGAGAGAAAAGGCTAGCTTACCAGATGAGTGTGTGTGTGTGTGTGTGTGTGTGTGAGTGTGCGTAAGATTGCTTATTCCTGGAACAACAGGTGGTGTGGGAACAAACACAGAACAGCAGAGAGTTGTCGATCGTTGGGCTGCCCAGAAAATGCGTAGGAGTGCGGTGCAGAATGGGAGGGTGTGCAACAGCAGCAGCAGCAGCAGCAGCAGCAGCAGTAACAATAGCAGCAGCAGCAGCTTCGCAAGCTTAAGTCAGTGTCGGACGGCTGTAGCCCCGGCAAGTAGGTTCTGTGGCTCCTCTCACTTCCCTTGCGTTGGCCCGTTAGATCCTCGGAGGAGACCAGGGTAGCAGCGTGCAGGTGCTGTGCGCGTGCGTGTGTCGGTGTCGGTTGTCCAGTCCACAGGTTGCAGTGAATTTCCGATATTTCGGGGCGGCTCCAGGGGGTCTAATTCGCTAAAATGCTCATGACGGAGGACGCGGGCCAACCAGAGAACGGGAAATGGAGCGAGAACAATGCTTTTTCCCTCCTCCGAATTCCAACCCGGACCACCAAGCGGTTCCCGCGTCGCTTGGGCACTGCAGAACGAACAGATTCGCCCCCCTGTCATACAAGAAGCCTACCTATTTTCTTGATGGCCAGTCACCCAGCCCTAGTGTGGTGGTAGATTGCAAATACAACCGTATGCTAAGATATGTGACGTGCCATGACCTATTCTTGACCGATCCTGTTCTCACTGCTGAGCTGATACTGTTGTTGTAGGATGAGCCCGAGGTAACCCGCCGCAAGCGCTCGTTTCAGTTCCCTCTCTCGGAAGCCCAGCGCTCGCAGCTTTGTTGGATGGTGGTGGGAGATGATGGCTGGTGCCACACGCCGTCTTCGCCTTGTCTTCCCTTTTGATGAGATGGGACGAATGGCAACCTTCTTTTTCTGTCGTGGCAACCCCTCCAGGTCCGGACTGGGCGTGCCTTGCGGGGACAGCGGGAAACTTCTGCTGCACAAACAAGCGGAAACCCCACAGCGTCTAATATTGGACGCCAGTACAATGACATCTCGCATGGCCTTCTCGATAATGATTACAACATGTGTTGACACACTGTAGACTACCGCTATCAGCGAGCAGAAATGGCTCTTGATCGGCTTGCACTGTTTGCTTTTAGTTGGGCATATGCATGTCTGCACCGCCTTCTGGTTGCCAGCGTCTTGGGAGAGTCATCAAGCCGTCCAGCCTTGAACATGCACTGGGTAGGAGTCCTCCGTAAGATGTCTATCGGCTCTGTGACCGGCAAGCATAGGTATTGCGGAGCATATCCTCATCGGTGGGCTCCGCTCGTCTTTGTGGTTTGTATCCAAGGGTGTCCCCTTGGCCCATTGAATGACAATTTGCGCTACACTGGCTAGAACTCACTGTGGTGGGAACGGCGAAATTATCCTCATGTTCCCATCAATGCAAGACCCGTGACAGCCTTCCTGATCCGGAATCCAAAAACCCAATCAACACACCGCCGACCCCGCCGCCATTAACCAGCCCGACGGCATCCACCGCGTTCAGCGGCCTTGTCCAAGTTAGGTTCCCTGCCCAGGCACGCATGCTTTCCAAATTGACCTAGTTGTGGCTATACCAGTGTTGCAGTAACAAGGAAGGACGGATTATTGATATTGCTAATATGGGCGGGCCGACTTCCCATAATATCTTTTATTCAGTTTTCATGTGTACACTTCGATCCGAATTACGTCTTGACAATAACGTGGACTTTATGAGGCAGCAAACCGTAGGCATAGACGGAAAGAACCAGGCAGAACGGAAGGGCAAACATAATCGGAGCTCCATTGAATGGCTGGGTAACAGGCGAGTCTTTTCGATTCAAAGAGCCTACGGACATCATAAAATCTTGCCCCGATGACAAGACCAAGGTATCATAACGGCAAATCCCAAGCCGCGATTCCAAATGGCGAATCGCATTTTCCCTTTTTCGTTGACCATGTTCCCAAACGCCGTTACCAGCCAGTCCTTGCTTCATCCGCTTAAGCGACCTGATCGCTGAGGATGTCGGAGTCACCAGCATCAAGAATGGCCATGGTGCCGCAGCGGAAAAGCTTACCGCAGGCAGTACCCATCTCAATCTATTTCGTTCAATAAGTAAGCAATTGTTCACCCTCCGAAGTCTAAACCGAGACTTCTTCGCTGGGTTGACCAAGGGACCAGTGGCCCACAAGACCGGTAGCAAAGCGTGGGGCACACGCTTGCTCCAGTCGATTGGGGAGCGACTTACGTTGGTGCCACTGAAGTGATGGACAGGAGTCTTGGCCAGCATGGCGTAATACTCAAGTTCGGACTTGCGCAGAGGGGGGGTGTTGCCAGCGATGAGAATGAGCCTGAGGACCAATATTAGTAAAGTCTTCTTGCGCATCGCGGTTCGATGAGTGACTAACTTGGCCTTGCCGGTGCGCAGAGACTTCAGGGTAGACCTATGGGCTGGTTAATTGACGGTATTGGGGATTTAATGTCGGTGTGCGTTACTTGTAGCCAAGAATGACCTTGCCAGACTTGATGACCCTGGTGGTTGTTAGTATGACTATCTCAAGATGTCGCGGTTCGTTATTTAACTTACAAGGCAAGCTTGGAGTTGATGGAGTTCCTTTTTTTGTGCCGTTAGTATTGGAATATTACAACCAAAACCCCAAGATGTCGCGCGAGCCGCACAGGAGCCCGAGTTGGAAGCGCTAATCCGGCAGTTGTGAGGCATTGATGGTGACTTACTGGTCCTTCTTGCTCTTCTTGACGGGGGCCATCTTGACTGATTTTTGGTGGAGGGGGGGGGATTTGGCGGTTGGTTTGGTCGATGGGCGCTGGGCGGTGGTTGTCGTCGATAGTCACGGGAAGGAATCGTCAAGTTGTGAAATTTTGAGAGTTTCGTTTTGCTCAAGTGAACACTGCCCCGCACCGAGTCGCTCCGCTGTAGCCAATCAGATCGGCTAGCCACATTCCTTCCCGTCTGGCTTGCGTTGAAACCCTAACGCGGCAATTACGCGAGCCCAGAGTGGGTCCGATTTGGCCACCGCTTGCTTACCCAGCGGGTGCTTTGAAATCAAAACTGCGTCTCGGACTGACGCAACGTAGCAACCCTTACAAAAGTGAGTGACGCCCAAATTTCGGTCGGACTTGACACCCATCCACTAACCACCAACAGCGTAACGAGTGATCCCGTGAGATCCCAATACCGTCAAGATGGCTCGTCGTCCCGCTCGTTGCTACCGGTACTGCAAGAACAAGGTGAGCCGACTCCATCACACCCAGGCCCCTCCCGATGACCTCCGAAATTTCACGACAACTTTTGCGCATCGAAAGAGGAGGAAAGAAAGAAAGAAAGAAAGAAAGAAAGAAAGAGTGGCACGTGGAGGATCTGGGCCAGATAATGGACCAGGCCAACGAATACGAAGATGACGATGCGCAATCTTTGAGATGAAAAAGCGAGGACGTCGTAGGGCTTGGGAATGCCCTCCCACGCGCCAGAGACAATCATGCTGACTTGGCCTCCTACTTAGCCGTACCCCAAGTCCCGCTTCAACCGCGGTGTCCCCGACCCCAAGATCCGTATCTTCGATCTTGGACGCAAGAAGGCGACCGTCGATGACTTCCCTCTCTGCATCCACATGGTCTCCAACGAGTATGAGCAGTTGAGCTCCGAGGCCCTCGAGGCCGCCCGTATTTGCGCCAACAAGTACTTCGTCAAGACCGCCGGAAAGGAGTCCTTCCACCTCCGCGTCCGCGCCCACCCCTTCCACGTCGTCCGTATCAACAAGATGTTGTCTTGCGCTGGTGCCGATAGACTTCAGACCGGTATGCGTGGTGCCTGGGGTAAGCCCAACGGCACTGTCGCCCGTGTCAACATTGGCCAGATCATCATGAGCATCCGCACTCGTGACTCCAGTACGTTCGCCATCGAAATCGTCTCTTTTGTTGTCATGCGATGTCTAACAAATCTACAGACAAGGCCGTTGCCCTCGAGGCCCTCCGCCGCTCCCAGTACAAGTTCCCTGGTCGCCAGAAAATCATCATCTCCAAGAACTGGGGCTTCACTCCCCTTCGTCGCGAGGAGTACCTCGAGAAGAAGGCTGCTGGCCGCGTCAAGGTCGACGGTGCCTACGTCCAGTTCCTCGCCAACCACGGCTCTCTCGAGCAGAACATGAAGCGCTTCCCCGATGCCTTCGCCTCCGAGGCTTAAGGTGTGGGATTCGTGTTTCTTCTGGGATTTGGGTTTCTACCGGCTGGCGTCTTAAGTGGTTGCATGTCAACATGATGGGAGTCATGCTGCGGCAGACTCTAGATAGGAATTCAATCATTGGTACTTGACAAATATGCACTGGCATCTTCATGCCGAGTGAGACGTGTAATGTCAGGTTTGTAGGCAGGCTTCGAAAAGCGGCCTACCCAATGACGGAGGCTATTGCACGAGCAAAGATTATTTGCACTACATTTCTCTCCAAGATATGTAGTTAGCCAATGATCAAGAGGTTGAAGCCAGGATGGTGTCAATTTCGAATCATGCGTATCGAGTGAAAATGTCGTGGCGGACGGTCTGGCCCGTGGATTGCCCGTGGTAATGAATGACACCACGGGGGCGGGCGCGTCCTCATCTAGGTCACGCTGGCAGCTCCATCTGCCAAACTGCGCCCAGATGTCTCAAATAAGAAAGAGAGTCCCTAAGGGAGGAGGAGCGGGGGTTTCCCCTTCATCTGAGTACCTAGGTAGCAGGAATGAAGCGCGGTTTGACGCCGGACGAATGGGGACTGTTGATGCGGCAAATGTTAAGTATGTAATTCAAGTGGGCAATCCTCTTGGCCGCCCTTTTTTATTCCCCTGGGCTTGGGAAGTGACCGTGGGCTTGAAGCGCAACGGCTGGACCAGACGCCATGAAGTAAATTTCCCAGTCACTGTACACGAGCGGTGGCTTCTCGCTACGGCACTGCCTTAGTGTACTGCATGTAGTTTTAGTGAGCCAGTGCAGGAACCGACCGACCATCGATCCGCCAGAGATGCAATGCAAATGGCAGTTGCTGTAGTGAGATTTGTCAGAGATCCTAGTGTGGCTGTCAGTAGGATGAGATAGGATCACAGTCGCCGGCCAACAACGAGGGAGGGGAGAGGGCCGTACGTAGCGACCTTCGGAGACGTGGGCTACCGCCCGAGAGGGGGAAGGTGGAGGGGGGGTTTGGGTAGCGATCAGGTCCCCCAGGTGACCTGATGACGTTGTCGAGATTTCGGATGATGTCGGGGTGAGACTTCTATGGGCTTGGGGACTTGATGACAAGTGCGACTGACTTGGAGTACGTCGGGATGTTGCCGCCAAAGAAGGTTGAGACGTCTTTCTGGTCTGGTCGAGGCAGGTCCGGCCGGTTGGCGGTATTCGTACCTTGAACATTGGACCTCCCCGAGATGCACGACTCGTGAGCGGTGCGGGAAGCCTCCCGTGCTTGCTCCGAAAGTCGGGATGGGATTGATGGCAACGGCGAGAGAGTCATTCGAGAGAGCGACGGAATGGAATGGCGCATTCGATCACAATCTCTGCTTCTTCCATTATTAGTATCTTTCTCTTTCTTTCATTCAATTTTTTTTATTCGATTCTCTCCCGCCAAAGGGCCGGAGACTCGAAATTCCAAGGCATTGATTTTGGCGATGAAGCTGACGGGGGGCTGTCTTGGGAAGGGGTACCTGGCACTGCTGCTTCTGTCAAAATTCGCAAATAGGGGGGGGGGGGGGGGGGGGGGGGTCCGACACCGAACCGCCACCGAGGCAATGGAATGTTTTCAGCCTGTATTGCCGTTTTTTGCTGCCCACCCCTTGGCCGCAAGCTCAGCACTCCCGGTTTAA